ACTAAACCCTACCTCAAGGTCCATTATTCCCAAATCCTATCTAAATCCTATTTATCCCCTATTCTGCAGAAATCCCTGGATCCTATTCAAACCCTATTATTTTCCTAAAAATATTTATTTGCGACCACCTGGCGTCAACCCACTCCCAACCTCATAAGAGTATTGCGGTTGATGATGTAAATCCTGCATGGCCCATAATTTAGAGTATACCATAATTCCCATCGTTTAGGGTCCTTAAGGTAATGCAGGGTTCATATCATCAACCGTGGCCCTATGGATCTCCCCTCCCTTAAGGATCCCCAGTGATCTTTTATGGGTACCTGGGTTCGTTGTTTTGCATGCCAATCCACGGGCTTGGTTTTGAAGTTTCCGGAGCATGGTTTTTACCTAGTAGTCGAGTAGGTAACCTTTAACCTTTTTTGGGGTAGTGTAGTCCCTATATAGTCCCTATATAACCAAAAAGGTTAACCTTTAGTTCCCCATGATACCCGACAAGTAGGTTTATAACTGGCACAGAATTCAGGCCTGGTGTGCTGACCCTTTCTGGGCTTGTCAGCTGCAGAACTTTATCTCCCTTATTCTTAGTTGTAAGTACCAGCGGGGTGGAAAAAAACCCGTGAAAATCCCTACATCCTTATCCTGCAATCCCAGAGGGTCCATATACACAACTATTATGGAATTAGGTCCCCAAAACCATCATGGGGATGGTCTTGTAGGGCCTAATTCCACAATAACAATAGTAGTACATATGGACCCTCTGGGAATATGGCCCACAGAACCGATCAGATCATGAAGTCCCCTATGAATCTACCTGGAGGCTCCACAGTAGTTCCTTTTTGGGGTTCATATTTAGACTCGTATAAAGTAATCCCAAAAAGGAACTACTTTGGAGCTTTTGGGTACAGCATGGCTACTGCTGCCTTAAATGCTGGAATTTTTTGGACCTTCGGACCCGAAACGAGATGCGGAGCGGGGATTAGATGAAATGCTAGCGAGTGTATGACGTGTCGTAAAGCTCAAGAGCTACGGTTTAGGCTTTGTAGGGCTTCTGGGGATTGGGGTTTAGGATGTATATAGGGCTTTATAGGGCTGTTCGGGATTGGGGTTTAGGATTTAGGGACCTTGAAGACCCTCCCGGAAGTCGGAGCCCCCAACTAAACCCTTATAAGCCCTATTCCAAGCCCTACCTTTTCCCCGAGGTGCCCTCTAACATACCCGAACTACCCAAATATAAGGACCATAACTATAGGATGCCCAGTAGTACCCATATTCCCTTTGTGTAGTCCTAGGTTTCTTATGAAGGAACGAATACCGAAAAGGGAGCCCTTGTTATTCCTAGGTTACTGGGCATCATAGATAAGGACCATAAGAGCTCTATTTGTTTGGAGACTTTGGTGGGTTCCTCGCAAATGCCGAGCCTGAAAGTTGCCCCTGAAGCCTGGTTTAGGGTTGGGGGTTTAAGGTTTAAAGTTTATGGCTTAGGGCTTAGGGTTTAGGGTCTAGGGTTCAGACACACCTATGGGGCAAGGGATCCCATCCGATCGCAACCACACACCTACATGATTCATCGGTATGTGTCTGTCCACTTTCTGTGGGTCCTTGTGAACGAGTTCCTGAACCAACCCTAAACCCTAAACCCTACTCTAAACCCTAAACCCTAAACCCTAAACCCTACCCTAAACCCTAAACCCTACCCTAAACCCTAAACCCTAAATTCTGGGAAGTCTGCGCAGTTTTCGAACCTCTTGTCGTCTCGCTTGGAGACGTTGGGTCGTGAACGAGCCAAGTCTGGTCATGATGTGGTTGCGTCACTGCCTACGGGGGTACGTGCAGACTTTCAACCATCGGAGATGGGTGCGGAGCACGGAAAGAGACGACAGCTGGGTTGTGCTTCAGGATGACTTGTATCCGGAAGCAGAGGAAAGGGGCGTGTTATACCATCAATATGTCATCCCCGGATTCGCACAAAGTATTTCCATCGGGACGAGCACTACTCCATATTCCGCCGGACCCATCAAATTGGGTATTGCGAAGGCGCGGTCGCCGTGTTCGCATTCCTTCCACAGAACGCGAGCCCACTACGGATTCCGACAGCTTGGACGAGAGGATAGAATGGAGAGCATCATGGGAAGCGTGGACGAGAGAATGGAATGGAGAGCAGTATAGGGTTTCGGGCTTAGGGTTTAGGGTTCAGGGTTTAGGGACAGGTTCACTCCAAACTGCCGAATCCAAATCCCACCGACTGCCGATTCCCTGTAAACACCCGGTACCCTGTAAACCCTAGGACGCCTTCAACCCTCAACCCTAAAGCAATCATACATACTTAACCTGTTAATTGCTTACAGTCAGCCCTCACCATGCATAGTTAACTTGTTAATTGCTTAAACCCTCACTATCTATACTTAACTTGATAGTTGCCTAAACCCCTCACCATCTATGCTTAACTTGATAGTTGCCGAAACCCTCACCATACATACTTAACCTGTTACATACCTAAAACCCTCATGGCGAAACATGACCTTCGAAGCTCAGGTGTGAGCTGCAGTCGATGACAGACCTTTGCCCGTGTGGCAAAAAGGTATGTGGCTCCAGTTACCGACTATCTTACTTTTGGTTAGTAGGGAATGGAAGGGTTGTAGTAATAGTAGTTATAATTGTACCCCATTCCTCCATTCCCTACTAACCAAAGGTAAGCTTTTTTTCATTCCCGGGCAGTTACAACCTATCAAAATCCTGAATACCACCCGGTTGTTTTGGATCACAACCTGCTATTCGGGGGTTCCTTCACACTTCGGGTGAAAGAAGTTAGCGTTCAGGCTTTGGGGTTCTTTGTCTAAGGTGCCGCATTTGGTGATGTAGACATGTGCGGTAGTTTTGCAGCGGACGGCAGCCGATCATTACTTAGCGGATCAGGGGACTTAGTAATTAGGGTTATAGATAAGTACGGTAGCTATACTCATAACTACGCACAACCCCAACTAAGGTACTTATAACCGTAATTACTTACTAAGTCCCATGATCCTCCAAGTACACTTGAACTGTAACCCCCCATTTCCCCAAAAGAAGCAGAATCCACCATTGTGAAGCTCCTGTATACTTGTGGTGATGTGATTGAGAAATTTAAGAGAAAGAGCGGAGGAGGTTACCGGGATGACGTTTTCAGAATTTTGTTTGTTCCTCCAAGGCCTCCTTTAGGGGGCCTTTGCAGGGTTACTTGTGGTGTTTCTGTAAGGGTTCCGTCCACGGTGAGAGTTCTCTTAGCGTCCTTTCGCGAATGCAGGGCTCAGCATTTACGGATGCAGGTTTCAACGGTTGAGGGTTTAGGTTTCACCGAATCCTAAACACGAAACCCCAAACCCTAAATTCTCTGTTCCGTTTGCCTCAGGACCATGTTCTTAACTTCCCAGTGACTGCACTGTTGAGCTCAATGCTCTTTGCAGTCTCCCAAACGAAGACTACCCTCCAATTCCGAAACTCCTATGCATTCAATCTTAAACCTCAACCAAAAACCTTAAATCCTATACAGGCTTCAAGCTAAAACTGGCTAAACCCTAAGTCTGCAGCTTAAACCAAAAGCCCTAAACTCTCGACTCCCAATCCTCCCAAAGACCAAGCATCCCATCGCAGGTGCTCCCTAGATTTAGGGTGACGTGCCTTGTTTAGGGCCTTACAAGATTGACCCAAATATTCAGGCGGTCTGTGCGTGGTTCGTGGAGTTTAGGGGTCCTAGTGGTAAGGAGCCTAATTACTGTCTCGGTCCTCGACTAGGGTGCTTTGTTTCCTGCCACTCGCATGTAACTGATTCCCTACAAGCCTCCACACAGAAACCCTAAGCTCCGCATAAACTCTAAACAGCAAGACCCTAAACCCTTACACCCACGCCCCTATCCCCTTACCTAAAACTCCGAATCCTTCACCCCTTAGCCAAAAACCCTAGACCTCGATATGATGGTGGCATGGCTTGGCGCGTGCTCTTCGGCCTCGCGTTCCGGCCGACGTGGTCATGGACGCGGCTGGCTGTGGCCACTTTGACTTCACAACGGTCATGGACAAAGATCTCCAAACACACATGTACACACAAATGCATTAATTAGCAGAAAATACACGAACAATTATTTAAAAACGTAGAAAACCACCGAATACATGTACACACATTTATTTGTGTTTACACACAAACCATAGATAGGCAGCTGACTGGGTGGTCTGGGTCGGTATGGAGTTTCCGATAATAGGGGACCCTAATATAATAGCCTAAATAGTAGGATCCTTATCATAAGGTCCCCAAAATAAGGCACCCCTAATTTTCGGAAACTCCCAGACAGATGTTGTTGTGTCTGCCGCTGCTTTTGCTTCATGCCTTGCGGCTTCTCTTTTCTTTTGGGCCGAGGTCATAGGTTGCTTTAAGGGATACTACAGGGTTATAAGGGTATACTCTAGGGGTTCCTATAAGGTTTCTATAAGGGTCTACTTCTAGTCTCCATCGTATAGTTCCTTTTTGCATAACCAGTTTTATCGTCAGGATCCTGTAATTCAAATTTTGGTTAACCAAAACAAGGCACTACACCACAGTGCAGGCTATAGGTAGGACCGGGACGGCCCCTTCACCCCCCTCCCCTTCAGTCCCCAACCTCGACTCCGAACCTAATTAGTCACCAGTGGTGCTACTACTTCGGTTGATGATATAAATCCTGCATGGCCCATAATAAGGAATATACCATAATTCCCATAGTTTAGGGTCCTTAAGGTCATGCAGGATTTATATCATCAACCGTTCTACTGCTACCGCTACTCCTACCTCTCCTCACAACTGACCTGACATGCGAAATCTACAGCGCTGTAGCTGGATTCATGATGCTTTCCTTGTCTGGATCCCTACTATACTGAAGACAATCGCAAAGGACCGAAATGCGAAGCTCTACAAGTATATGCCATATTTGGTACATAGAATTATTGGGACTACCGTTTAATCCAGAGGTTCAAAGGCAATGCGCCCATCCCAGGCCGAAAGCGAGCCCTGCTTGGGCTACGGCTGTGAGGCCCTCCATCTTTGGGGGATCTTAGGGGTTAGGGTGTTTGGGTTGTTCAGATGTGTTTCAAGAGTATTGCCAAGGTCTGTTTGGGTTCATCTGGGGTTTGGGATTCAGCGCTTTCTGGCTTTTGTGAGGGTTCTGTCTCCGAATACCACGGTTTTAGGTGAAGTGTGCGGCTGATCATTTCATGGAGGTTCTCGGAGTTAGAACAGAGGGCATCACATCTACAAGAGGGGATGAGCCACTTTATGCTGTTCAGACTTTGCCGATGGCACAGGTTTTCTTCTATATACCCATGTCACTCAAATACAGACATAAAGACGCACATATATTTTTGTGTATATATATATATATATATATACACATGTGTTTGCGTGTATATATATATATACACACACACATATATGTATATGTATATGGTAGGTTCAGGCACCAACCTAAGCCATCAACCCTGAGTCGCTAACAAGGTCAACCGCAAGCTCGCGAGGCTTCTGCCTCGTGTCCGCCGGAGACATTTCCTGTGGCGTGCCGTTTCCAAGCACCTGGCGCAGGCTTGATGGCACTGTCAGTAACCCTGACGCTAAACCTTAAACCCTCAGTCATCAGTATACTGATTAAAGTGATTAAAGCTTGTCAACCTTGCACTGCATCATGGAATCCCATGCTCGGACACGAACGGTTTGAAGGCCACAGCGTCTGGATCTCCAACAACACCTGCGTGGCACGGAATGCTGGGATCTACGAGGAGGATGAGTGCGGGCCCCAAGAAGGACAAGTGTTCAAGCGAATTTTAGGGTTCACGGGTTCAGGCTGCCTTTGCCTATGTGGTTGTGGGGGCCCTGGTTGAGCAGGTTGGCATGCGAAGTCGCAGTCAAAGAGGGCAGGGTTTTAGGGTTGAGTTGGTCTCAGCCACTCATACAGACGGGTTACTATACCATGGTTACATCCAGGACAATAAGCTAACTACTTTTACAGGTAGCTGGGCTCCAGGGAGGGTTCAGGGTCAACTCGCCGTTGCTTTTCAGAGAATCGGGTTAAACATACAACGATTGCCGTGCAAAAAATGGTGATGGGACTGCCGAATGTTACCTACTTGGCGGGTCGGGGGACTTCGTAATTGGTTATTTTACGGACTTATAAGTACCATAACCCCAATTAGGGCCCCTTTTAGGGTACTTATAAGTCTACTTACTACCTACTCACTAAGTCCCCCGACCCTCCAAGTAGCGTGCCGCACAGGTGAGGCAAAAGCTGTATTATGCTTAGCTGAAGCCCCACTAAGACTACCCATCCACTACCCTCTGATATACCCTACATACCCACTATGAAGGACCATAAGGGGCACTTTTGCAGGCGGTCCTGCTGTGAGTCTTTGGGGAGCGACCTTTAGGCCTTTCCCCAAGGATCCGAGCCAACTGCCCCTTCCCTATAACCCTAAACCCCAAACCCTATAACCCTAAAGCCCTAAAGCCCTAACCGTTACAAGGATCCGAGCCAACGCCGCCTGCAGCAGCATGTTCCGGACCTTCACGACCTCAGGCAGCTCCCGGATTCCTACCCAGACCCCCTTGAGGATATCCAAAAAGTAGATCCCTTAATGGGGTTCCTTTAAATTAATTACCCTTAGTGGTATACTTTCTAGATCCTCCCGGGGTCTGGGTAAAAGAGCCCAAGGTTTGGGGGGTTTAGGGGTTCCAGATAGTTTTCGGGCTTTACTCCGCGTTCAGAATTGGGGGTTTGGATGGGTTTAGGATGTGAATTAGGGTTTACACCTTTTGGGTTTTCGGGTTAAGGGTTTAGCTCCTACCTAGAGGCTCCATAATAGTTCCTTTTTGGGGTTCATATTTAGAATCCTATAAGGTAATCCCAAAAAGGAACTACTTTGGAGCCTTTGGGTAGGCCCTAATTTCAAGAAGCCACTGCATGGCAGGAAGCGCTGAGTTCGGCGCCAGCTGCCCGCGAGGCGCTGTTGTTGAAGCAGCAAGGGCTTAGGGTTTAGGGCTTAGGGTTTAGGGTTTAGGGCTTAGGGTTTTATGGTTTAGGGTTTAGGGCTTTAGGGTTTAGGGCTTAGTTCCGGGAACACCAGGGCATTGTTTTCGAGTCCTTACAGCCAAAGGCATGTGCCGCTCCAAACGGCCACCGGCCATCGTGGCTGCAGTGGTGGAAGTAGCAATGGTATGCAGTATTCCCTAAGGGTCCAAGTAGTTACTATTTATGGTTTTTGGTTCCTAAAAAGGCCCTAAAGTCCTCTAATAGCGAGTACTTGGACCCTCTGGGATTGAGCCTTGCAAATCAAGTTTCGTGGCAGAAACAACAGAGTTCGTTGACTCATGATACGGCACTGTTACTGCTACGACGATGGCCAGACCAACATAGGGTCCTCGATCCCGAATAGTTACCCTAAGCCCTAAACTAAACCGACTCAAAAGTTACCTGTCCATAATCATTGTAAACTCCAAACATCTAGGCTAGATGTCAGGCTCCGTGCTGGAACGATGCTTCTGCGAGGCAGGCGTCTGGACAGTTTATATAGGAGTTGCGGGAGCTCTGGGGTTTAGGGTTCAGAGTCTAGGAGGGGTCTTTTAGTTGTACAGGGACAGGGTAACTTCACGCCCAAAACGGTACTTTCCTAGACCCTGATTTGCAGCATCTGATTGGCAGTTCCCAGATTTTCTTACCCAGGGTCCAAGCAGGGTGGCAGGGATCCGAGAGTCGGTAGTGAAACGCTGAGATCGCCTGGCTTCCGTGCGCATCTTGCACACATACAGGATCCTGAACCCTAAACCCGAAATACACGCAGACGATGCCATCAAGTTGCAACGGGGACGAAGGAGATATGATTCTTCTTTCTCTTACTCTTTAGTGTCCCAAGTAACTATCTGGCATGTGCATACATACATACATGCATGTGTATATATATATATATATATATATATATGTACGTGTGTGTGTGTGTGTTTATACACCGAGCACCGCCAGGCTTATTGATCTGTTTGCCAGCCTTCACCTCCCAAAAGGCCTGAGGCGTCAAACCCCAGACCCAGAGCTCAAAGCCCTGAAACGCTACGCTCAACGCCGAAGCGTAAAACCTAGACTCTGGCCTTAACCCTTAGGCTCAAAATGGCACAAAAGCCTTATAAAATATGGTCTTTGGGCCCAAAAGCCTTAATATATGAGTCCTTCTATGGAGCCTTCGGGCAAGCCCCAAACCCTAGACCCTCTCTACCTAAACCCTAAGCCCTTCGGGAGCTCTTTGAAACCCCTAAACCCTAAGCCCTTAGGGAGCTCTTTGAAACCCTTAAACCCGAGACCCTAAATCCTACCTAGAGCCCCGAACTGTAGACTCGAATATACCTTCTTACCCCCTAAGTCCGAAACCCGAAACCCTGAACACCCCTTGCGAGCTCCTTAAATCTTAAACCCGATAGTATCCTCATGGATCCTCAAAGCGAACTTTTGAAGGAACCCCCAATCCCGAAGCCCGGAACACCCCTAGGATGCCCAGTAGTACCCTTATTCCCTTTTTGTAGTCTTAGGTTCCTTATAAAGCTATCCAATACCAATAAAGGAGCCCTTTTTATTCCAGGGTTACTGGGCATCCTAAACCCTAAACCCTAAACCCCTAAGCCTTAAACCCCTAAACCCTAAACCCTGAACCCCTAAACCCTGAACCTGGGCATCCTAGACCCCATGGAGCTCCCTTATTCCCTTTTGTAGTCCTAGGTTCCAGAAAAGTTACCCAAGAGCAAAAAGGGAGCCCTTTGTATTCCTAGGTTAGTGGGCATCTTAGTATCGTACCCTCATGGATCCCTCAAAGCGAACTCTTGAGGGAGCCCCCGATCCCGAAACCCTGAACACCCATTGCGAGCTCCTTAAATCTTAAAACCGATAGTACCCTTGAGCGAACCGCTAAACCCTAAACCCGACTATTCCTACTAAGGGATATAGGTATAGGGCTCTGTCTATTACTTCTACAGTAGAAGCCAGAAAGTTGGAATATGATTATCCTAACCCTTCTATGGTAAATTATAGGGTATCCTACCATGAAGCTATGTTCCAACTTTCTGGAGTTCCCTTTAGAAGGACAAGGGTGCCCTGTCCAGGGCTGTCCTCTCACCCCGGAGATCAGCGAGGCCAACGTCAGCTGCCCAGCGGCAGCTGCTCGGCCTATGCCTGTTCTGCAAGTGGTGATAGCCATACTATCGTGGGAATAATAGTAGTGAAACCATAAATAAGTAATGGTAGTAATACAAATAATATCACTGCTAATAATACTGCTATATGAATAATGATGATACTTATTCTTCTTGTTTATGTGTGTGGGTGGTTCAGGGAGTTTGCTTAGTGTGTGGTTGTCTTTGGGCTGTTAGCCTGCTCTTTACGTATGTGACGAGGCATGCTTAACAAGCTTGCGACGTTTAAAAGCTTGGAATCTTAGGGAGTGCAAAATTAGGAAGCAGGAAAGGAGATATTTTGCTCTTGGGCTTATATGGTCTTGACACTTTGGTATTCGATTACAGTATTCGGTTTGGGCCCTTCGACACTGGGGTTTGCCTGTGCAGAATCTTTGGCTTTTGGCTGCGAGACTGCGGGGCCCTAAAGCCTAAACACTACCCTAAGGGTCCAGGTGTCTCCTTAGGAGGGTCCGGAATCTCCTAGGGAGCCCTTGGGTCACGAATCCTGCATTTTGAGGTTCCCCAAAGTGTTAGGACCCTTACGGTAAACCGGACCAGTGGCGTAAAGCTCTAATGCCCAAATTCGCGCAGCCAGGGGGTCAGGGCCTTTGCTTGCAGCACCTTTTTCGAAGGCTTTCAGGACCTACCTAGTAGTCGAGTAGGTAACCTTTAGCCTTTTTCGGGTAGTATAATCCCTGTATAACCCCTATATAACCTGTAGTTCCCCATGATACCCGACAAGTAGGCCTATATTATCAGGCTTTTGGGTCCAGAGACCATGCTGAATAAGGCTTTTGGGCTATTTTGAGCCTATTGGTGTGTTTCTTAAACTACATTATGCTTTAGGGTCCTAGAGTGAACAAAGATGGAATTGCTTGTGAGGGGCCCGAAGCTTGTTAAGGCTTGAATTAAGCCAGAAACTCAGAACCTCAAATCTCAATATACAAGCAGTGCGAAGGATATCGATGCAGTTGAAGATTGCTGCACGAATGAACTGCGGTACTGCGGTAGCAAGTGCGAAGTAGTAGGCAGCAAAAGACAACTACAAACGAATCCTGTTGGGTGGGGGTTTGACCAGATGGTTGGAGGAGAGGTGGCGTCAAGGCACAGCTGCAACGTACGTTAAACTTCACTTTATGAACGGCCATCCACGCCACGTGCGAGGTGGCTGCAGTTTCTGAAAGATGTTACCGAAACTCCGAAGCCACCTTAAACACGTAATCTCCGAACGTCTCAGAACCCTAATGAAGCCTAAACGTTGTCCGGAGTGCCCTACCTGTGCAGGCTGGGTCGCAGGCCTTGTGCCTGCAAGGTGACACCAACTGGCTGCTACAGAATCCCGGCAAGCCGAGCTGTCCAAATCCCAGTGAACCCTAGAAGAACCCCTTGGAAGCAAGCCATCAAGCCAAAAGTACGAACCTGATTAAGAAACCCCAAAGTAGTAGGATTCATATAAGGAACCCTAATGAAGGCACAAGGTTTCTTAATCAGGTTCCTACATTATTCGGCTTAAGGCACTTCCTGTCTACGTGTCCCAGTCCCGGAGGCCTGAAACGTCGTACTGGTAACGCTGGCATGTATTCCCTTCTGAGAAAACTGTCTGGTCGTTCATCATCCGTTGGAGTGTGCTATACTATACACGCGTACATCATCATCATCAACAACAGCAGCAGCAGCAGCAGTAGTAGTAGTAGTAGTAGTAGTGGTAGTTGTAGTAGTAGTAGTAGAAGAAGAAGTAGTAGTAGTAGTAGTAGTAGTAGTAGTAGTAGTAGTAGTAGTAGTAGTAGTAGTAGTAGTAGTAGTAGTAGTAGTAGTAGTAGTAGTAGTAGTAGTAGTAGTAGTAGTAGTAGTAGTAGTAGTAGTAGTAGTAGTAGTAGTAGTAGTAGTAGTAGTAGTAGTAGTAGCGTAGTAGTAGTAGTAGTAGCAGTAGTAGTAGTAGTAGTAGTCGTAGTAGTAGTAGAAGTAGTAGAAGTAGTAGTAGTAGTAGTAGTAGTAGTAGTAGTAGTAGTAGTAGTAGTAGTAGTAGTAGAGCATCGGCATATTAACATCACGATTGTCAGCCTCCTCATACCGTGTTCGTCGCCGGCGACGTCGTCGTCTTCGCCGCGGATATCATCCTCGCAGCACAATTGCCTCCAGCAAACAGTTCACTCTTCTTTCGTTCACCATCACCAGCGTGGTGATGCGCAAGCACAGTGCCGACAGCATGTCTTGTCATAAAAAATTGCTGGTGGTGCTTAGCAATGCGCTTTAGACTGGTTTACACAAAGCAAGCTCCACTCAATAAGTCCGGTTCCTGCTGCTGCACCGCACGTTCCTCCTCCTCCACCTTCTCCTCGTCATGCTATTGATCAAAACGACGAGATCTATAAGTCTACTACAATTAATGCATCCCCCAATTCTGACTGTCAAGGCCCCGTGTTTGTTTTATACCCGCCCAGCCCCGTCGACCGATACCTAGAGAGCTGCAGGGCTCCAAAGCAAGCAAGATGACCTGCAGCCCTGTCGTAGTTTTGAAGCTACATCATTCTCAAATATACACGAACTTGAGGGCTCATTGTTGCTACCAGCGGCCGTGGGGTGATTTAGTGGCCTGGTGCCAGAGTGAACACGAAGCCCTGGGGCTAGGAATGCAGATGGCCTTGGCTTCGTGAAGTATTGCGGATGGGCTCCATATCGGCGCCCTCTGACTGACCCTGACTTTCGGAACGACACGGACTGCCGGGATGTGATGCTTCTTTCATGATTTATGAGCTTTTCTGAGCGTTGTTCTAGGAATTGGGGGGGCATTTAGGGTTGAGGGGCCCTGATCTAAGTGGCTGAGCATCCACTTCTCAACCCCCTGGTCTTTTGTAAGTAGGTAACCTTTAACTTTCTTGGGATACAATAACAACAATATATTATAGAAATCCTAAGCACCTTGATGGGGGATACGTATACAAATCCGAATGAACGTCTTAGCATAGTAGCCTCCGCTCCTTTCCGCGACCCCTGAGAGGTGGAGGTGGAAAGCGGCTTTTTGGGGCTTAGGGCCTTCTCGCAGCATGGGCTACCTACAGTAAACCCCATAAAGTTGGAAACCAGATTAAGGCCAAATAGTGCTGGGATTCCCTTAACATTCCTCTTAAGGATTGAGGCTATTGGGTTTCCAACTTTCGGGCTTCTACTGTAGGCTGCTCACTTGTCAGATCCTCCAGGGTGGGGCCTTCACTGCAAAAGCAGAAGCCAGAAAGTTGGAGCATCCCAATGTCCTTCAGGTACACTCTTGGGAATCCTAGCACGAGTCATCCTAAATCCATGCTCCAACTTTTTGGGATTTTCTTTTGGTGCCCAGGAGTCGTTGGAAGATGTTGAAAACGGCCTTATCTGGGTATGTAAGTGGGCACTCGCTCCTTTTTTGTGGTCTTAGGTTCCTTATAAAGAACCCAATACCAACGAGGGGGCCCTTTTAGTTCCTAGGTCATTGGGGATGCTGTTAATTATAGAGCACCCAAAGACTCCAATATCCCTTAATTGCAGAATATTCCTTAACTCATACGTGGAATCCTAGCAAATCTTTAAGTGATATTGGAGTATCTGCAGGATTGAAAACCTTGCTCCCGAACCCAGAGGGCCCTTGTAAATAACTTGGCCCCAAAGTACACCGTAAAAGTGGACATTTTAAAGGCCGGCCAACATACATATTGTTTGTGCCCCTAAACCCCTGAACCCTTGAACCCCATACCCCTGAACCCTCAGCCTCTAAACCCTAAACCCTAAAGGCCCAAAACCCTATTAGGGCATATGGACCCCCTACGGTTGATGATATAAATCCTGCATGACCCATAATAAGGAATATACCATAATTCCCATAGTGTAGGGTCATTAGGGTAATGCAGGATTTCTATCATCAACCCCTAAACCCTAAACCCCCTATAGATCCCTTAAAGATACCCTTGTAGATCCCTTTAAAGGGAACCCTAGGGTTTCTATCATCAACCCCTAGGGAAGCGCTTTAAGGCTGCAGCCACAGCGGGACTACATCGGCGCCTGTACGCTGCAAGAGTGTCAGGGACTCGAGGACGGCGTACCATGGTTCGGGTTTAGGGTTTAGGGTTTAGTAGTAGTAGTAGTAGTAGTAGTAGTAGTAGTAGTAGTAGTAGTAGTAGTAGTAGTAGTAGTAGTAGTAGTGGGCTTATTATGGGCACGATAGGGCTTTACTGCCCGAAACCCTATATAAGCTGTCTTTTTGGGGCTCCTTGTGATGATTTCTTCTATAGGTTATATAAGCCCTTCCGTACCTGTAGCTGGAAGACTAACTACATATGTTTGTTTGCATATTCAAAGGTCGGCACTTATGTGCATTAATCCCAATTTCTGGCTGTTTGTGCATTAGAGTTGCTGGATAATTTGACTGCTGATTGTGTCCCTTGGGCTACACATCCGCCCTGACATGCGGCCGATGGACAACATCCGGCATCAATTTCCTCAAGACGATGTGCCCCAAAGTTTCGGGATACTCAGGTGCAGGTACCGGGATTGCCCAACACTTGTATACCTCCAAAGGACTCATACGTTGAAGCTGTTGGCCCAAGCTCCACATTGAATCAGTGTCGTTTACGGGAAGGTTATCTTGCCCCCAATATTTCGGGCAACGTCATCTTGCATGAGGTTTAGAGCGGTCGAGTGCTGGACCCTAACCCCGACACCCCCAAAAATCGTCATCCTTCATCCTAGAGCCCCTTGCCCCTAACAACCCGAAATCCTCAACTCACAGATACCCTCGTCCCCAACCCCCCCAAAAAGAAGCGCTAAACTCCGACATCACTAAAACCCTACCCCCCCTAAACCGTCCCGAAAGCACATAGGTCATAGGCATTTGACAGGGATATCGCTACCATATTCTAGGTGCCGGCAAGTTTCCCGTTAATTATCCCTATTTCCGCAAGACCCCCACAGCCCTAAACTGTCGATGTTCCTGTTTTGGCCTCTGAACCCCGGTAGATCATATATAATTACCCGAAACTGCTTGCAGGACTGCGTCGCGCGCTGCGACCTTTGTCCGAACTGTTCAGCAGTCTTGTACAACAGCCGTGAGACGAGCGGAATCCGGCGCCTTGGGCCAAGTAGGCATTCGTTTTAGGTTCTTATAGTCTTGTACCTATTTTCTCCATTGTAGTCCCTCTCTTTTGGTTTAACCAGATTTATGTTAAGGATCCCAAAAGGTAACCCCAAAAAGGAACTACAATGGAGACTACAGCTAGGGATTCCTCGAATGAATGGTTTAATGACTTGTTCTTCAAAACTTCCGGTAGGGGTGTGCTCTTGGGTTTCCACAAGTATATTTTTTTAAGGATTCGTTTCATTCCGGGTTCCTATCCTATGAGGGTTCCTTTCTGGATTCCTGTAAGCTTTAGAGCTTAGGGAAATAAAAGTAAAGGCCCCTCCAGAGCCCCAGACCCGTGAATTCAGGAATATTGCTTAGCAGAAAAAAGGCGTAATACTCGTAGTACTAGTACAAGTGGTACAAGTGGTCGTGGTGGTAGTATTTGAAGTAGTAGTAGAAGTAGTAGTAGGGGTATCAGTAGAAGTGGCAGTGGTAGTTGCAGTGGCAGTAGCAGTAGTAGTAGGGCTTACTCGTATGATTTAGGTATATAGGGCTTCTACTATCACGATGTACGGTATATAGCGTCCTTATTACAGCACATTGGGTTCTGATGCCGGAACAGTTACAGTACCAAGACAGTTCCCCAGGGTTCCTCAGTATTAGTATACACCTTCTTCTACTGATTCGGGAGCCTTGCTACCTGCCTTGAAAGCCGAAAAATCCGTGTACAGCCGCTGAAATACAGACGCTCCTGGATCCTCAAGCAACGCACGGGTACTAGGTCTTCCCACCAAACTGTTTGCATAGGTGCTTCTGCACATACGGCACCCTAAGCCCTCAACCCCTAAACCCTAAGCCCCAAGCTCTAAGCCCTAGAGGGACGCCCGGCTGATAGCGAGCCTGTTATGATCCCAGAGACTCCAAAACCCCTTAATTAAGGAATATACCTTAACTTATAAGAGGATCCCTAATATGATTTAAGGTATATTCCTTAATTAAGGGGTTTTGGAGTCTCTGGGATGTTCGCAGCCTCGTCGAGACTCTGAAGAGCCCAAGGCTCGATATTCGAAGATCCAAGCTCCAATGGTCCAGGGTTGAGGGCTGCTTTAAAGGAACCCTAAAGATCCCTCAAAGGAGCCCTTAAAAGAGCCCCTAAGGGCCTCCCAAGGATACTATAAGGCTTCATTAAAACGCCCAAAGGTTTCGGGTTCCTTTAAGGGTCCCTGTCAGGGTACTATGAGGGTGCTATGGGATTTTTGGGTTTAGGTTTTAGGTTTGAGGGTTACGGCTTTAGGGTCAGGCTTTAGGGTTTCAGAATAAGGTGCCACATGCAGAGCAATGCCTACATCGAGTCTTTGGAGTGCCCTGGCAGCATGGAGAGCTGCAAGTCAGCTGAAGGAAAAGTTGAAGCACAGTGCGATGACCCTTGGCATGTCTGTATACGTCCAGCTGCACCTGTGCATCTTTACGTGTGTTTGTGCGCACCTGTGGACATTCGATACGTTGTTGCCGGAGACATGTTTAATTTCATGCTGCGAAAAAGTCCGGGCAGATGCGCGCGGAGGCAGAAGTCAATTGTGCGTCTGTGTACATGATGTCGTGTATGCGCGCCATCCAATATATCTGTCTGTGTGTCTATATTTCTATCATTCTATCGGTGTATCTATGTCCGTACCAGGTATAGACACATAAGTACATGTGCCTGTATGTACGTATGTACGTACATTCGTTCGTTCGCATGTATGTATGTATGCATGTATGTACAAATACATGCATTCGTACATGCAGATATGTACATTTATATATATATATATATATACATACACATGCATGCATATGTATGAGCATCTGTCTGTGTATCTGGATATGTGTATAGATATACATGTACATGTATGCACATATGTATAGGTATGTGTGTATGTACATGTACATGCACACATACCTATACATATGTGCATACATGTACATGTATATCTATACACATATCCAGATACACAGACAGATGCTCATACATATGCATGCATGTGTATGTATATATATATATATATGTACATATCTGCATGTACGAATGCATGTATTACATGTTCATGTGCATGTGTATAGGTATATATATATATATATATATATATATACCTATACACAGATGGTGAGAGATCGAGAGAGAGCGAGAGGAGAGTGTAAGTGTATATGTTTGTATGTACACATAACCTGTATACACACATGCACATATGCATATACACATATGTATATATATATATATATATATATATATATATATACACACATATACATATACACACACACGCACATCCACGCGTACAGATGTTGGAGCATCTAGGGGTATGCCAGGTGTGCACATGTCTGCACTGTGTGATGAAAGGAGCTCGGCATTGCCGGTGGCATGGTCCTTCTATGCCCCCCGGCGAGTTGACACAAGTCCGACCATCGACACGGTATCCTAAACACCCCCCAGATCAACAACCCTGATCCAAGAACTTCAAGCCCCAAGCCCTAACCCCGAAAATGTCAATACCGAACACAAAACCCCTAAATCCCTAAACCCCTAAACCCTTAAACCCTTAAACCCCTAAACCCCTGAACCCCTAAACCCCTAAACTTTCACCCCACCGGGCCCCAGACCCCTAACCTAAGCATCCAACCCTGCAGGTAGGACCCTACTTGGAGGATCATGAGACTTAGTGTTCCTTTAAAGGAGCTATAAGGGTTACTATAAGGATTCAACAAGTTTTTTTTGGGGGGGGGGGGTACTTAAAGGACCATAAGACTTAGTAAGTAAGTTTATAAGTACCTTTCTTGGGCTTATAAGTAGTTTTAAGTATAGTTACTACCTTACTTATATCCCTAGTTACTAAGTCGCTTGATCCTCTAAGTAACCCCGCAAACTATAAATCATCATATGTATATATATATATATATATAGAGAGAGAGAGAGAGAGAGAGAGAGAGAGAGAGAGAGAGAGAGTGAGAGAGAACTCTTCATATAGATCCCTCTCAGGATCCCTTAATTTCAGGAACCCTAGTTACTAAGTCCCGTGATCCTTTAAGTAAACCCTGAAGTCCGATGGTCTTTACAGTTGCAGACGGAAGAAGACCTTAACACAAACCATCCGATCCCTGAACCCCTTCTATTTTGGGGTTTAGGGTTTAGCGAGCCAAACGGTTCTAGGTACTGTGATGGGGGCTACTTCCCCAGAAACATTATAGTAACGCTATAATTCCTAAAATACCCTAAGGGTCCATGTACCCAAAAAGGATATACATTGGCCCCAATGTACCTATATAGGGACTACTTTAAGGCCAGTGTATATACATATGCCCCCCTAAACCCTAAACCCTTAGGTACATGGACCCTTAGGGTTACATTCTACTATAAAGGTACTTTTGGACCTTTTGGGTAAGCCCTGAACCTTCGGAGGGCCGAAGTTACAAGACATCTCGAGTTAGGGACTCGGTTTTGTGAATCCTTTCAAATTTAAGGTTTAGGGTTCAGGGTTTAGACTTTAGGGTTCAGGGTTTAGGATTTAGGGTTTAGGGTTTAGGGTTTAGAGTTCAGGGTTTAGGGTTTAGGTTTCAGGGTTTGGATTCAGGAACATAGAGCCATGCAGTTGCAGGATGCAGATTACGGGGTACATTCTCATACGGAAGCTTTCGCACATGCAGCTGCACGATGCAGAGTACAGAGTACATTCCCACACGGAAGCTTCAGCACATGGTGATTTTGTATACAATGTTTGGCTCGCCAATAGTAGTCTTTTGCTCTTTGTAGTTTTAGATTCCCTTGCATATTAAAACTGAATACCAGGAAAGAGGTTACGCTCGTTATTGAGGGAACACGGGGAGCCTAGAATATGGAGATTGTCAGACACTTGGAGGGTCGGGGTACTTAGTAAGTAGGTAGTAAGTAGACTTATAAGTACCCTAAAAGGGACCCTAGTCGGGGTTATGGTACTTTTAAGTCCCTAAAATAACCAGTTACTAAGTCCCCCGACCCTCCAAGTAGACCCCAAACCCCTTATAGACACCTTTAAGGATCCCTTTAAGGAGCCCTTGAAGGGTTCTACTCAGGAACCTAGCCTTTCAGAAATCTCCCTAAACCCTAAGCCCTACAAGCAGGAGCACATTTCACCGGTGTCCTAGCTTCTCCTCTCGGCACTTTGCTTTGCTCGACAGTAGCCCGCTGTTGCGCGTAGCAATCTACCCTGAGGCTCCATGTACCCATATAGTATATACTTAGGCCTTAAAGGGGTACCTAAATAAAGGTACATAAAGGCCTAAGTATCTACTATATAGGTACATGGAGCCTTAGGGCTAGTTATCTAAGTTTCTGCGCAGTGCTTCGCACTGGGAGCGTGCCAACTCCACACTCAATATGCGCCTGACCCAGAAGAATAATCAAAGGGGAAAAGGAGGGACCCTTAATGGGGAGCCCTACCCTATAATGGGCTATATAATGGGTATATAATGGCTATATTATGGCTATATACCGAGGGGTCCTTATTAAGGGTCCCTCCTTTTACCCTTTGAAATAAGGCAGCTTATAACTTGGCAGACCATGGCTTCATCCGCCAAGCTCGGGATCTAAACCCTAAACCCTAAATCCTAAACCCTAAACCCTAAATCCTAAACCCTAAACCCTAAACCCTAACCACAAGATTGGCACTGTTGAGGATGCAGGAGGTTGTGTCGTCCCAAGGATCCTAACTATGGGTTTAACCAAAGAAGGAACCACAACGGAGACTGTAGGTACTCTGAAACCTCGAACCCAAGTCCCTCATTATTAGCTCCTGTGGACCCTAGGATCCGAATGTTTAGGGTGCTGGAGCCTTTTTTCGGAAAATTATTTAGGCCCCTATACTAAACCACCATAATACACCTTATCGCATTCCTAAAAGTCCCGTTTAAAAGGAAACTTTTGAAAAGGAGCCCTAAACCCTAAGTATTCCAGCCTCAGGTCAACGAGCGAAACGTGGGCTGCCGCCCGGAAGCTGAGACGGACCTGCTCAGCACACGAGGCCTTCGGCACCCACTTTAGGTGGAGAGGGGTTTAGGGGTTTAGAGCACAGGTTAGGGTTTCGGGTTAAGGGGTTTCGGGTTTGGGGTGCCGTTTAGAGTTTCGGGTTTAGGGGTTTAGGGTTTAGGGATTTATGGCTTTAGGGTTTGGGGTTTAGGATTGAGGGATCAAAAAGGAAAGTTGAGGGCATCGGAGCATCATGGGAGCACATCGTTTCTGTGTCGTTAAGACATATCCTCTTATGGTAGGCCCGATGATCGTTTCATGCTTCTCTCCTGGTCCATAAAGTCACGGACACACAGTCCATGATGGAAGAAGCCCCCATCACAACGGCGATGTGTTGGGATCTTAACAGGAAGGAGTATTCGAGTCGAGCCTCTTGGGTGTAATATAGAAGCCCTATCCTGTTGGCAGTTCCGCTGGGGTTTAGGGTTTTGGGTCTTGGAATGTCTTGGGTATTCCTCAGTGCCCGAGCGCTTATAACCCCAATTAAGGGTACTTCTAGTCTTGCTCACTCAGTCCCCATGCTCCTCCAAGGAGGACATAATCTTACGGGCTCAGAGGGCTAAGGGTTTAGGGGTTTAGGTACGTGGGTTTATGCTTATGTAGGTTACCATTTCCATGACCCTCCAAGTAAAGGAACCCTAGCCCCAACCTTAAACTAAGCGCTAAACCAAGTATATAAAGGAAGCCTAAAGCCTAAACCAAGTCTCCTCAGAGTCCTCACGCCAGAGGGGACTCAGTGGGAGGGTTGGGTCTAACATGTGTATAGTAAACCCCAAAAAGTTGGAAACCTGATTAAGGACAAAGAGTGCTGGGATTACTTTTACATTACTCTTAAGGATAGAGGCTATTGGGTTTCCAACTTTTGGGCTTCTACCTTCTACCATAAATCAAAACCACGTAAAGGAACCCTAAGTAGGCGCTGCAAGGCCTTCGCGGCTTCCGTCTCTTCGCAGATCTCGGCTGCTCGCAAGAGCTGGTGCCAGACCAGGCAGGGGGCGAGGTCTTCGGGGTCCTCTGAGGCTCTTTAGGGGTTTGGGGTTCAGGGATTAGGGTTTACGGTTTATGGTTTGGGGTTTAGGGGTTAGGGTTTGTGGTTTAGTGTTTGGGGTTTAGGGGTTCGGGGTTCAAGGAGAGAGAGAGAGAGAGAGAGACTGAGCCATTGAAGTCTGAACCCTAAAGTCCTAAAGCCCTAAAGCACAAAACCCTTAAGCCCAAAAGGAGTCCTGAAAGGAACCGAGAAGGGCTGTTCTCCGAGGTCTTCGCGTTGGATGGCGGGGGCCTAGTTCCCCTTCAGGACGTTTGGGTGCCTTTGCTTCACCTTGGCTTTAAGGGTTTAGGGTTTGAGGTTTGAGATTTAGGGTTCAGGAGTTTAGGTTCATGGGACCGTTTGGGTGCCTTTGCTTTACCTTGGCTTTAGGGCTTTGGGATTTGAGAGTTCAAAATTCAAGGGCTTGGTCTAGATTGGGGTTTTGGGGTTTAGGGTTTCAGGGTTTGGTGTTTTTGGGGCTGAGGCTTTCCGGGTGTAGGGTTTGAGGTTTAGGGTTCAGGAGTTTAGGTTTATGGTTCAGGGTTTGGGGTTTGGGTGCCTTTGCTTTACCTTGGCTTGAGGCTTTAAGGGTTCAGGGCTTGGAGTTTAGGTTCATGTTTGGTACGGCCCCCCACTCAGTAATAGTTCATAGTTGAATAATATTCATAACATATATATATATATATATGTATATATATATATATAGTAGGACCTCAATAGTAGCCCTATTATAGACTCTTACTGTATGGGGGGCCGTACCTAAGGTTCATGGTTCAGGGTTTGGGTTTCAGGGTTTCAGGGTTGAAATGAGCCGGGTGTCGGGTGGAAGAGCTTGGGGTGTGGTGGATCCTTGGGTTCTTTTGCTTCAGTTAAAGGGGAAAAGGTCCCGGCACCCTTACCCTATAATGGGCTATAATAATGGGTATATATTCGGTCTATTAAGGGTATATACCTAGGGGTCCTTATTAAGGCTTGGATAGTAGTAGGTACTTCTACCCTTGGATTCAAGTCTGGAGGACCGAACTCGGCAGTCAGTATTGAGGTTTTGAGAGCTGGGACAGCTACCAAAACCGTTCCTTTAGGATGTCCAGTAGTACCCTTATTCCCTCTGTGTAGTCCTAGGCTCCCTATTAAGTTACCCAATACCAAAAAGGGAGCCCTTTTTATTCCTAGGTTACTGGGCATCCTAGTCCTTCGAAGAGTTTCACTATGAGAGCCCCCAGAACCCTATTCGAATTGCTATGCCGCCACGTTTTAGGTGTACGTAGAGATCCGGGTGCAGACAGGGGAACTCTCCTTGAGACTCTGCTCGAATTGAGTTCTGAGTTCTGCACCATCCGACATGCACACCTTTTGGATTTCAAGACGTATTCAACACCCCGGAGGGTCCGAAGTAGTAATGTATTACAAGGCAGGCGTGCATGCTACACTCACTTGCTTTCTGCCAGCACCTTCCAGAATATGAAAAACATTGGGGTCGGCATATGTAGTCATAACATCCCCTTTTGCAGCCCCAATTCTACTGTTATATATTTATGCTGGTCGCAGACGCCCTAAAAGCTAAACCCCAAAAGCCCCTTGTATTCAGGATTTGGGACTTGGGACCCTGTACCGCATCATTTAAACCTAGGTGCCGCGGTGTGCTTCGGCCGGGCGGTGCTATGCCGGAGGCATGGTAATTAAGTGGGTGTAGGGTTGAGGGTTTAAGGTCTGTGGTTCCGGGTTTAGGATTTGGGTTCAGGGTTTGGGGGAGTCGTAACATTACTGATCTGGTAATTCTACTAATCATGATAATGGTATAACAAACTTTTTGAGGCTAGGGCGCCCCTAGCTGGAACCAGGGCCTCTGAATACCGAAAGCAGCTTCTTTCAGGGCTTTCTGTTGGGATTACTGTACAGGCTGGCTTGATCTTTGGGTTTAAGGTAGGGTTTAAGGTAGGGTTTAGGGGCAATGATAAACCCATGGAAGTATGCGTCTCGCTTGTCTGGGTACCCATACTGTCCTTAACAGTCCAAGTAGTCCAAAGAAGGTGCCATGCATTTTCGAACCCACGTACCATAGGGGCCTAGATTGCCTTAAATAATTACCAATACTATTGTTTTGGGGGTTCCTTATTGGAAATAGAATATAGTAAAACGGGCCCAAAACCCTGTTCTTATTACGGCCTCTGTATCAGTTACTTTCTTTCTGTGCTGGTCTGCAGTGTTGGACGGAACCCTCAGACCCAGCGGTCGCGAGGCACCTTCTTACCCGAAGCTGGACAGGCTTTAGATCTTCTAGCCTGCAAGACCCTGACCCCTGAAACAAGAACCTTAAGCAGGAAATCTGTAGCTGCAAACCACAGAAACCCTGAGATTATATGCCTCAAGCTTGTAAACCCTAAACGTTCCATGCGCTATCAACCACGACTCGACTCTTATAACACATACACTACACAGTGTAAGTCTTAAACCTGAAGCCAGAAGATTTGAGATTCACGGCTTTTGAATCAGAGCCCGGAACCACCTACGACTACCACTACGTCCACGACGACGACTACTACTGGGACGACGACTGCGGTGAGGACGTCTGCGACGACCACTACTACTACTACTACTAATACTACTACTACTACTACTACTACTACTACTACTACTACTACTACTACTACTACTACTACTACTACTACTACTATACTACTACTACTACTACTACTACTACTACTACTACTACTACTACTACTACTACTACTACTACTACTACTACTACTACTACTTCTACTGCCGCTACTACTACTTCGAGGATGACAGCCACTACGCTGCTGCTAGTCAAGATTAGCATGGCTGACCGCCAGCAGTGCCACTTAAGTCCACAAGGCCCTACAACGATGCAAAGCCGCCAAGCACACATGCTGCAGTCGGCCCGAGCCGGTAACAATCGTTGGTGTATTTTTGCGCCTGTCTTCCGGCATGGCGTCCGTGTCTCTCGGGTCCAAACCCTCAATTCATAAACCTTTACAGCATTGAGACCGGTGCCAATACTGTAGGGGCCTTAATAATTGGAATTTGTTTTTGGGGCCCTTTGTACATAATTATAATAAGGAACTTTCAATATAGTTATGGCCCCTGTATTGACTCCCTACCCATAATCGCCCTTCCGGGCAGGTGTGAGCTTGATGGCGACGTTTTCATCGCCACAGGTTGTGCGATGCGCGCTGGTAGATGCCGGGGACTCATCTTAAGGCAGTCCTAGACCTTCCAAAATCCCTTTAAAAGAAAGGAATGTCCCGTAAATCATATTAGGGGTCCTATTAGAATTAAAGGTATATTCCTTAGTTAAGGGATTTTGGAAGGTTTGGGATTTGCCAGAAAGTAGATGCCCTAATATGGGTCCCAATACCCTATACTACTAAGGGTACTTCATAGGAAACCCCATTAAGGGATCTACTTGTTGGATCTTCTTTGGGGATTTTGGAAGGTTTGGGATTTGCAGCCCATCATGGCCTATCTGGAAGTGTAGTCAGTGCAGATTTTCACTTGCACTTGGGCGTACCTGGAAATATTTTTTAATTTTTGGTTCTTATAATCCCTAAGAAACAGCTAGAATTGTAATTGTGGCTAGGGTTCTAAGTTCAGTATAGTCCAGACAGTCATCACGATGCCTTGAACAATCCTGCAGCAAGGCTTTCAGCAAAAACCACAAGCAAACATGCCGCTCCAAAAGCTCGCAGCGTAGTTTCTGGAAACAGTCTACGAGGACGAAGTACCATATCCTATTGGCTCAAGCCCCTAGATGCTGTGTGCTTAGGCGCCATATGAATATGTAACTGTATGTATGCATGTACGTACGCATGTATGTATGTAGGTGGGTATGTATGCCTGCGTGTATGCATGTATGTATGTATGTATGTCTGTGTGCATATGTATACATATATGTATCTATATGCATACACCTACATATGTACATATACAGACATGTTGATACACACATACCTACGTGCATACCTACCTATTTACCTGATTAACCCGATTCGATTCTATTTGTTAAACTAGGTCCCTTCAAAAGAAGCCGGTTCTCTTGATTCAGGTGGGTCTTTTCAATAACTCTTTAAAGGAACCCAGGTCCATTAGGTATGGTGTTCCCAGTGTTACTTCTTACCATAACTCTTCATGTTGTTGTCACTATCATTATTCGTGATCCTAGGCCCAAAACCCTAAACCCCTAAATAAATTAGGTAACCCTAAATAGCAGGTATCGGCAACTCCCTAGGATCCCAGCAAAGGCGCACGAGAAGTTCAGCCGCGGCTGGAGACTCGCGAAGAACTCGGCGGAGATCTCAGGAGCGAGGTTGGCTTAGACTGGGGTTTTGCGGTTATAGGGTTTCAGGGTTTAGTGTGTTGAGGGCTTAGGGTTTAAGGGTTTAGGGCTTATAAGGTCTAAGATTGAGAAGCTTTGAAGATTGACAACTCCACAATCCTGTCCTTGCAGGACTTCTGAAAGATCTGGCGCAGGCTGAGTGGTTGGAGGCAACGGCAGTTCATGGTGTGATGTTGTTTGTTGTTTATCTTCTTTCTTGTGGCTGGTCCTTACAAAGTACATATCATCCTGGTGACAGTTGACAGTATAGACTTTCGGGCTCTTGAACTAGGTACTTGGTGTCCACAGCGCCTTTACTTTATGGCGTTCCCTTTTCGGTGTTTCCGCGAACACCCCGCCCGCTTTTCAAAGCATACAAAAGCTTTGGGTTTACGGTTTCGGAGTTCAGGGTAACACCCGGAAAATGCCCTGAACTAAAATCCAGGTCGCGCGATCTGGGGCGAGCCTCGGGGTGAGAGCATCCTGGGACGGCCTCACAGAGGTCTGGCTGTTGAATTTCTTCGCCGGGTTTCCCGTAAGAATTTCTTGAACCGTTCTGTAAAGGGGTTCCACAGAATGGTGTTTCACTGCTTTCTAGGTTGCTGTTTGATTTGATAGGGTTTGCAAGGTTTTCCACGTACTATTGCTATGTTCTACTAGATCTTCTCTGGTTTCTAAAGCCTACAGCCAAAGGGGCTAAATGCAAGTATAGTATATACCGTTAGAGGCAGAGTTTAGAGGTGTCGGTGAAGCCTTTTCGGATTTCAGAGGATACCCTGAAGGTCAGGTGTCAGCATTCCCTCGCGGCTTGCCCTAAATCCCTCAAACCTAGATCCAGAAGCCTAATTCTAGGGCTTCCCGTTTAGGGTTCAGGGTCCAAGGTTGAGGGTTTAGGGTCCAGGGTAGGGTTTGGTACTCAAGCCGCCATCCGAGTTTCGATTTTAGTTGGCCAGTTTTCAGGGGATCCCTTCAGTGAAACAGGAACTAGGCAACCAGAAAACGGGAACACAATTCGGGTTCTAGGTAGAGTTTTGAGCGTAGAATGAGCTGTCTATCGAAGCAGTTGCGGCTTCGGGTTTGGAGTTGTCAGGGGACTTGCACATGGGGCTTCAATGTTCGGCACTTGCGATTTCGTTTCCCTCCCCGGAACTCCAAGCCCTAAGCTTACATTCGTGAATGCTAAGCCCTTAATTACACCCTATAGTAGAAGCCAGAAAGTTGGAATATCATTATCGTAACCCCTTGAAGGTAAATTATAGGGGATCCTACTATTAATCCATATTCCAACTTTCTGGAGTTCCCTATAAGCCGTGAACCCTAAAGTCTTTAATCCTCTGGACCATGGGTGCAGGTGGATTCCAGCGCTTCGGGGCCACTCGGCACTGCACTTTTGGGGTTTGGGTCTTTTTTGTGGAGCTTTGTAGGCCCTAAGCCCGAAGCCTTGGGCCCTAAATCCGCAACCATGCTAACCTTCCTTACCTTTGGTTAGTAGGGAATGGAGGAATGGGGTACAATTATAACTACTATTACTACCATTCTTCCATTCCCTACTAACCAAAGGTGAGCTTAAGCCCTATCGAAACCTAAACCCTAGACCCGAGACCCTAGAAGCAGCTGAAAGCCCTAAACTTACCTGACCCCCCCCCCCCCTATCTACTCCCCTAATATACCTAAACACCCAAGGACTCTATTAAAGGATGCTGGTAGGGTCCATGGTTTAGGGGTTTAGGGGTTTACTAGGTATGCCTTTGGGACATTTCATACTTTCCCTTATTGGTCTTAATAGGACCCTATTTACGAATATTTTTCAGAGGCTTTAAGGGGCCAACCTAGTTTAGGGTTTAGGGTATTAGAGCTTGAAATGTCTCGGGCCTCTGGCTTCGGGGTGCCGGGCATCCTAGGCCTTAAACCAGACGGATCCGAATCCAAAACCTTACCTATAGTTTCCATTGGGGTTCTTTCATTTTTAGGATCCTAACCAGAAAACTGGTTAACAAAAAAAGGAACTACAATGGAAACTATAGGTATTTGTTAAAATTCAAAGGTAATTCAAGGGCTAGGACCCAGAGTAGGCCCGCATTCCCTTTTTGGGGGGTTTCAGGTTCCCTGGTTTCTGGACAGCAGACCCCAACCCCAGAGCCCTAAAACACCCGAACCCTTACCCTAAACCCTAGCCCTTATAAACCCCTAGAGCCACTTAAGAAAACAAACGCTAGAGGCACTAAGCCCTTGGAGGCCTAAACCGCTAAACCCAGAGACTCCAATATTCCTTAATTAAGGAATATTCCTTAAATTATAATAGGATCCCTAATACGATTTAAGGAATATTCCTTAATTAAGGGATATTGGAGTCTCTGGGAACCCTGATTTGAGATCCCAGCTCCGCTCTCTAAGGGGGTCTTTGGCCTCTTGGGGAGCAGCAGATGCAGGCGTGTCGCTTGCCGGTGCTCTCGGAGCTTTGAAGGTTTGGGTACCGGGTTTAGGGCAATTTGGGTAGGGCCAGGGCCTTTAAGGGTTTAGGGTTTTACGGCCGTTTGTTGGGGTGGTTAAGGTTCAGCTTAGGGCCGTTTTGGGATTGGGCACGATGTGACATTATAGTTTCTTGCCAGGAATGCAACCTTCACAAAATGTGCCAGCGGTGGCACGCAGCATTGGCTTTGCCACTGTTGTTAACGTAGCGGACATATCAGGGCCTACCGTAAGCAAATAGCCATAATCTTTTGAGCACATATATAGCGAAATCATAGCAAGGAGCCCCGAAAAAGGTAGGTTTATCGGGTGTAAGGTTTATGGATCTTGGACCTAGAGTGTTGGGCAGTGGGTCTAGCCAACAAGGGGCAGCTATTCAAAGTTTCGAGTTTAGGCTTGAGGAATCAGGGTTCATAGGATGTAGGTTTAAGGCTTTAGGAACCAAAGATTCAGCTTTCATATGCATGCACCTAGGTGCGCTCAGCTACCATGGGCTCCTCGCTAAGATGTCAAAATCTGTCAATGCTCATCACCGTCTGGGGCTTTCAGACAGTGGCTTTTCGTTCTCATGCCTAGTAGTAGAGTAGGGAACCTTTAACCTTTTTTTGGGGTAGTATATTATAGTTCCTATATAATCCCTATATAACCAAAAAGGGTAAGCTTTAGTTCCCCATGATACCTGACAAGTAGGCAGCGCAAAGTCTTGAGGCCGAAGATTTCAGAATCTCAGATGCCCGTACATCGTAGTCTATCATAACCTCTCATATTCGCAGTTGCTTGCATCAAGCCCCTATATGAGAAGTTGTCAACATGACGGTCCTGTTTTGGGTATCCCAAATATTAGGTGCCGTATTATAATAAGGACCCCCAAAAGGGATCCCAATATTGACAACCATCCATTTATAGATACACACATATATAAACTCACCCCGACTACAAAACTCCTGCATAATCCCAATTTGCCATATTTGTTGGCAGTATATATGGACGATCTTGGTAAAGAGGCAGGCCCCCTTACAGCCAGGCACCAACAGCTCTGGTGGCTTCCTGTCGTCGCATGGCTTCTGACCATGAGGGTTTAGGCGTTTTGGGTTTGGGATTTAGGGTTTTGGTGTTTAGGGTTTTAGGGTTCAGGGTTTCAGGCTTTGGGGTTTTGAGCTTAGTTTACGGTGTGGGGCTTATGCAAGAACAGATCGAAGTCGCCGATGATGGAGGTGAAGTTGATCAGGGACCCGTGCCAAGCCATCCCAGCCGAATAGGAGAGGACGACTTGGATGCGGACCGCCCGAGCAGTGAGCCTGCATATCGTACTTTATTGGGTGTCGATGATGCCCATTTGGAAATGAGTGCATGTGTCAGCTGCACTGAGTTCTGGCCCCCACTGCAAGTGTAGGAAGTTTTGACAATCGTCAACCCGACACGTAAGGTTTCAGCCGGAAGAAGCAACAGCAGAAAAGCAGCCTTGTGATGACTCTCGCACCCCTCCAGCGAAGCAGGTTGCCAGAGCACAAACAAGCTTAAAGCAAGAGACCGCCAACCCCTGAAACCCATGTGCCCAGGTAGTATATGTTCAGGTGTTAGAGAGGTGTGTTCCTAAATGGGTGCTTTAACGCCTAAGTATTTACTATATCAGTGCATGGCGTGCCTTAGGGGATCCCCATGCTGAGCCTCAACCCAGCCCGTGGTTGAAATCCGAAACCTCGCAACCCAGGAAACCCTGAGCCCAAACTCCAAGACCAACATCCCAAAGCCTCGAAACCCCAAACCCTCGGGTGTGGAACTGTGGAAAGGGGCCCTTTCACACGATTGGTGCTCGCCTTGATCCTAATGATCCTATAAGGCCGGGTATAGCCGAAAGACTATCCCCAAGGGTCCGAGTACCCAATAATCGTATACTCTCCAAATTCCTAACCTACATAACTACTATCCAAAAACCGAGTACCTAATTATGGGGTCATTTGGACGCTTGGGGTATAGCCTAAAATCTAAGGCACACGAGGCCCCAACCCCTGGCTCCTTCTGGTAGGGACTTCTAGTTGTTCGAAGTCGGAAGGGAGCCCTCAACCCGAAATATAAGCCTTCAAACCCCTAAGCCTTAAATCCTGAAACCCTACAAATCCTAGAAACCCCCAAAATCCTCAACCCTAAATCCTGAAACCCTATAAACCCCTAACTAAACCGTAAAATCTTCAAAACTTCGACACGAGAACCTGTGAGGATCCTTGTGGCTTTGCTTGCAGCAGGGCTCTGCTTCGTGGCAGGCGACGGCTATTTTTTTTGTGGAGCGGGGGTTTAGGAGGGTTGGGTGGATTAGGGTTTACTTCGAGTAGCTAAGGTACCTTCAAGAAGACGTTCTGAAATGTACTTCGTTGGTTACTCAAGCGAGGGTTTTTTTTTTTTTTTTTTTTTTTGGGGGGGGGGTTGGGGTTTCGGTAAGGGTTTTGGGAGTGCGAAGGCTTTCAAGAAGGTGCATGGCTGAGGGTTTCAGGCTTCGGGGTCTTAGAGTGGCCCAAAGCACCACAGCCGCAAACCATAAAACCAAAAACACAAAGCACTCAACCCGCAAGCTGAATACTTATGCCTATACCCCAGTCCTTACCTGGGCCCTGCAAAACGTTGTCATTTTAGGGTTCCTAGTAATTTGTCCTTATACAAGTCCTTCAAAATGGTAGGTTATTTGGGAACAAGATGAACCCTAAACCCGAAACCCTTAAAGCTTCAAAAGGCACAAGATGAACCCGGAGCCCTAAACACTTAAACCCCTAAACCCTTAAGGAGGGACAAGATGAACTCCAAACCGCTAAGCCCTAAACCCTTGAAGCGGGACAAGATGAACCCCAAACCCTAAACCTAAACCGCCAAACCCCGAAACCCCTAAACCCTAAACCCCTAAACCCCCAAACCCCTAAACCCCTAAACCCTAAACCCCTAAACCTCTAAACCCTAAACCCTAAACCCCTAAACCCCTAAACTCCTAAACCCTAAACCTCTGAAGCCGGAAGTTTTGACCCCCCAGGAGGCTTTGTCTACCTCCGCCCCCTCTTCCGGGGACCTTCGCAGCCTGTGATGCTCCTTGGCGACTATAACGGCCTACTTACTTGTTTAGGGTTTAGGGGTTTAGGTGTTTAGGGTTAGGGTCCTCGGCGACTATAATAATGGCCTACTTACTTGAAGGATCAGGGGACTTGGTAAATAAGGTTGAATAAAAAGCACCTGGGTTTTATTTGTATTTTTTATAGCTAGGGTTACGTTAGTTATAACCCTGGTTGCTAAGTCCCATGACCGTTTCAATATGCCTGCGCAGGGAGCCGACAAGCTTTTGATTAAGGTTTATAGTTTTGAGGGGTTTGGGGCTTAGAAGGGTGCAGAGTTTAGGGGAAAGAACCTTGAAAAAGGTTCAGGGTTTAGAAGGGTTTAAGGTGTAAGGGGTTAAGCATTTAGGGTTTAGAGGAAACGCCACCGATTAAGAATTGCACTGAAATTTGCTTTGCCCAACGAGGGGTTCCCCCAGGATTTCCTTGGCTTACTTGGAGGGTCGGGGGACTTAGTAAGTAGGTAGTAAGTAGACTTATAAGTACCCCAAAAGGGACCCTAATTGGGGTTATGGTACTTATAATTCCCGAAAATGAGCAGTTACTAAGTCCCCCCGACCCTCCAAGTAAGGGGTCCAGGAGGACAAGGGCGGAGGCTGTATTCAAATAGGTTTCGGGGATTGAACTCGTATTTGGGCTGCTGAGAGTCTAGGCTTGTCATCCGATTGTGTTTTTGTTTGCCGACTGTCGTTGGCGCAACCGAAACTCGAATCCTACCAGCTGCAAGAGTTTCCTGATTAGTTTTGGGTTTAGCGTTTGGGGGTTGTTGTAAATGTGTTACATATGACATCAGGTTCTCATCAAGTAACTTTAACCTCTGAGATCGAACAAGCCCCCCCTCGACCAGCAAAGGAGGCTGCACCAATGAGCCCAATATAGGTGCCTTTGTTCTAATTACCTATACTATATCGGGAGCTTCCTTAGTGAATTATAGCATAATGAGCCCCAAAGCCCTATTCTTTTTTATTAAAGCCCCTAAATCACAGTACTCTGAAAGTACCCCCTATAGTAACCCTTATAGAGCCGTTCTTAACGAACCCTATTCTAAATATCCAGGCCGCTACAGTAAACCGTAAAACCCAAAACTCTGGATTGCCGGTTCCTCCTCTCCGTTCCCTGAACCCAGAGCCCGAGCGCCCGGAAACCTTGTACTTCAAGACCCCAAACCATTTACACACAAGAACGGCAAAGGAAAGTAACACAGCCAGGCTCGAAACTCGGGTTCCTCCTGTCATGTTCCCTCCTGCAGCTGTCCTTCTGGAAGACGAGGCCTTCAGCAGATCCATTTTCTGTGTCGATCGTGTTAGGGTTTATAGTGTTTGTTTGTTTTCTGTTCGGGCCGTAGGCCTACTCATTTGTGGGGCTTGGAGCATCGATGATTTAGGGGTTTAGGGTTTAGGGGTTTAGGGTTTAGGGGTTTAGGGTTTAGGGTCTAGGGCTCTAGGGTGTTGGGATTTTGGGTCTAAGGGTCCAGGGTTCAGGGTGTTTACAGAGCCCCTATAGATCTTTGCATTGTAGGAGCTGCTTCTACAAGAGTCTACCTAGAGGATCATGGGACTTAGTAACTAGGGTTATAAGTAAGGTAACTATACTTACAACTACTCATAACCCCAATTAAGGTACCTATGACTTTACTTACTAAGTCCTATGACCCTTTAAGTAAACGTGGTGCATGGCGGATGCACGGAAGTTCTGGGAAGGAATTTGCATCGCATTTCAGGCGGGGGCGAGGGACGCTGAACCCTAAATCCAAGAGTAAAAGGAGGGACCCTTGATAAGGACCCCTAGGTATATGCTAGTATATACCCATATATAGCCCATTATAGGGTAGGGGTCCCCATTAAGGGTCCCTCCTCTTCCCCTTTGGCTAAACTGAGTTTTGGTGTTGGCCTTTTGGGTTTTGATTGAGGAGTCTCCCGGCTGAAAAGCTTATGTCGAGGTTTTGTGTGGCAGGTGTGAGGATTTTAGGAGCTTAGAGGTTTTGTGGTTCAGGGTTTGGGACTTTGGCAGCTGTGAGGATTTCAAGGGGTTTAGGGTTAGGGTCAGGGTTTTTTAGCAGCAGTATGTCTGGGCACTATCATGTAAGTAGCACCAGGGACAGCGGCGAACTAGCCTCTGGGCGGCCCTCAAGCACAGCATCAGGAAATAAGTGACCCCGACAGGATGCATATTTGCGGCATGGTTTGATGGTTTCTGCAAGTACTGAATTCCCCAAAGAAAGATACTGAGGACGCTTAGGGCCAAAGTCTGGGTGCCCTACACCCAAAGCCCTAAGCCCCCCAAATCCCCAAATCCCTAAACCCTAAACCCCAAACCCTAAACCCTAAACCCCTAAACCCCAAATCCCTAAACCCCCCAAACCCCCCAAACCCCCCAAATCCCTAAACCCCCCAACTCCCCAAACCCCCCCAAATCCCTAAACCCCCCAACTCCCCAAACCCCCCAAACCCCCCCAAAACCCCCCCAAATCCCTAAACCCTAAACCCTAAAACCCAAATCCCTAAACCCTAAACCCTAAATCCCCAAATCCCTAAACCCCCAAACCCCCCAAATCCCACCAAATCCCTAAACCCTAAAGCCTTCGCAGGATGCTCTGAGCCCTGAGCACATCGATGTGTCTGCTGCCACCGCCACAACCACCGAGGAGCGACTTACTATACCCAGACCCCCGGGAGGATCACTAAACCCTAATCCCTTATAGATAACTTTAAAGGAACTCCTAAAACCCCCTGTAAAGAGCCTTAAGATCCCTACCCAGACCCCCGGGAGGATCTAGAAAGTAGATCCCCCAATTTGGGGCCCTACACTACTAAGGGTACTGTATAGGAACCCCCAGTAAGGGATCTACTTTTTGGATCCTCCCGGGGGTCGGGATAGGTGCCTTAACAATTAGACTAGATACTATACTTATAATAAGGAACCCCCTAAACCCTAAACCCCTCAACCCTAAATTAAGGCCCCTATGTTACTGTGGCAAGGCGAGTGTTTCGGGTTTGGGGTATAGGCTAGAAGGGGCCCCCACCCCGTAATAGTGGTATCAGAGGAATATAATAGGGCCCTAATGTAATCCTTATAGTCACTGTTACAGTATAGGGGTTTGGGGTAAGGGGCCTTGGTTTCAGGGGTCTTAGGTTCAGAGTTTTTCGGGCTATTCAATGCTTGAACCCGGAAGCCAAAAGCAACGACCCTTTTGGGCTAAACTTTAGATCACTGTGTTTGAGAGTTGCTAGAGAAACCCTAATGAAATCTGCTTATATAAGACCCTGAGAGCAGATATCCCAAGAGGGCTCACCATCAGAGGACCTCAACCCTAAACATTAATGAAGACCTACCATCAAAGGACCTTAAGATCAGCTTCCATCGCCAGGAGGCCTTCATAAATCCTGAACCCGTGCAAAAAATATCTTTAAAGCTCTATCATAAGCCTTAAACCGTCGAACATGAACCCTAATAGAGTTATAAAGCAGGATGTAGGCATTCTATATAGTACTGTAATTTGATATTATAGTATTTTGGTAGGTAACCCCTAACCCCTAAACCCAAATCTCTAAGCCCCCTAACCCCCTTGAACGCTAAACCCTAAACGGCCCTAAGCCCTCAGGAGACATGCCAGCTGTCTTTCGTCTCGGGCGAGGTTTCACGGCAGAGTGGATTCGGGTTCAGGCGAGCCCTAAGCCCTAAAGCTTAAACCTTAAACCCTAAGCCCCTAAGATTTAGGGGTTTAGGGTTCATGTTGTCCCCAAATATCCTACCTTTTTGAAGGACTTACAAAAGGAAATCAGGTTAGGGAACCCTAAAAAGGGGAACCTTAAGCCTTCAAAAGCAAACTTAAATCCCTAAACGTACAATCCTAAGCCGAAAAAACGAACCCCTGAACCCAGAACCTCTAGCACTAAGCCCCTAAACCCCGAACCCCTAAACCCCGCAAGCAAGCGATCCCTTCAAAGGACATGCAGGACCTTAAGGGTCTAGGTACTCTCCCAAATAGCAACCTACATTAATTAGCTCAATCTAGTCTTTTCGGTCTAAGGTGCACGGCTTAGTGTCTCAGGTTCCAGGTTTAGGGGTTCAGGGGTAGGCTTCAGAGAAATTTCTCAAGAGGGCTTTGTAAGGATTTTCGTAGGGCACCGTTAAGGGCTTGATAGGGATCTTTCAAAAGTCCTTGTCGGATCTGAGAAAAATTTCTTAGCAGCTCTTGTAAGAGTTCTATGATGCTTTTTCACTCGCGCCCTGCGAAAGGAAAGAGTGGAAAAGGCAAGGCATAGGGCGAGTGGAACTAGTGGAACAGGCGGAACGGTCGGAGAGAGTGGAGCGACTGGAACGAGTGGAATAGACCGACTAGCCCCACCCTCAACCTGTGTCATAGTTGGGTAGCATTTTACATTTTTATTTGTACTTGAACCCAATAAGGAATGAGCATGTACAGTTTTAATCCTATCCCAACAATGAACTAGCAACCTTCAACCTTTTTGGGTATTATAATCCCACTATACTCCCAAAGCCTAACCTTTAGTTCTCCAGGACGCTGGGCAAAGTACGGTAGGTATATTTTCCTAGCTGGAATCGAAGGAACTTCTGCGGAAGCGCAAAGAGGGAGTGTTTTTGCCGCGGACGTTTTTCTGCTAGGTCCCGGAACATGCTAAGATAGGAAACTGATAAATATCGGGACCTTAGTGAATAGGGTTCCTTATTACAATTCTGGTATAATGGGCCCCCAAACCCTTTTTATAAGTATTAAGGCCCCTATATGTTCTGCTCAGGTCTTTTCCCATCTCCAAGCGCTGCTGGACTTCACACATCTTTCGGTACCAGACAGGCCATCTTAGCACTTGTATCAGTTGGAGAAATTATTCAGGTTTGGGTTTATTTGTATTTCATATGAAGCAAGTTGGTGAGTGCATAGAGTTCTAGGCTATAGGGCTAGTTATAGACGAATATTAATGGGTGTTCATGTTGTGTGTGATTTATGGGGAGACTCGCACATTATGCAAAAGCGTCCTTACATGGTTTACTGTAGGGCTTCAAGCGCTTCAGGGGCTTGTAGGGCTTGGGGGTTTAGGGTTTGCGGAATCGTTGTGCTTGTAGGAAATGCCGGCTTGGGTTTCTCCTGCCGTGACTCTTGTAGGCGTTTAGAGCTTAGGGGTTTAGGGTGTAGGGATACTAGTTCTTTTTCCACATTCCACCTCGGGCGTGATGCCAACGGAGGGTCTTCATCGGCGCTGCCACATCTTTTCAATTTAATGTTTGGGATTTGGTGCTCATAAGGGGTTGAACGTTAGAAACCCAATAGCCTCAATCCGCAAGAGGGAATCCCAGCACTGATTGCCCTTAATCCGATTTCCAACTTTTTGGGTGGTTGTCAAAATTAGCGTCCCTTTTTGGATACCCTAACTATTAGGTGCCGTATTATGGTAAGGACCCAATAAGGGACCCTAATTTGGACACCCACCCTTTCGGAGCTTGCCCCCCGGAATGTAGGATGTCATGGCCTGAGATTCTGCATGCCTCGTAAGGTACTTCAGTCGTGACGGCTTGGATTGTGGGGGGACCCGAAAAGCCAAATTAAGGGCTCTCTGTCTTAGGCCTGGATCATACGTATATGTCCTCCATCAGAACCATTTGCGTCCTGAAGGCTCTCCTGTATGCAGGCAGTTCCCTTTTCTAGATGATCCGACCAATGTCGCAATGTCGCAGCTCGCAGAGTCATATGAACTATGTTATGCTACATCATACTCTATACTTCGTATTGTGAGGTTATACTGTCTTATCTTCTATGAAATCTTTCCAGAGCCCCTTAAGATCCCCAATACCCAACTTGTTGGGGTAGTAAGCTTACCCCCCAAATCCATATAGAACCCTGAATAGTAATAAGCCCCTATAGATCCATTAAAGGAGCCCTTCAAGGGAACCCGAGTCGCAAAGTAGAGCCCGTTTAAAGAACCCTTACAGCACCAGGGGATCGGTCTCGTCACCTCGCCATCCAGCATTCCTTTGTACACTCTACCTGGGGTTTAGGGTTTAACGGCTTAGGGGTTTGGGGTTTTGGGGTTTGGGGTTTAAAAGTTCAGGGGTTTTGGGTTTAGGGGCTTTGAGTTTTGGGGTTTTGGGTTCAGAGTTTAGGATTTAGGATGTAGGGCGGGAGGAGGGTTTAGGGATCTTGAAGGAAGGACCCGTGCAATATTGCAGTGTACTCAACACTAGAGCCTAAGGAAATGTCGAAGCCCGACGATATCATATTTCAGGCTTGTCCGTAAGGTCCAAACCTCCCTCCAGGACAGCTGCTGGCGTGCCTGGGCCGAGATATACAAGCAGCAGGGGGGGCGCCATGCTTCAGCCGCCACAAGAGGTACCCTAAACCCTGTAAAGCGCGAAGAGTATCCTAAAACCCTGAACACATCTGAACACCATGACACCCGAGCCTGCGGCAGTAATTACGTTTGAACCTGCGTCAAAAGGCAGCTGGAGGGCTTGGGCCCGAGCCTCTGTGCCCCATGTAGTACGAGATCCCTTATAGGAACAGTTCTCTAAAGCTTTTATAGAGGTACACCCTATACTGCGGGCACATGGAACCTGAGGGGGAAGTCTTGTATGGATTTGGAGATTAGGTATTGAGCACACGGGGGTACGGTCTGCCCTGTTCGTGCCCGGATGCTGTCTAATATGCCGCATATGCCTAGGACTCTGATGATTTCCATTTCAGCTTTGATCGTGGTCATGGGTACATACAGATGTGTAAACTTTGACAAATTTGCAGATTCAGTCACCAATGCCCCATAATGCCCCTACCTTACATCCCTCAAGCATCTTACGTAGTTAAACCCAGAAGCCTGGGACTGCAATTCCCTAGATACCCAGGGTTGTACGTCGGCGCAGGGACTTCTTGTTTCCATGTATTCCTCATAAGTGGGCGGCATGTGTCTGTGACCAGATCGTTGGCCCACTGATATCGCGCTTCGTTTAACCTTGTACCTGTATAGAAAAAAAGGAAGATCCGAAACCTTGTATCCCCCAAACAACCCCCATCCGAGGCTGCTGAGCCTCCTGTTGCTGTCCAGCTTCGCCACGCTCTGCGAGTGAAGGACCGGATTTGGAAGGCTTCAGGAGTTTCTAGTTCTTGGGTTCTGCACATTTCAAGATTGAGGGAACAGTACTTTTGAGTCTGTCTGTCTGTCTGTCTGTCTGTCTGTGTGTTTGTACGTGTGTGTGTCTCTCTGTCTGTGTGCGTGTGTGCGTGTGTGTGTGTGTGCGGTTGTGTGTGGGGGGTTTCTGGCAGTGCTAGGGGGTGTCGTGGATTTGAAGTGTTGCTTCTTTGTTGCATGGTTTTCGGTGGTATAAATGGTTCTTTACCGGACCGTGGGAGCATGTGCACGGAAGTGGTTTCAGACAGTTTAGTGGTTAGGGTTGGGTTTAGGGCTTTTGGGGGTTGGGGTTAGGGGTAACGGGTCGTTTAGGGTCTAGGCTCCTGAAGACATAAACCTAGGACAGGGTTTTAAGCTTGGGGCTGCTGTGGGCTGTATACAGTCTATATCCCAGCAAAGCCTTAAGCCCTTAGCCCCAAATCCTTAAACCACCGAGTGTACGATGAAGCTAGGTGGTGCAATCGCAGAACAGAGTCCGTCTCTCAGGCATCCTCACCCCCTAAACCCTAAAGCCTAAACCCTAAACCCCTAAACCCTAAAGCCTCAACCCCTAAACCCTAAGGCCCCTACCTACCTTCGTCCCCTGCTTTTTGAGGCCTTTCAAACTTCACGGAACCCCGGTCCTCCAAGTACTACTATCTTGTAACCTTATCAAGACAGGTCCCAATGTATTTAGTATCACTCACATACCCCCCCCCGAGAAAAAGCTCAAACCACCTAACCTAAAGCTGGCGATAACGCTTGTAGGAACAGTAACAGAACCATTTTAATGAGCCGTTTAACGGAGCCCTATTCCAGTTATTAAGGTACCGACTACTCCCGCATGCCGCGCTTAGCAGGACTCTGCCAAGTCCCGTCGCTATGCAGCTTGGGCATGAGTTAACATGGCCGCAGGGGCTCAACAACACACACAGTATACCTGGATTCTAACAAGAATCTACATAGACAGAACCCCGTATCATGTTCCTACGTTTTGGTGTCCCTTATTACGACTTCCTGTCATATGGCACATGCCAGCTACTTCATCTACCATACGGTCCTCGGGGACCGGGACGGCTAGGTACGCAACGGGTCTTGAGTAGCCATTATGGGTTCCTTTAAGGGTTCCTTGAGGGTTTAGGTTTGGGGGTTCCTTTAAAGGTTCCTAAGCTACATAGTAGAAGGTAGGGTTTCTGGAGAAGGAACTGCTATTATTGTGCAAGTATCCGAGAAACAGTTGTTAGGTACTTATAGGACTTGTTTAGGGTATGCCTCGACCTTACCGTCGGTACTTTATGGGTACACAGATTGTCATTCTCTTAGTCTTAGCCCCAGCACTGAGATGCAAAACGTAACGTGTTGCAACATCAGGGTTTAGGGTTTAGGGTTCGTAGTTGAGGGTTAGGGTCGAATAGGCATGATGCAGGCCCCATTTCTAAAGTTGTCTATGCAACTTCCACGAAGCCCTTCTACCATAGTTCATTATCAAGACTCTTCTACATTTCAGGCGCCTCGCATTATGAACTCTTGTACAAACCTCCGACCAGAATGCTTCCTCCCATGTAATGGTGGGTAGCCCAACACCTGAAACCAAACTCCAATCCCTAAACCCTTTCAACCCTTTCAATGAGCGTGAAAGCCTCGGCGAAAGGGTTGGTACCTGAACTCTTTAGGGACAGCGAGTGTCCAGCACTGAGATGCACAACGCAACGTGTTGCAACATCAGGGCTTAGGGTCTACCCTAAGGGTCCTAACAAATTGGGGAACCTCAATCTTAAGTCTTAAGGGATTCTGACACCCCAAAGAGACCCAAGGACTCTCCCGAGGAGATCCCGGACCCTCCTAAGGAGATACCTGGACCCTTAGGGTAGTAGTAGCTCTAAAATCGGGGCCTGTACGAACCCATGGGCTGAATACCAAAAAGGTTTAACCAATTGTATAAGTACAGTAGAAGCCAGAAAGTTGGAATATGATTATCCTTACCCTTCTATGGTAAATTATAGGGGATCCTACCATTAATCCATATTCCAACTTTCTGGAGTTCCCTTTAGGATCCTATATAGAAGGAACTACAATGGAGACTATAGGTAGGGTCTAAAAACCGAATCCTTGGGAGACTGAGGCCCATCAATGTGGAGCAATCCGCCGGAAGCGACGCTGGGCATACACTAGGATCCCCAGTAGTGCCCTTATTCCCTTTTTGTAGTCCTAGGTTGAGGCCTTTTTATTCTTAGGTTACTGGGTATCCTAGTAACTAGGGCTTCAGGTTTAGGGGCTTAGGAGCTGGAGCTTCATTCGGGGGCCTTAATAATTAGAATCGGGCTGTTTGGGCGGGTTCCTTATTATGATTATAGCATAATATACCCCACAGCCCTAATTTTAGCTCTTAAGGCCCCTATATTAGTAGCCTTTGCGTTATTTGTTGTTTGTTGCCTGCGGGTTTGGAGATATCAGGGATTAGGGTTTATAGGGTTTAGGGCCCTAAACCCTAAACCCTAAACCCTAAACCCTAAACCCTAAACCCTAAACCCTGAACCCTGAACCCTAAACCCTAAACCCTAAACTGTTTAGGGTTTCTTATTACAGGGTTGGGGGGTCTCAGGTTCTGAGCCCACGGGGTTTCGTCCAGGGGTTATGGCGGCTTAGGGAAATCAAGGGCCTGGGGGGGCAGATTAAAGCCCTTAAGCCCTAAACCCTGAACCTTATTGAGGTTGCTACTCTGCATGTGCCTGCTGGAATCATTTTTCTGACTTGCATGTTGTATGACTATATGGTTGATGCACGGACGCCACACGAAGGCGGGTTGCATTTTAGAGCTAGATGGCCTGGTTCGGGTATGTCGCTTGCAAGCCTTTGGAATCCATCGCGGTTGGAGTTCTTGGCAATTCAGCGGAAGTCATGCCGGGACTCGAGAGGGTTTAGGGCTTCAGAGTTCGAGGTTTAGACTTCCTTAGCAGCGGCGATCCGTTTTTAGTCTGAACCCCTTTTAAATTGCTGAATCCTAGACCCCAAGTTTAAACCTAGAGACTTCACCCCTAATAAGCCTTAACTGCCGAACGCTAAGGAAAGTCTAAGGAAAGCCAGGGTCCAAAAGGACAGAATCTTGGGTTTAATTTAGGATAGTAGTTATGAGGTTAGTGTTTGGGAGTGTATATGGTTGTTAGGTCCTTGGACCCTTAGGGTAACTTTCCTGGCATAACCCTACACGCCAATCCCAGACCCCCAAATAGACATCCTTATTGAAAAGAGGTTTGGGCTCCGTGGACCAAACTTAAAAGACTTTCCTACAGGGTCCAGACACCTGCAAGTGCCACCCCTGACCTCAAGCACGAAATTGACGATGAGGTTTGATTGATTCGGTACTTGGAGCCTCTCAGAAGCACTGGAAGCGCTCATAAGCACTCCATGAATTGCCGTTTCAAACGGTACTGTGAGTTTCCATCTTCCCTAAATCCTACCTTGACCTACCAAAACCTAGTTTTTTGTAGAATAATGAGCCCTAATATGGAATTGAAGGTAACTCTTATTCACCTTAAGCCCTAAACCCTCAAGCCCTAGGTTCCGAGCTGAAACCCATTTCACCGGAACTGCTCTCGGCCGCTGCTGCGGCGAAGATGGATCTCCAGAATGCTCCTGGGCCCTTAAGTCAAAGTAGAAGCCCTAAACCCCTGATATGGGGGCATCAACAGAGACCCATACTATTTTGGGGGCTCCTTATTATAATTGTAGTAATTATAACGGGCCCCCAAATCCTATTCTAATTATCCCCTATATTGAACTCCTGAACCATGGCAGACCGAGAGTTGGAACTTCGGCAGCCTACCTACATCGATCCTACAAATACCCTAAGGGTCCAGGTATCTCCCTAGGAGAGTCCGGAATCTCCTAGGGAGAGTCCTTGGGTCTCTTTGGGGTCTCAGAATCCCTTAATTTTGAGGTTCCCCAGTTTGTTTGGACCCTTAGGGTACCCATTGCTTGGGACAATGTGTGCCTATTTGAGGGTGCAAGGAGGGTCCTGGTACACTACCTATATGGTGACAGTACAGGGGCTCACGGCGCTAGTCATCCTGACTGACTCCATGTTCCAACCTTTTCTTGCGGTGTAACGAAGACCCGCTACGACGGCTTGAGGAGTTAAGGTTTGGGGGTTCAAGGGTTTGGTGGATTTTGGGGTTTCGGACTTGGGATTTCACGTTTAGCGTGTGTCTCAGGTCTAGGGGTCTTCATAAGCTTCGGGGTTGTGAGTGTTTAGGGTTTTATGTTTAGGGTTAAGCAGTGTTCAGGCGGAGTTTTGGGCGTGCGGGGTTTCGGAGTGTTTGGCCGCGGAGTATCCCTTGAGTCATGGAGGTATCTTGAGTATGAGTTTGAAATGTAGACCTGTTGCCCCTTGTTCAGGGCTGCGACGGACCAAGCGTGTCTACCTAGGTAGGCCACTTGGATATGCATGTTATAGCTTCTCTGATCATGTTTAATGAAAAGAGTCTCTGATAAATGCTAAATAACGACTCTGGACTCCAATCCCTAAACCCTAAAACCCGTGAAAAACAAACGCTGAACCCCAAGGGTCCAGGTACCTCATAATCGTAGACTCTCCAAAACCCTAGCCTACACAACTATTCTCTTAAAACCGAGTAACTACCTAATTATGGGGTCCTCTAAACCCTAAACCCCTAAACCCTAAACCCTAAACCTTGGACCCTTGGGGAAATCCCAGTGCTTCAGATCACGGGCTGAGGTGATTCCTGGACCGGACCCGGCAGCCAACGAGTCGTATCTCTGGTATCTTGCGCTGGGTTTCAGCCTTGTCCTTTTTCATGGTTCCCCCAAAAAGAATAAACAGACCGGCTAGTAGACCTTCCCTAAATAAGTCCTACTAAGGGATATAGAGGTACAGGGCTCTGTCTATTATTTCTAAAAGGACAACGGCGCCGGGTTTGGGGTGCCGGCTCTAGGGTTTCTTAGAGTTTTAGGGCCTGAATAGCTAGGGTAGTGCTTAGGGGTTTAAGTGGTTTAGGGTTTAGAGTTTAGGGCCTGAATAAATAGGGTAGGGTTGAGGGGTGTAAGGGTTTAGAGTTTAGGGCTCATGGCTAAGAGTGTATTAGGGTTCAGGGTTTGTTTCGGGTGTTTTGCGGGCTTTTTCAGGCTAAGTGCAGGAACGACGACTCCCCCAGGAGCATATTTCCCAAGCTCAAAAGATGCTCAACGCTGTCAAACTAAACTCTACACCAAACGCTAGGCCCTGAATTTGAAAAGCAGTAGACCCGAAAGAGTATGCCCCCTCTGATACCCAAATCCGTGTAAGCCAAGACCTATATGCAGTTTAAGCAAGGAGGGGAACTCCCGAATGTTTACCTGTAAGAATCCTTAAAATGGTAGGTTCTTTGGGGTTAAGTTAATGGGTAGGGATGGTGGGCTTGTGGGTTTATGCTGTAGCGTTTCGGTCTAGGGATTGGGGTTCAGGGTATTTGGGGTAAGCAGCTCACGAAGGCTTCTCCACACAAGACTCCAATATTTCGCAAAAAGCTTCCCCCCCCCGCCCTGCCATCGGGACCCGAAGCATCGACTTTCGAAGTCCACTAGATCCGAATTCCGTTACAAGGACTCTGCAGTGCCTTAAGACTGGAGAGCTCCGAATTCACCTCAAGCTGCATATGGGAGTTTCCCAAAATAGGGGACCGTTATATGTACCCTAAATAGTAGGATTCTTATTATAAGGACCCCCAAATAAGATAACCCCCTATTTTCGGAAATTCCCATATCTCTGCAGTTGAATAGGTTCTGCCGCGTTCACGGGTGTGTCCCAAGGTCAAGACCTGGCTGACGTAGAGTTTATGCCTAAGGGCTTCAAAGCTGTACCCTGAATCACGCGTCCTTGACCAAAAGGCAGAGCTATAACCCCTAGCTACACTTCCTGATCCAAAGCCGTTCACCACTTGAACACCTTGCTGGTTGACCCCGAGCAATCCGCATCGGGAGCGTGAACAAACACTGAACATCATTCAATCGCTTTCGACACCCATCAAGTCATGCCAACCTCATGCAGTCGCAGAGCTGTGTACACCTCACGAACTAACCCCCCATGTCACAATCGCCTCTACTGCATATATAACGCAACCCCGAAGAGCAAAGGCCTCTGTCATCGAATCCCTTTCGAAACCCTTAACTTACATGCAACCTGAAAGGAATCCTTCAGCGAATCCATAGGAATCCGAAGTTCCACGTTAATAGCCGAAGCCCCGACACCCCAAACCCCAAACCCTCCTAAGAGAAAGCCCCTAAGCCCTAAACTTATTCAAGCAACCCTTAACCTTAAGCCCTAAACCCTGAGCCCCTAAGCCCTAAACTTATTCAAGTAACCCTATAACCCTAAACCCTAAACCTTTGATAAACGCCAGGTGCCAAACCTCGGTTCGCTTTGCTTTGGCCCTGGCGCAGGGCCATGGCTGGGAGGAGCTGGCTCGAGGCTTGCTTGGGGTTTTTTCACATAAAACCCAAGAGAATCTTAAACATAAGAATTTTACCATGGTTCTAAGGGGATATATCATTATCTATGCGACTAGGATGGGGGTTCGAGGGGTTTGAATGTTAGGCTGAGGGTTGGGGTTGAGGGGTAAGGGTTTAGAGTTTAGGGTTTGCTAGGATGCCCAGAAGTACCCTTATTCCCCTTTCCGCAGTCCTAGGTTCCTCACAGAGCTACCCATTACTGAAAAGGGAGCCCTTTTTATTCCTAGGTTACCGGGCATCCTAGATCCCTAAACCCTATAAGCCCCATATCACCCTATAAACCCTATAAACCTGGCCATATCACCCTATAAAACCTATAAGCCCCATATCACCCTATAAGCCCCACAAGCCCGAAAAAACCCTAAGCTTAGGTTTGGGCATCCTGGGCATGCTAGAAGATGGGGGGGGGGTCGGAATTAATGTAGGAACTTGACTAAGAAACCTTTACTGTAGAAGCCCAAAAGTTGGAAACCCAATAGCCTCAATCCTTAAGAGTGATGTATAGGGGAATCCCAGCACTATTTGGCCTTAATCCGGTTTCCAACTTTGTGGAGTTTACTGTAACCCAAAACAGTAGGGTTCATATAAGGAACCCTAAGAAAGGCCCAAGGTTTCTTTATCAGGTTCCTACATTATGCCTCTAAAGGGAGCAAGAACCTGTGAGAGTTTTGGGTATCGGTATGGGGGAAGCTTACGTAACAACATGCGGTTGATTAGTTTGACATACTTGCGGTTTTAGAGTTAAGCAGATAAGCTTGTCAAGCGCTGCAAAAATCGTGCTCAGTATTGAGATTATAGAGTCCGGGGTGTGCGTATACTGTAAGGGTCCATGTACCCAACTAGTATATACTTGGGCCCCAGTTTATGGGGAGGACCTTAAGGCCAAAGCTTATACTGTTAATATGCATGACTAGGGCATCTTAATATAGTACCTAATTTCCGGAAACTCCCTCAGTGTGCATCCATTCGCATCTTCCGCAGCCTCAAAACCTCTCGGAGAAAATCGTCCGCCCAGGTGGTCGAAGTGGGAGTCTTGGCCACAACTTGAGGGCTTACCAGGACCCCCAAGGGCCCTCCAATAGAGCCCTTATGGACCTTAATAGGGGGGTCAGGTATGCCCAAGCACATGAGTTGGGATGATATAGCCTTCGTTGTATACAACCTGTACTGTACATGCGCAGACAGAATCCTGCACAAGGATGGTATGGTTTTCACAGGGTATTGATCCGAATTCGGGGTGCTGCAGCATTTGTCCACCAGCAGCAGGGACTTGGCACTTCCCTGCCAGAATGTACCCAGAATGGAATGACACGGCATTCTGCTGGCAGCTCCTTCGGAGACCAGGCAGATTGTCTTCATCACGGTCATGACATATCAGAAGTCAGAAACACAAATTTGAACGATCATGAAGAAGAGCAGCAAACAACAGCTTTGCATACCATTACACGACTATCAGTAGTAAGGAAAAACACATCCGAGGTCCATTCGCCTCACCGAAAGCTGTGCGCAGGCCCCGTCAACTACACCCGTCCCGGGTTTATGGCCTTCGCAGGGGTCACTACTTTAGGGCATCTGAGGTGACCAGGACTTTGCAGGGCTTGGTAAGCTTTATGAACATTTTAAACGGTTTCGTACGGTTTCGGCGAAAGGTGTGTAGGGCATAGGGGGCTGCCTGGTTCGTTAGCTTGAGGGCTTCAGTAGTTTCGGGGTAGTTGTGGGACATGACAAGTGCTGGATAAATCTACCTGTGGAGTCACAGGGGCCTAGTGCAACTTGTGATGATACGGATAGCGATAGAAGGATTGGTGGAGGTCTTACCTATCACGTGAGCCCCGGATATCAAACCTTGATACCATAGACTGTTCTCCAAGTGCTCCAAGTATACAACTAGTACCTACTTTGGGGTCTAGAGACTAAAGTCTAGGAGTAGTACCTACATTGGGCTGATTACTTGGAGCCCAATGTTCGACCAGCTTGAGTACTGTGGCCCAACATGCCGGTTCATTAGCCTAACCTGAGGACGGATGCAGCCCATTATCCTAACTCTAAGACCCTGAACCATGTGAACCCAGCACTGGGTTGCACACCCTGCACCGTAAGCCCGATACCCCCTATATGGCTAGGTGGCGATTTGGGAAACTTTTTAAATTCCCTTATGGTTCCTATAGAGGTACCTATCCAAAACTACAACCCAGATAGGTACATTGGGCCCAAAGTATATACTATTTGGGTACATGGACCGTTAAAGGGTTGTTGCAGGTTGAGGATGTGTTCCCAGATCGCTCTGGATACTACGCCGGGATAAGCGCTTTGCTCCTTTGCCGCTTGGCTTCAAGCGGTACCCAAAGACTCCAATATCCCTTAATTAGGGAATATTCCTTAAATCATATTAGGGATCCTACTATAATTTAAGGTATATTCCTTAATTAAGGGATATTGGAGTCTCTGGGTAGTTTGTGCTCAGCTTTGGGCGCACTCGAAGCCCTCAACCCTGAACCCGAAGACGAACCAACACCCAGATCCCAGCCAACACACCCATAAGGCCCAAACCCCAAAACCCATCCCCAGAAAAGGTCTTCTCGAAGAGTTCAGTCAGCTTTACGAAAGATGGCGTTACATGGAGTGGGGTTTAATTAGGTCTCAAAAGTTATGCTAGGTTCTATTCATACACCCTATCAAGCCTGAGCCCTACCAGAAATCTAGCCCTCCATTTAGCTGAGTTACTAGGGCTTCAGCTTTGCGGTAGAAGCCTCAATCAGGTTTTTGAACCATAACTATACCAATATATACTATGCCAATTTAGATTTATATAATTATATATATATATATATGTATGTATATATGTATGTATATATGTATATATGTATATGTATATGTATATGTATATATATATATATCTATCTATATATCTCTATATATATATATATATATATATATTTAACCAAAACCTTGTTCAGGCTCCCCCGTTGTGAAAAAAGGACTAGCAGATGCCGCCCTCATCCCGAAGCCTCCTCGACCCGACTCGACGGGGGTGCCCCCGAGTACTTCTTTTCAGGGCAGAGGCGGCGAGAGAGGGGAGGGTGTGCAAGTCAATCATGTTGAAAAGGGTAAAGAAATAGCAATATAGATACAGGAACAGTTGTGTATGTGTATACATATATATATATATATGTATACACACACATACATACACCCACATATGCATGCATGCATGCATGCATGCATACATACATACATACATAGTAAGCATACATATACATACAGATACGCATACATGTGTCATGATAGAGGGTCACGGGTTTGGGTTAATCAGCGTGTCGCCGGTCTCGCATATACCTCAGAGTCCAAGTACTGCGCTTGTGCACTTTTGGTGTCTCAGTTTGTTTAGTTTCAGTGTTTAGGGTGTACTATGTTTAGGAAAGCTTAAGCTTTAGGGACTTGCACAAATCATGCGCCGAAACCTTGTTTAGGACCAGGCGTGGAAAACCCTAATCTCTAAGATTTCAGGTCGTGTCTGCGTTGGAAAGTTCTGCTACATCGCAGAGACCTGGCTGCGAAGCGTTTCCACGGATTTCAAGCTAAACTCTCAAGCTCTCTTAACGAACCAGAAACCAACCCTACCTAGACCCTTAAATGCAGTACCATTTTACGCGGTCGCAAGAGACAACTGGGTACCATATAGGACCCCAAGATAGCAGGTGGCTAAATGAAACAACGAACTGTAATGCAGACTATAAGTAGAATGAAAGAACGTTCAATGTAACCCCAAACTATTTTGTCCAATCAGACCGGCCTCTGTCTGAAGGCTTACATAGTATCAATTTTCAACTGTCTACGAATTCATCTCAAATCTCTGTTCTAACGAACTGCTTTCGTCACCTCTGTCACAAATCTTTCAGGCCCATCGTAAGCCCTCAATCCAAACCCCGCGAACCCAAAACCCTCGGCACAAAACCCAAACCCCGAAGAACCTAAAAGCCTAGGATGCCCAGTAGTACCCTTATTCCCTTTTTGGTTCCTTATAAAGTTACCCAACACCAAAAAGGGAGCTGTTTTCATTGCTAGGTTACTGGGCATCCTACTTGGAGGTTCGGGGGACTTAGTAACTGGTCATTTTGGGGACTTATAAGTACGTACCATAACCCCAATTAGGGTCCCTTTTTAGGGTACTTATAAGTCTACTTACTACCTGCTTACTACGTCCCTGAACCCTAAACCCTAAACCCTATACTACCCTTATAGAGCCCTTTAAAAGAGCCCTTAGAATCCCCTTTAAAGGAGCCCCTATACTAAGTCCCCCGACCCTCCAAGTAGAAGCCGGTCGCCCACTTGCCAGGATGCCGGTGCCGAAGCTAAGAGAGAGGTGGAGTCGGGTGAGTTCGACAGCATCCTCGAGGAGAGTGGGCTCACCGTAATGCTCCTAAGAGGGTTTAGGGGTTCAGGGTTTTAGGGTTTAGGGTTTTGGGTTATAGTACCCTAATGCTCCTAAGAGGGTCTTGGGCTTTCTGGGGAGGGTTTCGGCTTTGGGGGCTAGGGTTTTAGCGTGTACTTTCTGGGCCTTACCAATCACCTCTACTATGTTAAGGGACATCTCAAGCCTGAAACCGTCAGAGCTCGAAGTACCAAAGCCCAACCAGTCTGAGCTCCCAAACTCTCAACCAAGAATCCCTTTGATGCCAAGCTTGTCTGGTGAGAACTCCTCAGTGGTGCTAGAAGGCCTGATAGGGGTTCTTAAGGATTTCATAGGGACTTAACAGATGTAGTTGCGCGCGGTTGCTGAGTTTTGGGTGCGGGCCTGATACAGCTACAGTAGCTATAACCGAAGTATTTTGAAAAAGCAGACGAACCCTAAACCCCAAACCCTAAACACTGTGACTACCCTAAGCCCTAAACACCACGCCCTAAACCCCACACCTGTCACCCGTCTTATTTAAAGGATCATGGGACTTAGTAAGTAGGTTATAACTGGGGTTATAAGTCCACTAGGTGGGGTTATCTTATTTGTAACCTACTTATAACCTTACTTACTAAGTCCCATGGGCCTTTAAGTAGTGAGACCTGGGCCGAGATCCCGAAGTCCTGCACGTGTCTTATATTTAGGGTTTAGGGTTTAGGGTTTTACACTGTCTCAAACCCTCCGCCAACACCTCGAGCACAAGTTATGAGCTTCCTGGACCCTAAAGAACCTACCGTTTTAGGGTTCCTTATCAGGTTCTCCTTATATAAGTCCTCAAAAAGGTGGATTATTTGGGGGTTAAGGTTGTTCTTGAGGAACCAGGTCCGGTCGGCTCTGCGAGTTATGTTGACGGACTCTAGCCCGAAACCTTGCACCCCACACATCTTGCGTACACGCATATCCCTAACCCCAGACCAAAACTCTATGCAGACAAACCCCATGAACATTAAACCCCAAGCTTTGACAGAAGCTGACATGAGGACAACGCGACACGCCGCATACTCGTCTTCGATGATGTGCAGGCCAGCGAGGGTACTGGGGTTTAGGGATTCCCGGCTGCAGCAGCACCGGCGTTTTTAGCGGACTCGGGGTTTATAGGGGTTCTTAAACGGGGTATAGGTTGGCTTAGGGTTTGGGGTTTGGAGGCTTTATGAAAGTTGGTGTTTCGCAGCTCTGTCGGATAGATTTTCGACGGCTTCGGGTCGAGTCTCAGGTTTGAGGGTTTAAGGTTGAGTAGGATGCCCAGTAGTACCCCTATTCCCTTTTTGTAGTCCTAGGTTCCTCATAAAGTTACCCACCAGAAATTCGGGAGCCCTTTCCATTCCTAGATCACTGGGCATTCTAGTTGGTTTTGCGAGGTTTTCGCATCAAAGAGTTGTTTCGATTTTCGGGCTCAAGGACTTTGCAGGTTTTGTTGGTCGCATGCTTGTTCGTGACATCCCGCAGTGGGTGATGACATGAATCCTGTGCCCGCTGTCTTGTTCTGACAACCTTGAGGTTTGCGGTTTACCCTAGGGCTCTACGGACTCATACTTTGAGGCTGTTGGGCACAAAAACCATAAAACATCGGATTTGTTGGCTGTTTGGAGTCTTATGGTTAGGGTACTTGCGTGGGAATGCATCGTTGAGATCTAGTTGCGTAGGTAAGCGAAGCTGTGGCCGTAAATGTCGTATTTCCCGAGTCGCGCATCCTCCTCTGCAACTTCCAGTTTCGGTGATATGGTTTGAAAATGCTTGGAATCAAAACCCCAAGGCCCTAAATGTTTCTGCTGTTTATTGAGGGGCTTTCATGGTGGATGCTGTTACTATAATAATCTTGTAGGTCAGAACCCTATGTGGATCACCTAGCCCCCAGCTCACCTGCAAACCCTAAGCCCCTCTGAACCCTCCACCCTAAACGGCAAACCCTGCATAAGACTAAAGGCTCGAAAGATAGGTGCATCTTCCTGGCAAAGGTTCTTCCCGAGTACCTGTTGCTTTGCTCGTCGATCGGACATGGGGAGGCAAAGCCGGGCATTTTCGGCCTTTACCACGGCTGCATTTCGGTTCATATAGGGATTTTCAAGGTTATAGAGGTTCAGGGTTTAGGGATTGAGGTTTGCGGTTTATGGTGGGTTAGATTGGTTAGATGTAAGATCAAGAGGCTTCATAAGGCCCAAAGGCAGAAACCTCGTAAGTTCCTACCCAAGTTCTGTGTCTTCACAGCCCTAAACCGAAATGCAACACGCTGGCCCTACATCTACATCCCTCAACTCCCAAACCCAGACCTCCAAATAGGAGTTTCCGAAAATAGGGTACCTTGTTTTGCGTCCTTCCGAAGTAAGTACTAGGTACTAGTTGTATACTATACTGGCCTAAATCATTACCTATACTATTTGGGGGGGGTTCCTAATTATAACTATAGCATAATGGGCCCCAAAACCCTATTCTAATGATTAAGGCTCCTATATTACTTGAGGACTAAGCCGTAAACCCTGAGCATCACAGAGCTTGGACGACACGTGTAAACCATAAGCCCTAAACACAGAGCTCTCACTGAGCTCGGAGGACACATGTAAACCTGAAACCCCATCTGGAGTCTGGAGTAAGTATAGCAACCAAGGGACCTTGAAGAATACCCTAAAGCCCTAAACCTCAAACCTAGCATTCAAAGAGCTTGGAGGACACATTTCTTTCCGCCCTGCGACTTGAGATGCCCATCTACTGGAGCAATCTCTCACGGGATCCCATCAGCGTGCCCTGGCTGGTGTTAGGTTTTAGGGCTTAGTGGTCTAGCTTAGGGATTATAACAATAGGGTGCAGTTGAGTGTTTGGGGTTTTGTTTGATGTTCAGGGTTTATTTCAGATTTTGGGGTGTAGGGTTTAGCTTAGAGTTTAGGGTTGTGATTTGGGATGTAGGGCGGCCTGCACCTTAATGCCCGAAAACCTTGCAGCCCTCACCCCCAATATCCCCCAAATCCTACACAAAACCCCAAACCATGGGAAATTAACACCCTAAGCCAAAAACTAGTATGCCCAGTAGTACCCTTATTCCCTTTTTGTAGTCCTAGGTTCCTTACTAAGTCACCCAGTACCAAAAAGGGAGCCCTTTTTTATTCCTAGGTTACTGGGCATCCTACACCCCTAAACCCTATAAACCCCATATCACTCTATAAACCCTATAAAAGCCCTATAAACCCTATATACCCTATAAGCCCTAGGCGCCTTTTCAGCAGCTCAAGACCATTCCATCGGCATCGCTGCGCTGCTTTCGAGACCTCGCTGGGGCGTCGCCGAGGTCATGGAATGTTTAGGGTTTATAGGGGCATATAGGGGTTTGTAGGGGTTTATAGGGGTTTATAGGGGTTCATAGGGGTTCATAGGGGTTTATAGGGGTTTATAGGGGTTTGTAGGGGTTCATAGGGGTTTATAGGGGTTTATAAGGGTTTAGGGTTTAGGGTTTGTAATTAAGGGTTTACGGTTTAGGGTTTCGGTGTTACTACAACTACAACTTAACCCATGAGGTAGAAAAGTCAAGAACCGGTTGTTGGTGCTGTTGTTTGATGACCGTTCAGCGGTATAAGTGTTTTTGTTATGTGGTTTGCTTTTGCTGTTGTAGGACCAGAATTGAGGTTGTTTGCTTGTCGGATTTGACTTTGTTTGTCAGATTGACTTGGTTGTACACATCCGGACATCTAGACATCTATTCTGTCCTTCAGCAGATGCGAACTTCTGAACCAACACCAACATGCCTGGAGTCTCTAAGCCCTTGTAATGTACAATAAAACGTGCAGCATAAAACGTCCTACGCCACTGCGCAGTGCGACGTAAGCAGAGTCTGTCCCTAAGGCCCCGTGCAGCAACCCACGCTACCTAAACCTTATAGGCTTGAAGGCTTGAGGTGTCATCCTTTCATCTGGCGTGGGGGTTGCTGGCTTTACGACTCAGAAGTTCGCAGCGATGATCTCCAAATGTTTAGGTTTAGGGTGCAGAGTGCAGAGTGTAGGGTTTCGCAGAAGCACGAGTTGTCTTGCCAAAGCTACGAAGGCACATGGTGCGAGGAGTCAGGCCCGTCTGCCTTTCAAGCTTCGCTTCACTTTGATCGACTTGCGGCATGCCTGAGGGTTGTAAGGCTTGCTCTGAGGTACGTTAGAGTCAAGCTTCGGCCTTGCGACTTGGGGCCATGTGGTCTGCAGATCGCTATTTGGGCTTGAGGTTATTGTGCTGGGGATTTGAGATTGCGGTGGTAAAGACATAGAGTATCGATCCTCAGGATGTTTATCCTTGTCACTGTCACGACCAAGCATATCAACAACAGCATCGTCATCGTCCTCATCATCACCATCACCGACATCTTCAACATCAGCATCAACATCAGTATCAGCATCAGCATCAACATCATCATCAACAACATCATCGTCGCCAGCATCATCACCATCATCGTCACCAACATCGTCATCACCACCATCACCGTCATTATCATCTGTATCACATTCATCATCATCGTCGTCATCATCACTTCCATCATCATCATCATCATCATCATCATCATTATCGACATCTTAACCATTGTCCGGCTATCATTTTTCGGAGTAAGATTAGCTACAGTAGCTCAGTAGCAGCAAGTATTCACATGAGACAAGCACAATCGAGGCAATCATGACAAGTTTCGCGACGGTAATCCTGCGAGCGGTATTCCAGGCATGAAGCAGAGCCTCCTGTATGTGTCATAATTATATACAAAAAGAAGAACAAGTAAACAAAAATGACTGAACCCTACACCCTAGAACCCCAAATCCTAGACCCAAAACCCTACAGATCAGAAATGTGTCCCAATGGTAGGCGTCTCGAGCAATCCCAGCTGTGGCTGCGATATGCTCGCTGCAGCCTCAGCTTCATGTTCAGGCACAGGGCTCCGTGCTAGGACTCTAAGAGTCAACGCAAAGTAGCGCAGGATATTCTTGCGATGTTAGGCCTAACTTCAGCGCAGTGTTCGGATTTCAGGGCTGTAGGATTCAGGATTAAGCTTCACAGGTTTCAAGTCTAAAGTAAGCTGTCGAGAAATGTCATGGCCAGATTCAGCCGGCTTTGTGCGATAACAGAAGGCATCATATTTACCAACGCTATTCCCTAAACTCCCGAGGTATCCAATAAATCAAGAATATGGTCAGTTATAAGACCAAAACCTACCCTAAACCCTAAACCCTAAACCTACCAGTTTAGTGTCAAGTCTTTCGAGGTCATCGGCAAGGCGACCGAAGCAGCTCCGCTGATTCCGAGGCCCTCTCCCTCTCTCCTCCGGGAGATGAGGGCTTTCTCCCAAAGGGTCCTACCCAGACCCCCGGGAGGAACTAAAAAGTAGATCCCTTAACTTGGGGCCCTATACTACTAAGGGTACTTTATAGGAACCCCCATTGAGGGATCTACTTTTTGGATCCTCCCGGGGGTCTGGGTAGGTACTGTTATGGGGAATACTTCCCCAAATCATAATAGTAATTCCGAATACAGAAACCCTACATTCTACTATATTGGTGCTTTGGACCCTTTGGGTCTTTACGATAAAGTTAACCCTAAGGGTCCTATTTAGGTACTTTAAGGGCCCAAGTATATACTATGTGGATACATGGACCCTCGGGGTAGTAGGTCCCAATGGATTTTACTGTTGTTATAAGTGTTTTCTAGGGGTTACTAGCCTTTGTTGCGGAGGGGTGTAGTAGGGGGTTCCGGGTTTATCGCACCGGGTCTAGAGTGCAAGGTTTGGGGTTCACGGTTCGGGATTTAAGTAAGGTTCCCTTCTGAGCCTCAGACCATAGCCGTATGCCCAATCTGACGGGTTCAGGATTGCCGTTTATATGCTGTGTATTATAGGGGCCGGGGCCCTAAAGAGTTTCGATAAGCTTAATTATAGCATCCTAGATAATCCCTGAAAGCCTGAACCCTATAAGCCCATGCCGGAAGCCCTGAACTCAACCTGGAGCCCAACCTTCCTTTGGTGCCGGGCCATGGTGTTCCCGTCTTTTGGTGATTTCGGGAAGCCGAAACCCTAGGAATCCACAATGCCTTAATGAAGGAATAGACCTTAAATTATAGTAGGACTCCTCATATGTTTGAAGGATTTTTCTGTAACCATGGGATATTGGGGTCTCTAATAACCCGCCCCCTTAAAAACCCTAAACCCTAAACCAACCCGTCGGATTTCGGTAAGCGCTAAACCCGTCCGAGATCGTTTCGGGTGATTTGCTGACCAACGAGTCCTTCCTGTGGCTGGCGTCGGACAACGAGGCCCCAGTCTTACAGGAAGAAACTCCTGGTTATACGGACAGCTATAAGGGTTACGATAAGGGATTATCATTGGTACCGGGGGTTCAGGGTTGAGAAATCGCATGAGGGCTCTCTTTCAAAGCTTCCTTTCAGGGCTCTCTAGGGTTTCGGGCTTGGGGGTTTGAGGCTTGGGATTGTGTGTGTTTTTTTGATGAATGCAGGGTCTTGGATTTGGAACTCAGCGATTATGGTTTTAGTCCAGGGATGTAAACCCGGTATGAATAGTTTTAGTACAACAATTGCTTACGCCCTGATCTTTCCCAAATCGTTTTAGTCCTGAACCAAGACTCCCTGGTTCTTTGTAGGGAATGGGGGAATGGATCCCCACACCTACAAAATACGATTCTTCTACATACTGTTGAATTTTAGGATGCCCAGTAGTACCATTATTCCCTTTTTCTAGTCCTAGGCTCCTTATTAAGTTACCCAGTACCAAAATGGGAACCCTCAACCCTAAACCCTAAACCCTCTCTGTAGTTCTAAACCCTAAACCTATAAACCCTTAACCCTAAACCCTAAACCCTTAACCTTAGGATCTGCTGCCGGCGCAGCAAGGAATCCCCGAGTCAAGGTCCTAAGCCCATCCCTGAGGCATGTGTTAGGGTTTAGGATTCAGGGTTTTAGGGTTTAGCGTTTAGGGGTTCAGGGTTGAGGGTTTAGGGGTTCAGGGTTTAGGGGTTTAGGGGTTAGTGTTTAGGGGTTTAAGGGTTTGTTAACGAATTTCTTTGTCATAGTTGGGTAACATTTTGCACTTTTTGATGGGTGCCTAAACCCAACAGCGAAAGATAGTATAATAAAGCTATCGAATAATATCCAAACTGTCCTGGACCCCCAAAATCATGTAGGGTTTAGGGATTTGGGATTCGTGGTTTGGGAAGGTTAAAAGGGGTTATGCGAGGAACCCAACCTGGACGCCTAATGCATGTAGAATAACGGTGTTGGGCCATTATATTGCCCACTTTGTTGTGGGGATTACGTAGACATCAATCAAATCTGATTAGACCCAGCCCAGCGACCCCTTGCAAATCGTACCGATGTCCACAAGCTGATGTCCTAGAGCCCAGGCTCTACAACCCTATCGATCCCTTAAAGGAGCCCTAGGTATATCCCTTAATTAAGGGGTATTGGGCTCTCTCGGTAGAGCCCAGGCTCTACGACTAAACTCCCACAGCTCGACTGCACAGTAAGACCGCCAGGCCATTTCTTCCATCGTGGAGGGGCGTGTCCCGGCAAGCATAAAACCCCAAATCTTAAACTCAAAGCTTTGGGGTTCTCTTATGTGTCGGTTCCAGTAGCAGTGCAATTCATGCTAGGAATTGGAAAATCATTGTAAGGCTTCTTGGGGATTTCGGGTGACGTTTCTTGATTTCTCGGTGTGCAAGAAGGAGCAGGCAAGTTCGCTTCTTGATTATTTCACCAACCATTGTCTCGGTGTCCTTTCATGTAAGCAAGCGACTATATATCTCGTTCGCGCTGAAGAGTTGTGGCCCATAGGAGACATTTATGAGGTGTGTGTCCGCATACACATCTACACACACACACACACCCATGTTATGTTTATATTTTACGGGTATACACATGCTTTGTTTACCATCTGTGTATATATATATATATACACATATACATATACATACATATTTATATATGTATATATGTACACCTGTTTCCAATAAGCAGATAAATCAACAATATCGACATTATATATATATATATATATATATATTTATTTATATTTATTTATTTATTTATTTATTTACATGCATACATACACACATACATGCATGCATACATACGTCCGTACGTATGTGCGTGCGTACTTGCATCAGTGATTATCCTCTCCGTGGCAGACTCCTTTTCACCCCAGCAGATGACCTAGCAAGGCTTGTTCTTATAAGGCCCCGGTTCATGGACTTAATATCTAGGTTATTTGTTAAGGCAATCATACTTGTAACTGTTTAGAGCCCTTAAAAGACCTTACTTACTAAGTCCCATGATCCTCCAAGTAAGATAGAGACACGCAGCCCACCTGCACCGCACTTTTGCAAGGCTTTCCTACTTCAGGGGAGACAATGCAGCTCGGCAAAAGAGCTCAAGGGCGCTGAGGGGTTGACGGTTTGCATCTAGGGCTTATAGGGCTGAGGGTTTAGGTTTTAGGGGATGGCGGCGGTGAGAGGGGTGACGGTGACGGCCGCGAGGCCGATGGTGGCGGTGGTATTGTCGTCGTTGCTGCCGCTTCGGTTGCTGCTGCTCTCCAGGGCCTGCTGCAGCTGCCGCTGCCATTGCTGGTAGGTACTGACTACTACTATGTGTTTACCGCCACAACTGCATCAACTACTACTGCCGCTGCCACTAGGACGGCGGGGACCACGGTGCTACTACTTCTGCTGCTGCTACTGCTACTGCTACTGCTACTGCTACTGCTACTGCTACTGCTACTGCTACTGCTGCTGCTGCTGCTACTGCTACTGCGACTACTACGACCACGACGGCCACCACCGCCAGCATCATCACCACCACTACTACTACTACTACTACTACTACTACTACTACTACTACTACTACTACCACTACCACTACCTACTACCACTACTACTCCTGCTGCTGCTGCTACTGCTAGTACTGCCCGTGCCGTGATGACCACTATGTCTAGTACTGCAACTGCAATTGTGGAGCCAGTGCTCGCATTGTATATACTAGTGCTCATGGGAAAGCTTGCGTTCCCCTGATGAGTGAACAAATTCTGTAAGGCCTAGTATCAGGATTCCTGTGCTAAGTGCTGGTAGAAAAGCTCAAGACCCGAAACCCTGAACCCTAAACCCTAAACCCTTGCGATCATCGGATCAAAGAATTTCTCGTCGGGTCGAAATTTGCAGCTTACTCTCGCAGGTACCCACATCCTACTCAGAAGCCAGGAGTTGGTGTCGTCCAGAGCATTTCTGGGCTTTGGGATTCCCAGAGGGTCCTAGGTACTGTTTATGGGGAATACTTCCCCCAATCAGACTAGTAATTCCTAACATAGAAAACCTACATTCTACTATACAGGTCCGTTGGACCATTTGGAAGTGTAGAGGGTTCATGGAGTCTCCTGTTTTAGATAGGGTGGCCAGATAATACTCTAAGACCTAGCGTAGGCCCTTATTCCCTTTTTAAAGGTTCAGGTTCCCTTATAAGCTCCTTTAAAACAAAAAGGGCACCCTTTTTATTCCTAGGTTGCTCTTGGGTCTAGTACTTGTAGGGCAGCAGCCAACTGCGTGCCCAGGATCTACTTGAGTGCGGATTTGATGTTCTGCGTGCGGCCCAGACTTTATGCATGTTCGCCAGGGTTCAGGATTAGGATTCTACGGTTTAGCGTGCTTCGGGTTTACTGGTCAGGGTCCCAGGCTCCAATCAAAACCCTACAGCACTTGTCAAGCCCTATTTGTAACACCGTCATAAGTTTAAGCACTCCCGAAAACCCTAAGCCCCAAAACCCTAAACCCTAAACCGACCCCCTCTAGAAGCCCTGAAGAAAGCCTTGATCGTCTCTGTCGAGCACTTCAAGAAATCCCTTGAAGGAACTCTTATAGATCCCCTCAATACTTCAAGGAATCCCTTTAAAGGATCCCTTAAAGGAGTTGTTTAAGGACACTTTTAAGGATCCCTTAAAGGATCCCTTATATACAGCGCCCCGTAGCCTCCGTCATTTCTTGACCCTAGCAGTTCTAGGTACTTCCCCAGATCATTCTAGTAGTTCCGAAAATCGCTGTAGTTAGGACCCTTTGGGTGAAAGGGCCTGGTAAACACACACCCTAAGCCCTACCTCAACCCTCAATCCTATTGTTTGTTAAATGGCCCGGGGCCTAAAAAAGGAAATCACAGGAAAGCATGAAGAACAATGGGTTCTTCGGGTCGAGCCCAAAACCAACACCCAAAAACTTTAAACCCCTAAACATCTAGGGTTCTAAGCCCCTAAACCCTTAAACCCTACCTAGACCCCCCCAACTACCCTCTATTATGCCCCAAACACCCACTATTAAGGACCATAAGGGCTCTATTAAAGAGCCCTTGGGGGGGTCCTGGTAAACCCTGCTTAGAGGATCATGGGACGTACTAACTAGGGTTATAAGTAAGGTAACTATACTTATAATTACTTATAACCCCAATAAAGGTACTTATAACCTTACTTACTATGTCACATGATCCTCAAGTACCCCCAAAACCCTTGTAGAATTCTTATAGTAACCTGTAGAGATCCCTTAAAGGAGCCCTAGGCCTTACTTACCAAGCCCCATGATCCTCTAAGTACCCCCAAACCTTATAGAATCCTTATACTAGCCCTTGTAGGTCCCTCTAAGGAACCCTTTAAGGAACCTTACTAAGTCCCATGATCCTCTAAGTACCCCCAAAACCCTTGTAGAATCCTTATAGTAACCCTTAGAGATCCCTCTAAGGAACCCTTTAAGGAACCTTACTTACTAAGTCCCATGATCCTCTAAGTACCCCCCAAACCCTCATAGAAGAACCCTTAGAGATCCCTTAAAGGAACCCTAGGCCTTACTTACTAAGTCCCATGGCCCTCTAAGTACCCCAGAACCTTTCTAGAATCCTTATGGTAACCCTTGTAGGTCCCTCTAGGGAATACCTGTAGTCTCCATTGTAGTTCCTTTTTAATTTTTTTGGTTGACCAAAATCTCTATTATAGGATCCTAACCAAAAAACTGGTTAACCAAAAAAAGGAACTACAATGGAGACTCCAGGTACTTACTAAGTCCCATGCTCCTCTAAGTACCCTGCGGCTGAGGCTTCAGCACAGCGAAACCCAAAAGCAGGGTCCGCTGTGTCCTCCTCTGCCGCGCGCGCCCAGCCCAGTCTCCGAAGGTTCGAGCTTAGGGTCCCTTTAAAAGGGGCTCCTAAGGGATCTATAAGGGTTACTATTCAGGGTTCTATATGGGTTTTGAGGGTGTACTTAAAGGATCATGGGGCTTAGTAACTCGAGTTGTAAGTAAGGTAACTATACCTATAACTACTTATAACCCCAGTTAAGGTACTTATAACCTCACTTACTAAGTCCCCTGATCCTTCAAGTAGGGGCTTTTTGGGTTCCGGAAAGTACGTGCATGGTCGTTTATAGGCGTTGGGCCAGTATTTTGCCTACTTTTCAGGGTTTTGGCAGGGCAAGCTTCGGGGGTTTCAGGATTTGGGGTTTAGAGCCAAGTTTAGGAGGATTTAGGATAGGGTTTAGGGCCAAGTTTCGGGAGGTTTAGGATTTGCCAGGCTTCGGGGGCTCTAGGATTGGGGTTTCGGGCCAAGATTCGGGGAGGTGTGTAGGGCCAAGCTTCGGGGGCTTAGGATTTAGGATATAGGGCCGAGTTCAGGGGGTGAAGCGCGGGAGGTTTCAGGATTAGGATTATGGGTTTAGGGCTTTGGAGGGCTGCAGTAAAGCGAGCCGGAATGGTGGGGAGTATAGGCCGTTCCTCGCGAGTGGGCATCTTGTTTCTGTGCTTCTTACAGCTTTTGGAATTTAATTTAAGGTTTCGGACGGGTTTGATGGGGTTCTAAGTTCAGGATTTTGGTGTCTGTCTTTTTTGCAGGTAATATAACTATAGACCCTGACTTATGTTCTGGTTAGGATTGCGGTTAGGATCCTATAGTGATACTATACCGAGAACCTAAGGTATCAAAAGAAACGGTTCAAGGAACAACACCCATATGATGGGCTCCTCAAGAGGGGTCTTGTAAGGGTTCCCCTAAACCCTAAAGCCCTAAACCTTGGGTTCCGTTAAAGGGTTCCTTTATAGGCGGCTGGGCTCGGAGGGAACTATGATCGGCTGCTTTCCTTTGATAAACGACTCCGTTCCTGTTGCAGCCGCATCAAGTTACGTCAGTTAGGGTCTAGGATTTACGGTTTAGGGTTACATCAGCACTATTCTATTTTTATATATTCCGACTAATTTTGCTTACAAAGGTTGTTGACCTTTCAGATATGGTAAGGGTTCTGCAGGTTCCGACGTGCACTTTGTTGGCTTTCTTTGTCGGCATTTCGGCTTACTCTGGAAGTTTACGTTAACGCCATGTGTTGCATGGTTTAGGGTTTCAGGCCTCAAGCCCTCAAGCCCTAAACCTAAACCCTAAACTCTGAAGTTCGTCAGCATAGGCTTGAGAACACACTCAAGTTGTTGTTTCCTTACATGCTGAGGTGCAGAGCATTTGCCGCGACCACTTCGATGGCTGCCAAAGCCGTGCAGTTCTCAATAAAGCCCAAACCTATATACCCTTAGCCCCTAAACCCTAAACCCTAATATTGCGGTGCAGTCTTGATGATAGATTTCCCAACGCCTTTGAGCCTTGTCTTTTGTGGTTCGGGGTGTTTGGCTTTAGTAGAGTTTATGGTCTAGGAGCGAGGGTCAGCGCAAGCAATCGGACATCGCCAAAGTATCGACATATGTGTTTCTGTCCAAGTAGTAGCGTACAGGAAACTGGGCTTCTTCTATGTGCTGCCGAAATCGGATCCAACAAGATCCTCCTTCAAGGAAATAGAAAGTGGGTCTGCATTTTAGGGTTTCTGTTGGGGTTTTGGGTTTTGTTAGCGGTTTGGGGGTTGAGGGTTGTCTTAGATCCCCAATACCCAACCTTCAAGCTTTTTGGGTTCTTGCAGTTTAGTAGGATTGGGAAGACTAACCTGTTTTTTTCTGTGTTTTTTGGGGTAGTAAGCTCACCCCCAAAACCCATATAGAACCCTTAACAGCAAGCCCTATAGATCCCTTAAAGCCTTAAAGGAGCCCTTTTGCGGGAGTGAGGCAAAGCTCATTGAGCTCCGCCTGCCAGCCCAGTTTTGGGGTTTAGGATCTTGGCTTTTTCCTGCTATGGCCATAAGGCCTTTAACTTGTTTCTTGGGTGTCTATACTCTGTGAGGGAAGGACGGGGGTTGACATTGTAGAGTTTGATTTGGGGGCTCAGCAGTCATCCAATTCAGTGACTAGGATGCCCAGTAGTATCCTTATTCCCTTTTTGTAGTCCTAGGTTCCTGATTAAGTCACCCGTTACCAAAAAGGGAGCCCTGTTTATTCCTAGGTTACTGGGCATCCTAGCTGACTCTTGGGCAAATGCCCGTTACAGCAACAGGTACCACAAAGGATTGCTGTTTTCATGTTAGGGTCAGAATCAAAAAGTGCCTGTTACTCTACGACCGAGATGCTTGGTTCAAAGTAGTAGGTCTAGGTTCGTGACTCGGGAGGTATATGACCCGAAACACCGCAAGATAGCTCCTACAAGCCGAGGCGCCATCACCCAGTCGGGCCGGGATGAGTGGAGGCTGGAGTGCGTTTACCTGGCACATTTGGCTTTCGGTGTGAAGAGTCTTTTTGCTTCCGGACTGTTGTTGAACAGTGTTTGTGACCGGATTGGGCCTCAAGTATTGAAGGTGTTCTCCAAGACTTGCTAGCAGCATCTCTGTCGGCTTTCTAAAAGGCATAGAACGATGTGGCCGGTCCGTTAGTGATGTTTTACCGCTAGAGTCGTAGCTTTGCCAGGCATTGACCCTAACCCTCCGTCCACTTACCCATAGGCTCCATAGTAGTTCATTTTGGGATCACCTTATAGGGTTCTAAAAAGGAACCCCCAAAAGGAACTACTATGGAGCCTTTGGGTAGAAGGCCCGTCTTCCTTCATCCCGGTGTCCGCCGACCATGTCTACCCAGAGCTGCTCAGCTGCAATGGCCTTCACGGCCTTCTTCCAATGCCCCGGTGCCTTTGTTGCCGCCTCTGCCGCTGCTCCTGCTTGAAGCGAAGCGCTGCTACGACTTCTAGTGGTACTAGTTCTAGTAGTACTGATGCTACTACGAGTACTACCTGCTCCTGCGCCTGCTCGTGCTTCTGCTATTGCTACGGCAACTGCTACTGTTGTTACTTTTGCCGCTGCTACTGTTGCGACTGCTGCTAGTGCTGCTCCTACTGCCACTGCCACTGCCCCTTCCGCCGCCACTGCCACTGCCACTGTGAGCACATGGCCGGGCAAAGCCTACAACCGAATGCCCTTGGCTCCAGACTTCTGCAGCATCCCTACCCAGACCCTCCTTCTCTCTATCAGACCCTGATTCCCAGTCCCAGGGACCATATGGGCCCTGGTGGGGTTTTGGGGCTGGGTCCTTAATGGTGGGTGTTTAGGAGACATTAGAGGGCAGTTGGGGGGTCGAGGTTTGAATGGCGATGAGTCTATAAAGTTGAGGAGTAGGATGAGGGGCTTGCAGGGAATGCGAGGATTCAGGGTTTCGCTTTCTGGAATCGTCTGCCAGGTTCATCTTGGAGGTGGAGGAGATAGACACCGAGTGATTTGTTGTCGATACTGCTACAAGTGGCAGTGGATGTCACAGCACATTTTCCCGCTAATGCAACGTGCTCCATTTGCACCTGGTTTCGATACAGCACACTGGGTTTCCATTATCGAGCATCGGGACTCGACTACCCAAAGGCTCCAAAGTACCTGTATAGTAGAATGTAGGGTTTCTCTATTAGGAATTACCATTACGATTTGGGGAAGTAGTCCCCATAACATCACCTAGGACTCTTTGGACTAAGCACCCCTGTTCCCGAAACCTTCACGCCCGCCCACATGGAAGAAGAAAGCCTTCCCGAAGCCTACAGGCCTTACATCCCTGAACCCTAGACCCGAGAGTGCAGATAGCCATTGTACAACCCCATAGTACTTTCGAGCCCGACGTCCCAATGTTTAGGACCTAGACTCGGCCCTTACTCCCTTTTGAGGGTTCAGGTTCCTTTTAAAAGCCCCTTCAAACCAAAACGGGCGCCTTATTCCTAGGTTACTCTTGGGTCTAGAAGTGGAGCACGGGTGGTTGAAGATGCAGACACGGAGAGTCCTCTAGGAGATGGAGTTGGCTGAGGGGGGCGGTTTGGTGGTTCGTGATTATAACTATAGTACACTGGGCCCCGAAACCCTATTATAATTATTAAGGCCCCCTATGTTAGTAGCAGCAGTTTGGGACGTAGGTCTGAGTTGTTTCAGGTCCAAGGCTTTGAACACTTCCTGACCATCGGGATCCGTATTCGCCGTATTGCCTTATCCCAACTTGTCAGCCCCCCTTTGCATTGGAACACTAGGATGTAAGACACGCAGCTGTGGTTGTCTTGAAGTAAAGAGCATGGATTGATCTTCAAGACCCTAAACCCTAAACCCTAAAGCCGAAATCGTTGGAAACGCCTCATCCGACCTCCAGCTCCCATTGTTTTAGACTCCCGCCGAAGGTGGGAGGTTGCGACAGGAAGCCGTGGCAACCCGCGAAACAGCAAACTTTCGTAGGTTTCACAAACTTCCGAACCCCATGATAACAAACAGAATATGCCGGAAGGATCCCTCTATCCCTGGGCATCAAAAGAGCACAAAAGCCTTATATAGTATGGTCTTTGCGCCCAAAGGCCAAAAATATATGAGTCCCTAGATACCTAGGGTATATGCTTGATGGTATCAGTGGCACATGCCAAGGATTTCGAGTCTCGGGGCTGAGGGCTGAGGTATCAGGCTGGAGGTGCATGACAGAGGCCTTAATAAAAACTATCTATACCATTGTGGGGGCTCCTTATAATTATTATACAGTATAATATACGTCATAGTACCCTGACAGTATCCCTGGACCATTTCAAAGGAACCCTATTTTACTTATTAAGGCCCCTATATGAAGGATTAACGCAAGGTCTTTTAAATGAGCATTGGCCACCCACCACGGCGGTTTCAAATCCAGAATAGAGACCATCGAGTCCAACACCCACAAAACAAAAGATGTCTGCACACACAGGAAACCTACAAGCCCAACAAGGCCCTATAAGAAAACCCTATAAAACACCAACCGTATTATCCCTCACGCTTAACGTTTGAGTTCCTGTTCAAAATTAAATTTAAACTTAACCTTAGAGATGGAGGCTTGGGGTTTAGACTTCGTGGTTGAGGTCCTTGAACTGTGGAAGTGCCCTCAACAAGACCATCTGTGTTGTGGTTTTGGGAATCTGATTCCACGAGTTTCTGGTACGAGTTCCTCGTGGGAGCTATTTCAGAGCCCATAACATAGGGGCCGGGATACTTTGTACTAGCATCCCAGTATTGTTCCTATATCTCGATGCAACTCTAAACTTCAGTTTAGTCAGGTGACCCTAAGCACATTTCATGTTAAGGCTTCTAACAGTCCTGAGGATTTGTCACTGCATTTTCGGTAGGCCCTAAACCCTAATCCGCTAGACCCCCAAAGCCCGAAACCCTTCAAACCCCTAAACCCTAACCCTTATAAACCCCAAACCCCTAAACCTTACAACCCCTAACCCTAAAACCCCTAAACCCTTGAAACCCCTAGCCACTCAACTCTAAAAACCCCTAAATACCCCTAAACCCAAAACCCCTAAACCCTTAAAACCCCTAACCCCTCAACTCTAAAACACCGAAACCCATCAACCCTTAACCCCTTTACCCCTGAAAACCCTAAACCCCTAAACCTCAAACCCCTAAACCCTTAACCCCTATATAACCCCTGAACCCTACAGGCGCTTTTCCCCGCGCAGGCCCTGGCAGCCTACGGCGGCATGGCTCCCACGACCATCCGGGCGAAGAAGCTCGAGGATCCTCCACTCCAAATCCGGGGCCTTGTTCAGATCTACGAGGATGCCCAGTGGTACCCTTATTCCGTTTTTGTAGTCCTAGGTTCCATAGAGGATCTCCGCTAAAAGTCCGGCAAGATTACAGGGTTTTAGGGTTTTGGGGCTTTTAGGGTTTAGGGCCTCATTTTCAGGGGTTTTGGGGCTTTTAGTGGTTTAGGGTTTTGGGCCTTTTAGAGGTTTAGGGTTTTGGGGCTTAGTTTTAGGGGTTTAGGGTTTAGAGGACCATGGGAGGTAAAACGTAAGGTAACTTATAACCCCAATCAAGTAAGGTAACTTATAACCCGAATTGAGGTACTGGTCCTTATGACCTTGCTTGCTAAGTAACATGATACTGCAAGTACGGGTTTAGAGTTCAATTCAGGGGCTTGGCGTTTGCGGGTTCAGGGGTTTAGAAGCTGTGTACACAGCGGATTGAGTACTTACCGCTGTAGCTGTCCTTAGGCTTCTGTAATACAAGTATATCATGATCATATCCTACAACCCTACAGTCATGCCATGCTTAAGTCCCATATGTTACAGATCTTTGCATTGCTAGGAATGCCTACTTCGTGCGGAATGCAAGCATGATGGCAGCTCACACTCAGCCGTTTCAGATGTCGGACTGGCTAGATCAGGCGGCACTTTAACTTTGTGACCTTTTTGCATTCCCCGTCTGGTCCTGCAGAGGTGGCCGTTCTGAAGTAAGTTAAATCCAGTTAAGATGCTTTGAAACATGGAATATAGTTGAGAGTCTACGGCTTATTGTCAGGTCTTTGGAAGGCCCCTAATCTGACATAAAGCCTTTAGTCCAACATGGTCGACCCGAAGTCCTAATGCCCAAGCCCTAGACACTCTATAAAGCCCAGCTTTAAACCCTTCAAGCCTAAACCCTAAAAAAACCAGCACTCTTTGAGAGCCTTGGGGGCTTGAACAACAAACAATCAGTGTCACTCCTCGTATGTAGATACACATCAGATCTGCTTCCAGTTGATGAGGTCCCGTACATGCTCAACTGTTTCAAAGGCACTTGTAGCAAATCTTGTCTTCTGAAGGTTCCCTGATAAGCCCCTTCAAACCAACAGGGCACCCTTTTGATTCCTAGCTTACTCTTGGATCCCCAAACCCTAAACCCTAAACCTCTATAGATCCCTTAAAGGAGCCCTTATAGTACCCTTTAAAGGACCCTTAAGGATTTCGCCTTCGGTTTTATTAGCGCAAGACCGAAGAAATCGTCAAACCCAAAGCCTCCCCCGAGCCATTCCGCGCGCAGAGGCGGCGCTGCAGGGAGCTGTCTGGAGCCAGGCCAGGGGTATTAAAATCAGGAGCCACAAAAGCGCCCAAACATAATCACAGAGGGCCTCGAGAAAAATAAGGGCTCAACTACGTAGGTTTTAGGCTTCATGTCAGATTTTTTGGGGGGGCTGGAGTTTAGGGTTGGAGTTTTATGGCTTTGGGTTTGGGGTTCACGGGGTTTAGGTATTATGGTTTCGGGCCTAGGAAGGGGGAGCGAAGAGGCTCATTGTCCGTAACCAACAAGAATCCAGTCCCCAAGGGTCCATGTACCCAAACGGAACATTATATACTTTGGCCTTAATGTATTCCCTATAATACACTGTATAGGTACACTAGGCCCGGACCCTTCGGGAATTTCGCACCTGCCTGCAGATTCTCTGCTGGAGCTTATGTTGGGACCATGCAAAACATAGGTTGTGGTAGGTTACAGAAGTGTCAGATTGTCTGAACGTTTGGATTAGGGTTTTCTGCACTTGACACTTGAGGGTGTCAGGGCTTTACGGATTCAAGGTTCATCGTCTGCGGCTGTTTAAGTTTCGGGGGTTTGAGGGTTCCCACTATCTGTCTGCTGCGCAGTGCTGTACTTGGAATCTCCAGTGCATTTGCGGTCTTGCCCACAATGCCTGGAAAGGGGCTTGAACAGCTCGACCATCTTACTTGGAGGATCATGGGACTTAGAAACCAGGGTCATAAGTAAGGCATGTCTAGTTATGACAACTTATAATCCCTATACAGGTACTTACAACTTGCTCTACTAAGTCCCATGATCCTCCACGTGCACACTCTTGGGATTCGGGCTCTGACTTTACATGGTGTGGTGGCACTGCAACAAACCCCAAACTCGAGACCCTAAACTCCTCGTTATCGTTTCTATGTATATAGTTCCTGGAAAAGGTAGGCCTTTTCCACTGCAGGTGAACCCTAAACCTACAATCCCCATGAAGGCTCTTACTCATGGGAACTTTTTTTTAGAAGTCTAAGCACCGGAATCCCCCGCACCGCGCTTGGCCAGGCGGCAGTGAGCAAAGCGCAGGACCAGTTGGCCGAGGACTCGCGATACCCCGAAAGACCTCCAAAGCAGAAAGGGCTTAAGGTTTAGGGTTTTGGGAGAAGATCTTTTCGGCATGTTGGCTTCCTTTTAACTCTTTTTGAACAAAGACCACCAAAGCAGAAGATCTTCTCGGCATGTTGATTTCCTTTTGAATCTCCTTACATTGGAAGGTTGACTTGTGGGGCTTTATAGGGCTTAGGATCTGGAGTTCAAGGTTGTTGGAATTAGCGTGTAGGGGTTCAGGCATTTAGGCGCTTGGGGGTTCAGGACTCCGGACGTGGATATTCCCAAACCCTGTTTCGGAGGCCTCAAATCCCCAACGGGGCAACCACATGTTGATGTAGCGACTTACCCTAAAGCACAGGTGCAGACACAGTAGGACGCTGTCCCTGGCTCCAGTACGTAGACCCCTGTTTTTTCCACACTTCATGTAACCTTTTATATGCATATCTGGACTGCGAGGGTTATGGTACTGAAGTTTGGTTTCATGTTTCAAAAAGATGAATGGTCGCAGTCGCTGCGGTAGCTGTAGTGGTCACAGCAAGAGCATCGGGTCAGTTGCAAAAGTTGTTGTTTTCGTTTCAATCGTGGTCGCTTTTGTCGTCGCTGCTTTCATCGTCACGGTACCGCGTTGGTCGTCTTTGTCGCCAGTTGTCGTTGGCATAACAGCCGTGGTATGCATGTCAGCCGGTTTGAGCAAAGGCTTTTTTTGGCGCACCCGGGGCCGGTGTCTGTGTTGCACTGTAGGTAAAAACCTGCTCTTGGGCACTACAAGAAAGTAGATAAACCTCATGGAAAACTGCATAACTCCAGTACAGCTATTATCCCTTACATCGGTGATTGGAAAGGCTGGAAAAGTTGCAATGTTGTTTTTTTACATATTTGTATTACTGTGTATATATATATATGCTCATAATGTACATATATATATATGTACATATCTGTATATGTATGTGTACATGAAATATTAGACATAGAGTGACGAGCATGTGGCTCCTTAGGTTAGGCTCGGCCAGATACGACCACCAATGTACCCAGATTGCCCAAAACCATTTTAAATATACCGCAAATCATAAGGGCTTCATATTATGATTTAGGCCATATTCCGATTCCTTAATTAGGGGATATTGGGCTCTCTGGGTAGAACAGCCCACCGAGAGACGTGGCAAAACGTGAGAAGCCGTTGTCAGGAGATGGCCTTGCCTGAGACCGTCTCTTGGTCTCAACGATGCCTGGGGTTCAAAAGTGCTAGTCGCTTTAGGATTTTGGGGTTTAGGGTTTAGGGGTTTAGAGGTTTAGGGGTTTGGGGGTTTAGGGTTTAGCATTTTGGGTCTGGGATTTAGGGTTTGGGGTTTCAGGCTACTAAGTTTTTGTGACATGTTTGTGAATCTGCATGTGCCGAACAGGGTGGTAGGGTGTGTCATGCTATGCTGTGCCGAACCCACTATATGGGTTATCAGGCTACTACGATAGACACTGCAATCCCTCTGCCCCAACTCATGGACGATAAACTTCAAATGCCATGACCCTACGATTTGCATGTCTGTGGCGAAAGGTGCGAGGTGTTTGTGGGCAGGTTTGGGGACGTGTGTGGTTTAACGATGTCGAGATGTGGTTGTGGGAGTTTGCACGGTTCAAGGTTTGCTTGTGTGTGCTTAGCCCGCAACCCAACCTCCGAACGCTGGACCCTAGGATGCCCAGTAGTACCCTTATTCCTATTTTGTAGTCCTGCGGTTGATGATATAAATCCTGCATTACCTTAATGACCCTAAACTATGGGAATTATGGTATATTCATTTTTATGGGTCATGCAGGATTTATATCATCAACCGTAGGTTCCTTATTAAGCTACTCATTGCCAAAAAGGGAACCCGTGCCCACACGTCTGCAATCAAGATCCAGCACATGATCGCCAACTACGCTGAACTGGTTGAATCCCAAAGGCACTCACTTGCGTGTGCCATCCACATCTACGATCGACATTTGGGGTACATTGATCCAAGCGTGGACATCAAGGAGTTCCTCAAGCGGTGGGCACCGGTTGCATACCAGGAGATCGGCAAAACGGTTTCTCACTACAGTGGTCTCCGGATCACGCCGACTCAAGCCATCGAGTACGCAGCATGGGGCAAGGCCAAACAGTTGGCGTGGGATCGTGCGAACGATGCATCGGGAAATCTTTGCTACATCTGCTACTATGACGCTGGAAACTGTGCTTATGCAGGATTCATGAGGATGCTTTTGACGCCAGAAGAACTGCTTGATAATTCCTAGGAACCTGGCCATCCTAGGACCTGTGCCCGAACCAAGAATCCCGAAACCTGTCAACTTGAAATCCGACCAAACCTTAAAGACGTCTTCATACGACGCTGTAAGGGTTCAATAAGACCTCCTACTTGTATCACACCTGTTGGAAGACACCCTATAAACCCTAAACCCTACGGCCGCCCTTCGAAGAAGCGTTAACCGCACACCCTCAGCCCCAAACCTTTTTTGGCAGCCCTTCTCGGACCTAGAGTAGGCCCTTATTCCCTGTTTAAGGGTTCAGGTTCCCTTATAAGCCCCTTTGAACCAAAACGGGCACCCTTTTTATTCCTAGGTTACTCTTGGGTCTAGCCGTTAAAGACGCGCTAGCTCCAGGTCCCTGGAGGCATGGCGGCCTTCCGACAAACGTTGGCGCTGTCCCGTGCTGAGATGCTCTTTACAGGGCCCGGTTATAAACCCTGAGCCCTTAAAGTCTAAATGAGCCCTAACAGAGGTTTAATTAAGGTTCATGCAGGGCTTCAAGGGTCTTTTGGTCCTCACGGTATGGCCCAACACCCCCAGTGCTAATGCTGTGTATACAGGCATGGGCATGAATATATGCATAGACACCAAACCCAAAGCATCCATCTCTCGTTCTCAATTTCTCTCTCGCTACCTGCTCTAGGTGGCCTTGGGTAATTCCCTAGCGGTAGATAGAAGGATTCGCCCCTCTTTCGAGGAACTTGAAGTGCGCTGCTAAGCCCTAGCCCCAGACGACCTGTAATCATGTAGTCCCACCTTAAGCTCGCCGCTCTGATCCGCAAGCCGGAAATTGGAACATGCCTTCTTACCGTAACCCCGAAACCCTATAAACCCAAAGCTCTGAAAGGTGATACGTCTTTGTTGCCCTAACCTCAAACCCTAAACCCTAAACATGTAGATTCTGTGGTACCCAAAGCTCCGGACAGCAGTCGAACCTTTGTAGATCCCCTAATGCTAACCTCCGAAAGGTCGTACGTCTACAAGTTCTATGTGGGAGTCTCCTTGGACCTGGCAAAGGCTGTTGAACAGAACGCCGGGACCCCATCCTTGCAATGCAGTTCTTTGAAAAGAGTAGCTAACCTTTAACTTTTAACCTTTTGGGTGCTACGATCCCTGTATAGTCTCGAAGGTTGATGTTCCCTGAGGATACTGTACAAGCAAGAGTTAGGGTTTTCTTGAGGCTAGTGCTTAGGGTTTCGGGTTTCGGAGTGTTCCTGTTCGATCCAGGATTTAGTATGGAACGGTTTGGGAATTGGTCGTGAGATTGACTTAGGGGCTGGGTGCGTAAACTTTAAAACAGTCTCTTTCTTCTTTGGTGTTGTATGTATATATATATATACATATGTGTATGAAAGAAGGCCCGATGATTAGACAGGCCTACCTTTTGTTGGGCTAGGGTACTCAGCCCTCTCGTTGGGGCTTTCAGGTTTAGGGTTAGGGTTGCGGTCATAAGCTATGACCTTCAGCGCTGTAGGTTGTTGCCTAGTTGAAGCCTATATACATGCTTGCTTGTTCGTAAACTTTCGACGGCATGAACATTCGGTAGTACATCGGATCTAGCTCCAAGCCTCAAACCCTGGACCATAACACCCTGATTAAGAAACACTCGGCCTATAACCCCAAACTAGTAGGATTCATATAAGGAACCCTAATAAAGGCCCAAGGTTTCTCAGCCAGGTTCCAACATTAACCCGTAACGGATTTGGAGCTTTTATAATGCAAGTCCTAAAGAGCGTCTAGTGTAGGGCCCGTAATAATTAGAATAGGGCTTGGAGAAATATTATACTCTTTTTTATACTAAGGAAACCCCCAAACCCTAATGACCCTAAGTGTGACCCCAAGTATGCAGCCCAGGCTTCGTTGCCAGCGGCACCAAAACTTGAACCAGGCGAGGCTTCCGCGGCTAAGAGCTTCGTGGCCGAGGACTCTCAAGGGCAATGCAGGGGCCCGAAGAATTACATTACAAATAGGGTTCCTTTAAAGGAAGAGTTCCTTTAAAGGGATACTACAAGGGATTTAGGGTTTGGGTGAGCATGGCTTCCAGAAGGCGGTCTTACTTGGAGGGTCGGGGGACTTAGTAAGTAGGTAGTAAGTAGATTTATAAGTACCCGAAAAGGGACCCTAATTGGGGTTATGGTACCTATAAGTCCCTAAAATAACCAGTCACTAAGTCCCCCCTAAACCCTAAATCCTATACCCTTATAGAATCCCTATAGACCCCGTTAAAGGACCCCTTTAAAGGAACCCCTTATGTTACTAAGTCCCCCGACCCTCCAAGTAGGGACTGGAACCTGGCTTTGGTGGCTTCTCTTCACTTAGCATTCGCAACACCGAGCCTGAAGAGCAGCATTATGAAGCCAGAGACTCCAATATCCCTTAATTAAGGAATATTCCTTAAATGATATTAGGGATCCTCTTATAATTGAAGGAAAATTTCTTAAAAGAGGAATATTGGAGTCTCTGGGAATGGTTCAGGCCCCTACATAACGTATGGAACGCCGTTACATAACGCAAGGTAAGCCGGTAGAAGACCTATTACCTACAAGATCAGTGTTGAGGGATGTAGGGGGCGAGGGGCTTGGCTTCTAGAACGATGGGAAGGTGATACCAAGTTCTTTCAGGTCGCTTCTGCATCCTTTTCAGGGGGTCTCGAAAGAAGCAGCCAGTCATGTTCAAGGTAAACTTGCGCTGTTGTGGAGTTTGCAGTTCATGATTCAGATAGTGTTTTACCTAGAGCATCATACTCTTCGCCTTGTTAGTTTACATACCTTTCCGATTTGGCCGATACTCACCAGATCACCAGCTACCAACCAGAAGGGGTAGGGCATGACCCTCTGCATAGGGTGTGCAAGCCCTGCTTCCATTCTTTCCACCGCCTGCAGGACAGGCCCATTACGAGCGGAAGTCAGACATATGCTCGGTTCTGAGTCCTGAGTTTAGGGTTTAGGGTTTAGAGTTTAGGGTTTAGGGTTTAGGGTCTGTGGGTTCAAGGTATGCGGTTTAAGGTAGACTGTAGCATTAACTCTAGGATGTCACCATACAATCCAAACCTTGAGGGTACCGGTATGGGGTTAGGCTCGGCTGTTTGGCTGCTCCTGAAGATTACATCCTCATGCCTGTAGGCCCTTAAACTTGGATCCCCGATACCCAACCTTCAAGATTGTTTCGTTCTTGTAGTTTATATAGTAGGAATCGGAAAGTTTGACTTTTCACTTCTGTGGTTTGTTGGGGGAGTAAGTTTAAACCTTGTGTAGTCTGTCTTTTGTGGCCCTACATGTGCTTCATCCGGTGTGCTTGTCATATCCCTTTGCAGACGTGCTGAAGGTTGTTGATACGGTTCTGTGTCCCGAAGGGCCCATATACCCAAATAGTATGTACTTTGGCCTTAAAGTGGTCCCTATATAGGTACAGTGGGCCCAAAGTATATGCTATTTGGGTACGTGGACCCTCCGGGTGTTGGGCCGCGTGGACGAGAACGGCCTGCTGCGAGCTGGCGCAGACCCTACGTACCCTTCTCAAGGCGATCACACCGGAGAATCTTGGTCGGTACGGCTGATGATCTAAATCCTGCATTACCTTAATGACCCTATGGTAGAAGCCCAAAAGTTGGAAACCCAATAGCCTCAATCATTAAGAGCAATGCACAAGGAATCCCAACACTATTTGTCCCCAATCCGGTTTCCAACTTTTTGGAGTTTACTACTATAGACTATGGGAGCTATGGTACATTTCTGATTATGTGTAATGCAGGATTGATCTCGTCAACCGCATTTCAATCACCTGGAGGATGATCTGAGCAAAGTCACCAAATTCTCGACGGGTTACATCGAGTTCAGACTCGATCTTTGTCGGTGATCTTGCAGAACCTGTACACTAGCTCCCCAATACCCAACCTGTACACTTCTGGGGTTCTTGCAGTTTAGTAGGAATCGGCAAGTTTCATCTTCTATTTCTGTGGCTTATGGGGGGAGTAAATCTTGCAGAACCTGTACCCCAGCAAAGGCAAAACCAACAAGGGGGGCCTGGAGAAGCTGTCAAAACCAGGTACGTGGACCCTAAAAGCTGGGATTTTGCAGTACCCAGTTCTTACCAAAATGAAGAGGTGCTCAACCCCTGAATCCCTAGACCCGATAGATCCCTTGAAGAAAGTGCAGATGGCCCTTGTCGCATTGCAGAGGGACAAAGACTACTTCTTCATCGTGTCGGGCCTCCCGGATCTAGAGGGCAACACAGTCCCGATCTGCATGTGGTACAAGGCAGCGACAACATGGACACAGTCAAAAACAGAGTGACTGCGTGGTATCAAAGGTGGTATCATGCAAGCCTGTGCAGGAGCTCCTTTCACATGATGCATCAAGGAGTTCACGTCCCGTTTTCTAGAGACGTCTGCACTCTCGAGGGTAGAAATGAGCTTATGGAGCCTTGCAAACCACCGAAATTCCCAGACGATGCCCAGCCCTAGAGTCACCTTAACAGCCAGGTGCTGCCCAACCCTAATCCATGAACTCCTATAAATCTCCCAAATCCCTAAGCCTCTAAACCTCTAAAGCCTAACGCCTCCTTAAAGGAGGTACTTGGAGGGTCGGGGGACTTAGTAAGTAGGTAATACGTAGACTTATAAGTACCCTAAAAGGGGCCCTAGTTGGGGTTATGGTACTTATAAGATCTTATAAGTCCCTAAAATAACTAGTTACTAAGTCCCCCGACCCTTCAAGTGGAGCCGAACCTTCAGCCATCCTCAGTCCCCTATACCTTTATTCAAATGGGAAAAGGAGGGACCCTTAATGGGGACCCCTACCCTATAATGGGCTATATAATGGGTATATATAATAGCTATATTAAGGGTATTTACCTAGGGGTCCTTATTAAGGGTCCCTTTTACCCTTGGATTTATTTTCATCCCTCAACCCTAAACCCCTCCTAAACCCTCTTAACGTAGATCCCCCATACCCAACCTTAAAACTTTTCGGCTTCTTGTAGTTTAGTAGGAATCGGAAAGCTTAGCCTTTTACTTCCGTGGCTTATTGGGGGAGAAGATTTAAATTCCCTGAACCTTAAACCCCTCCTAAACCCTCTTCAACAAATCCCTCAGGTGGTGCCCAACGGCGGCATGCAATCTTCCTCTGTTGCGGGGGAAAAGGTCCGAGACTTTGCGGGTTTTCTGGCGGCCCTTCGCGGGAGGGTGTGCAGGGGTTCAGGGGTTTGTATGGGTTTATATAGGGTTTAGGGCTTTGGGGTATGGAAAGAGGTATCAGTTTTTAAGGGATATGAGTTTAGGGATGTTTAGGGTAGCGCTGCAGGAGCTTTTCCGGTATATTGGCAGGATTTTAAACGCCTTCATAGTTTCAGTAGGCTTTTCGTATCTGCGAAATTCTTCTATTCGGGACTATTGCAAGGCGTTGCCAGCTATCCTTAATCTCCCGAGCATCGGGTGGAACGGAACTCGGTTGGGGGTTTGGGATTTAGGGAAATAAACCTTCAGAGGAGCTATGCTGGGATTTGGGGCTCAGGGCTTTGCGATGTATGTGACCTGGCTTCAAGGTTCATGGTTTTCGGCCGCAGATTTAGGCATCTAGAAGCTTGCCGCACCTTGAATCCTCCGTCGGATCACCAAGTAGACCCAAAACTGTAATGTTTGTGAGGCTTTTACCCCCTGAGCCCGCAGGGCTGTGCAGCAACCGCTCTTTGCACAAGATCTTGTCCACACCCGATAAACATTTGACATGTTTGGCCTCAGGGTATGTTGTTTTTCTATGAGACACTTTCAGTGGAAAGGGCAAATTGCCAAACCTTAAACCCCAAAACCAAAAACCCTAAGCCCTAAAACCAAATAAACCCTCTTCTAGCAATGTCATTCACTGAACGGCGAGCAGGACCATGCGCCGAAAGAAGATCAGAGCCGTGCGCCGGCAGGGGCCCTAGCGCTATACTGTGGCTATACTCGTGTGTTCTGCCATGCTAATTTCCAAGTGAGATAGGAATCCCCGAAGGGACGAAAACCCTTAGTTTCTATCACTCAGCTCGAAATGTGCAGTTTGAGGCGGCAGTACAGCAACTTCAGCACCCCAAGTGCCCCCTAAACCCTCAAATGCCAACCCCTGAAACCCTAAACCCTCAAATCCTAAACTCCAAAACACTTCACTAAAGCTCCATGCCCTAAATCTCAAGACCCTAAACGCTAATCCAGAAAGCTGAAATCAATCATACTTGTCGGAGTACCGTTTGAGGACAACTACCAGCCTTTGGGGCGAAAACTGACTGTCTAGGACCCAGAGTAGGCCCTTATTCCCTTTTTTTAGGGTTCAGGTTCCCTTATAAACCCCTTTAAACCAAAAAGGGCACCCTTTTTATTCCTAGGTTACTCTTAGGTCTAGCTGTAGGGACCAACCTCGGACAGTTGGAGCATGGTTTCGGGATGTTCAGTTCTAGCATGCGTTATAAAGTGCCTATAGTCTCCATCGTAGTTTTTTTGATAACGCAAATCTAGTTGTTATAGGATCCTAACCATAATAAAATCAGGTTTGTGAAAGAAGGAACTATAATGGACACTGTAGGTAAACTTTCTGGCTTCTGTAGCGTAGAGTTGTTGTGGTTTCGTGTCCACTTCCGAGAGTCGTCTTCAGACTCATCGTACCTGGATTCCGACACCGCTGAATTACGGAGTATTCCTCAAGTTACAGAAGAAGTAAAAGTATACATGTATACCGGTATATCGGTTTGCATGGCTTTTGTGCTAATAAGTAATAAGCTCGCCTCCATCGAACCAAGGCCCTCAAGCCCAAAACCAAAGGATCGTCATTCCAACCTACCTGGGCACCCAAGACCACGCCAAACCACAAGCTACGTGAAGCATTAAACCCACCAACCCTAAACCCTAAGCCCTAAACCCTAAACCGACCCAGAGTAGGCCCTTATTCCCTTTTTTGAGGGTTCAGGTTCCCTTATAAGCCCCCTTAAACCAAAAAGGGCACCCTTTTTATTCCTAGGTTACTCTTGGGTCCAGCCTACAACCGTCCTATAGAGCCCCTTCTGTAGCTTAACGCAACCTTTAATGGTCTGCAAATCCCAAACTGCGTACTCAGAGGATAATGGTAGTAAGTAAGTAACCAGGATTATAAGTAAGGTAACTGTACTTATCCCTACTAATTATATAACACCAATTAAGGTAGTTATAACCTTACTTATGAAGTCCCATGATCCTCCAAAATATCCCTCAATTAAGGAATATTCCCTAAACCATATCAGGCATCTTAAGGTAATATTCTTTAAGAAACTTAGATTCTTAGATCCCCGATGCCCGACCTTTAAACTTTTGGGTTCTTGAAGTTTAGTAGGAATCGGAAAGTTTAACCTTTTATTTCCGTGGCTTATTGGGGGAGTAAGATTCCTTAATTAAGGCATATTGGAGTCTTAGTGTGGAGGTGGGCCAGCCTCTCATGCACCACACGGCGCTGGCCCAATGCACGGGCGAGGCGCCAACGAGCCACCACGCTTCGGAAACTTCGCATGCTGTTGTGTTTGGGACGTTACGGTTTACGGTTGGGGTTTTGAGTTTAGTGTTCAGGAGTCTGGGTTTGGGGTTCAGGGCCTAGGTTTAGAAACTTCCAGCGCTTTGGGAGGTTTTAAGGCTTTTGTTGTGAGGGCCCAGAAGTTCAACTTTGTCTGGGGGCCTCCGACCCTTACTTACCCAAAGGGTCCTAGGTACTGTTATGGGAGATACTTCCCCAAATCATAATAGTAATTCCTAATATAGAAACCCTACATTCTACCATATTGGTACTTTGGACCCTTTGGGTAAGGCTTGATGTGCCGATATGGTCAAAATTCTGGTCCCTCTTTGGGTGCCTATCATGATACGGGACCGACTATGTGGGGTACCCAAAAAGGGCCTTAATGTTGACAACCACCCATATATATATATATATGTACATATATATATATATATATATATATATATGTGTATATATATATATATCTATCTATCTATCTATCTATATATCTATATACAGTATATACTTGGGCCTGGAATGAGTTCCTATATAGGTACCTTTAAGGCCGAGGCATATACTACATAGCTACATGAAGCTTTAAACCCTAAACCAAACCCTAAACCCGAGACCTTAAACCATCGGCGGAACAGAAAGAGGCCCTTAAAGAAAAAAACATAAACATCAACCCTATGCCCTAAACCCTTGTAGAAACTTTTTTTGCGCCCTTTTGGGGCCTAGATGGAGCCTAGGGGCCCCTGTGGCCTCGCCGGGCGGCTTTTTTTTGAGTTTTGAGTTTAGGGTTTAGGATTCGGGGTTTAGAGTTTCGGATTTGGGATTGGGGATTTAGGGGGTTTAGGGTTTCTAGGGATTAGGGACTTAGGGTTTCTAGGGCTTAGGGGTTTAGGGTTTCTAGGGTTTAGGGTTTAGGGAGGTGTTCTCCTGACCTTTGGGTGTCAGGGGTTAGTCTTAGCCTCGACATGCTTCAGACTGAAAATGTAGAAGCCTGAAATGATTATTACGTTTATTCAGGATGCCTTTCTACATATATATATATATATACACACACTTGCAGTTCAAACTCGTTAATACAATCTACACCCAAAGCCTTTTTGTGTTAATATAGAGTCACCCCAACAGTTGGGACCACAATCAGCGGGCGTTGGGCCCTCCTGCAAAGCCCTTCACTTAAACCAGCCAGGACACCCCTAGTGCCCTTTAGTAGTAGAAGAGACCTTGTGATCCTTAATGGTGGGTACTTAGGGTATATTAGAGGGTAGTTGGGGGGTCTAGGAATGGATGGCCATAGTGACATCCAGACTGCATGCCCCAAATAACCTTGTTCCCTGCTAGCGGCTATCCTAGTTCCCTAATATGCTGCTTAGAACTTGATACAGCCATCTACAGCCCCAGACCCTATTCTGAGTATCTTCGCAGCTGAGTAGCTAACCTTTAACCGTTAAGGGTTTATGTAACCCTACCACGATTGAAAATTCCTAAACCTTAAAACCCTAAGACCCTAAAACCCTAAACCCCTAAACACGAAAACCCTAAAACCCTAAAACCCTAAACCCTTAAACCCTAAAGCCCTAAAACCCTAAAACCCTAAAACCCTAAGACCCTAAACCCCTCAAGGCTAAGCTTTTCTGGGCTAGGGTATTCAGCCCCTGGGTTCGTACAGGCCCCGATTTTAGAGCTACTATTAGGATGCCCAGTACTACGGTTTAGGGGTTTAGGGGTTTAGGGTTTAGGGGTTTACGGTTTAGGGTTTAGGGTTTAGGGATTTAGGGGTTTAGGGGTTTAGGGTTTAGGGTTTCAGGGTTTAGGGGTTTAGTGGTTTAGGGTTTAGGGATTTAGTGGTTTAGGGGTTTAGGGTTTAGGCTTTAGGGTAGGATGCCCAGTACTACCCGTATTCCCTTTTTGTAGTCCTAGGCTCCTTTTAAAGTTACAAAATACCAAAAAGGGAGCCCTTTGAATTCCTAGGTTACTGGGCATCCTAGAATACGGTTGATGATATAAATCCTGCATTACCTTAATGGCCCTAAACTATGGGAAGTATGGCATATTTCCTATTATGGGTCATGCAGGATTTATATTTCCAAATTCTAAACCCTAAAACCCTATGGATCCCTTAAAAGAGCCCCTTAAAGGTACCCTTCTAGATCCCTTTAAAGGAACCCCCAGGATTGATGTCATCAACCGTACTGCTCATCCTCCCAGGCCCCTAAGCCTTAGCTCTAAAGCCCCAAACCCGAAGGACTAATTCCCGTAATTATGAAAATATTGTGATTATGATTATTATTTGTATTATTACTGTTATTATTACTATAACCCTAAAACCCCAAACCCGAAATACTAAACCCCAACAAACCCAGAGCCTCCAAAACCCTTTAATTAAGGAATAGACCTTAAACTCTATTGGGGATCCTACTATGATTTAAGGTATATTCCTTAATTAAGGGATATTGGAGTCCCCTAAACCCTAAACCCTATAGATCCCTTAAAGATCCCTTTAAAGGAACCCTAGGGCCCTAGGTATTCCTTAAGGGGTTTTGGAGGCTCTGGGAACCTGAACGCCCTAAACCCTAAGACTGCTCGAAGCCCGATAAGACCCTAAGCCCCAAGAACTTCAAGCAAGCCCTTCAACACATCACGACCCAAACTCGGTTTAGGGTTTAGGGTTTAGGGTTTAGGGTTTAGGGGTTTAGGGGTTAGGGGTTAGCAGTTAGGATTCAGGGTTTAGTGATTAGGGTTTAGGGTTTAGGGATTAGGGTTTCAACTGCCAGGCCAAGTACACGGACGACATCCCCCAGGTCCCCGGAACGCTGCATGCTGCAGGGGGGCTCAGATGTTTGGCCATGCCTTGCGGCTTACGGCCTTAGGGCTTAGGGCTCATTTGATAACTGAATTGGTTCCGGTTCCCGTTGAGGGTCTCGTTCATGCTTCCTTTAACGGTTTAGGGTTCCTGTAAGGTTGTCAACGAGGGCTTCCTCCAGGGTTCTCTAGGGGTTCAAATCTTAGTACGTTTTATTTAGTGTCTTAGTTTAGGGAGGGTCTTGCTGCGATCGCCGCCCTAGTGATAGTTTTGTCAGACCCTGTATGTACGGCTACTAAAAGCACCCTAAACCCTAAACCCTTGTACAACTGTTCCCGCAACCCCCAGACCTCTGCGTGTGCACGGGCAATTTAAGACCCAATTCCTCAACATAAGTTCTCATCCCTACACCATACGTAATCCTAAACCGTAAACCCCTCATCCTGAAATCCTAAAGGCATATTGGCTCAAACATATTGCTTTCACAGCTTTCTGTGGATTCATTCCAACCCGTGACCGGCCATGGACAGATGGCTGAAAACTGTGGAGACCAGCGATGGAAGGGAGTGGACGCTGCTATACCGTGGGCGATGGGAGAAAGCCGTTCCCACGTGCTCCCCTCCACCTACTTAAAGGGTCATGGGACTTAGTAACTAGGGTTATAATTAAAGTAACTATACTTGTAACCCCAATTAAGGTACTTATAACCGTACTTACTTAGTCCCATGATCCTCCACCTAGAACTCACGGGGCCGCAAGCCCACCTTGCCGGAGCGGTGTCGTAGAGGCCGACAACTCCTGCACAGCCCAAAGGCCGAAGATGCAGGTGCAGCCAGGCCGGGACACCCAGCCCTGGCGACTGCTAACAGTCATGCATCATATGCTTTACAGTAGCCGCCGGAAACTTGGAAGGCGGCAATTGGAACGGTTGATGCGGCAACGGCATCTTCCAACTTTAGGTTTGACTTGGTCCCATCTTCCAATTTTAGGTCCCGGCGTTTGGACCAGTTAATGCAGTGACGGTATCTTTCAACCTTCGGTTTGTGGGAAGCAGCTCCAGTAATGCAGAGAGAGAAACCGCAATTACTACGACCGCTCCAGTATTGCTGAGAGAGGGAAACGGCAATTGCTACGACCACTCCAATATTGCAAAGAGAGAAAGACGGAAACTGCAAGTACTACGACCGCTCCAGTATTGCACAGAGATAGAAACTGCAAATTAATACTACGACCGTTCCAATATGCAGAGAGAGAAAATTTGCAATTACTAGGACCGCTCCAGTGTTGCAGAAAGAGAGAGATTGCAATTACTACAACCGCTCCAGTATTGCAGGAAGAGAGAAGCTGCAATTATTTTGGCCGCTCCAGTATTGCAGAGGGAGATAAACTGCAATTACTGCGCCCGCTCCAGTATTGCAGAGAGAGAGAGAGAGAAACTCCAGCTAAATTTTGGGTTTGACTTGGTCCCATCTTCCAACTTTAGGTCCCGGCATTTGGAGCGGTTCATGCGGTAATCAATAGTTGGAAGGTTGAAAACTTGGAAGAATCCAAAGTTGGAAGATGTGTTTTATTCCAGTTGTGGGGTGCTGGAATTTTGGGTGCGCATCTTCCAACTTTGCGGCTGCCACCATAGGGCTTTAGGGCTTAGGGTTTATAGGGTATATACCATATAGTACATGACGGCACCTCGGGGAGTAGGACGAGGCCGGAGAGTGGAAGCCAAAAACAGCGTTTACGGGAGCTGGAGACTTAACCCACCGCCTCCCAAACCCTTATAAAGCCCTCATCGAAATTCATAAGCCTCTCCTAAACCTGTATAGAGCCTTTATACCCTTATACAGAGCCCCAATGCGGGAGTCCGACCGAAACCCTAAGGCTACAAGTACCTATGTAGTATGTATGTAGACCCTAGTGTATACCATATACCAGGACCCCCAAGGCCCATCAATAGAGCCCTTGTAACCCGAGTATTTAGGGTGTTAGTGGGGGGTCTAGGTAGGTACCATGGAGCCTCCTGGAAAGCCACGATGCCTGGATGCCCCGCTCAGGTTCTCATCCTCAGCGAGCGCTGCCATGCGAAGATCCTGCCGCAGACTTGTTGGCTCCTACGGTGTAAGGTTTATGATTGAAAGTTTAGGGTCATAGACGAATTTGGGTTTAGGGTTCAGGGGGTTTTAGGTTCCTCCCTTGCCGGTTCAGGATTAGGGATTTGTAGCGAGGGTTCAGGGTCTAGGTACCAGGGTGTTTAGTAGCCCTACTGTGCCCTATATGCTGTTTCGGGGAGCATACTTGGAGGATCATGGGACTTAGTAAGTAAGGTTATAAGTACCTAAATTGGGGTTATGAGTATAGCTACCTTACTTATAACCCTAGATACTAAGTCCCATGATCCTCTAAGTACCCTCCAACACCCATATATAGAGTTCCCTTAGTATAGATCCCTTAAAGGGTCCCTTTAAGGAGCCCTAGTTACTAAGTCCCATGATCCTTTAAGTAGGGTGCTTCTACACGTCGAGTCCAGGCTCAGGGCTCGGGTTTTCTCCATCGCAGCCTTACCTATAGTCTCCATTGTAGTTCCTTTTTTGGGTTACCCAGTTTTATGGGTAGGATCCTATTATAGAGATTGTGGTCAACCAAAAAAGGAACTACAATGGAGACTGCAGGTAAACCTTGAACTGTAATAGCCCGCTGAAGGCTAGAGAAGCCAAGAGACTGCATGGAGAGACCCTCCAAAAAAGAAGCAATTCGATCCTTAGGGTGCATGTGCCAATATGGTGTATACTTATAGGGCCTTGCAAAGGCTTCTATTAGGAGGTTTAAAGACATCAGAATATGCATTACGGGGTCATCACCAGGGATAGAATCTACATCGTAGGCGCCTCGTTGCAAACGTCTCTTTGGCCTTAAGACAGAACCCACTCCCGTATGAAGATTTCAAACAACAAGGGCCTTCCAGAAAGATACGTTAAAGGCATTTCGAGAACAAGGACCTTAGAGAGGGTTGAAAGCTGGGTTAAATGCATTTCGAAATTGTTGGCCTTAACTTAGAGAAAAGGAGCCTACTATACATTATCCATAGCTGCGAAGCCAGGGCCTCTCACTGCAGGTGCCGCGACCTCTTTCCCTCAGGGTGGAGGACTCACAACGTTAGGAGTTTAGGGTTTACGGTTTAGAGGTTGGAAGCCTGGCCTCAAAGAGGTGGGTACGGGTTCCTGTCCGAACGGCTCTTGTTTGGGATTCAGTTGCCCGAAAGCCTTCCTACCCTGCCCGACATCGCAACGCCTACTTAGAGGATCATGGGACTCAGCAGCTAGGGTTATAAGTAAGGTAATCATACTTTTAACTACTGAAAGCCACAGCTTAAGGTAATTAGAACCTTACTTCCCAAGTCCCATGATCCTCCAAGTACGTCCTTCAAGCATTTACCGAAGACTGCTTTGGCTCTGTGGCAAGCCACGAGCGCTACTTTGACCCGAAACCTAGGCCGACACCCAGACCCTGGGACCCCCAAGCCCTTAGCCCCAGAAGCCAAGACCGCTACACCCGAAGCCCCAAAAGCGAACACTGAGATTTAGGGTTTCAGGGTTTCGTAAACCTTCAACCCTAAAACCACCAAGCCTTATGGTCTAGGAGGCAACCCGGCAAACAACCCTAGACTATTCCACGCAAATCTAGTTGCCTCGTCCCTCCATGAAGATCGCTTGTCCCACGAATCCTGGAAGCAGGCTGCCTCGAACTCCGAACTTTCCATGAGTCAAACAAAACTAATAAATCAATAAGCACACAAGATCCCTGAATCCTTTACAGTGAACCCCAGAAAGTTGGAACATGGGTTTAGGAGGATTCGTGCTAGGATCCCTTATACTTCACCTTAAGGGCATGAGGAGAATGATGTTCCAACTTTCTGGCTTCTACCATAAACCTAAGATGCACCCCCCTCTCGAAACCCTAAGCCGCTTCTGTTCTGCGATGGAGCTGTCTTTGGTGACCGACGGAAAGGCTGGTTCGGTTTCTTGATTCTTTAATGCACGTAGGGCAAACCCTAAGGCCGAAAAGCCCCTAAACCGAGACCCCATAACCCCTAAGTAAGCCTGAATAACCCAAAGGGTCCTAAGTACGTATATAGTAGTATGTAGAGTTTCTATACTAGGAATTACTAGTATGGTTCGGGAAAGTATCCCCCATAACGGTACCTAGCACCGTTTGGGTAAGCCACACAAGCCACCCCAAAACGCCCAAGCCCTAAACCGCTAACAGGCCCTCAACACCAGAGCCCTAAAGTTATAATAGCTCCAGCCTTAATCTCCTAAGCCCACGCCCCCCTAAGCCCAACCCTAAAGCCACAACCCTAACATGGGCGCCTTAAAAATTACCTACTCCATTTTCGGGGCCTCTCATATATTATAATCATGGTATAGTATACCCCAACACCTTATTCTATTTATTATGGTCCCTACATCATTACCCTGAGAGCATCCCTCATAGAAGCCCTTATAGGACCGTCTTTAAAGGGACCCTATTCTAATTATTATGGCCGCTACACTAAGCCTCCCCGCGATGCTCGTGGAGGCCACTCGCTGCTTTGAGCCCTGCGGCGCTTTCAAAGGCGCCAAGCCAGGCCGGGGGGATGTCGGAAGGAATCTTTTTTAAGCAGGGTTTGGGGGGTTCCAGGGCTTTAGGGCTTCAAAGGTTTGAGGTTTGAGTTTCGGGTTTAGGGGTTTAGTGGGTTTAATTACGGTTTCAGGGGGAGGGATCTCGGAAGGAATCTTGTCAAGACTCGTTCATGAAGGGTTCACCTACTTAGATCCCCAATACCCAACCTTTAAGCGCTTTGGGTCTTTGTAGTTTAGTAGGAGTCGGAAAGTTTAACCTTCTATTTCTGTGGCTTATGCGGGAGTACCCTTAAGGACTCGTTCATGAAGGGTTCACCCATAATTATAGTCTCCATTCTAGTTGCTTTTTGTGGTTAACCAGCTTTATGGTTAGGATCCTGTGAACACGAATTTGTGTAACCAAAAAAGGAACTATAATGCAGACCAGAGGTGGGGGGTTTGGGGTTTAGGGTTTAGTCTGTTGGGGGGTTAGGGTTTTAGGGTTTCGGGGTTTAGGTTTTGGGCTTAGGGCTTATATCGAGGGTGCTTTCAGGACTACAAGTGTTGGTTATATGCATGTAATGCATACAGAACCTCCACGACTCACACGTTTGCTACAACCTTAGGAGGCAACATCACTTAGGTTCCTCAGTAGTACCCTTTTGTTTTTTTGGGGGGTGGGCTCTCCTTTGTCAAATTGAATATTGGGGAAAAAAGGCCACCCTGTTTAATGTTAACTAAGGGGTTACCCCGGAACCTTGGACTAGAATCTAACTGGTAGGCTGCCGGCTCAAGAGCCTCTTGAAATTAGATATGAAAAGAGAACCGAATCATAAATCACCGAAAAATTAACATGAAGCACTCCTTTCCTTAGGGTTCTACAAGTGTTTTGCAAGGGTCCCGGGTTCGGGGTTATTATCCTGACAAGTCTTAAGTTTAGATCTAAGTAAGCTTGCAGCTAGGATCTGGGGGATTTCCTTTGCTGGTTTAGGGTTTAAGTTTCGAGTTCAGGTCTGGATTACTCGTAGCAGTTTTTTCTGCGGGTCCCGTACGAAGTTTCAGTGTTTCTGGTATTTCATCATATAGAAAGCCATTAGACGTAGTCTTGCACACTATACTGGCCCGGAGCGCGCGGTTGGGGCTTGGAACAACACTGTGTCGGCCTAGTCAGCTCACTTCGTCACATATTCACGAGGTCTTGTTGGGTCTTGCTGCTCCAGAATCCCAAATCCGTATCGTTCTCGCGCCCGACCCAAGAACAACAAATTTCCTCTCAAAGCAGAAACCCACAAGCTCCAAACCCCGGAATTTTGCCCTAAACCCTAAACCTTAAACACTAAACCCTAAACCCCTGACGGTGCCTGGCAAACCCTTGTAGCCGCCGCTGCATATCGAGGCTGGGTATTCAAAACAGGCGGCCAAGGACAGGGCTTTAGGGTTTAGGATTTATGGTTTAGGATTTAGGGTTTAGGGTTTAGGGTTTAGGGTTTAGGGCAGGGTTGCGCTAGGTTCGGTTTGAGGTTCGAGACGATGTTGAGCTCGTATAGGCAGGACGCCTTCGTAGCCGACCACCTGTGCTGCAGATGTTAGCTCTGACTAAAATCAACATTGGTTCGCACGTATTTTTGCGTACGCTCGGACGCGGCGCGCCTGTCGATGCCAAGGTCGATGATGCAAGCTAGGTCTTCCTCTGGTCTCTTGTGCAGAGATGTGCGTTTGTGTTCTAATTTGTAACCTACCTAAACTCTCCATTGTAGTTCCCTTTTCTGGTTAACCAAAATCTTTGTCATAGGGCCTAGGGTGCTAACCATAAAATTGGTTAGCCAAAGAAAGGAAGTACAATGGAAACTATAGGTAAACCCGAGCGGGGGGGGAGGTTGTTTTGTAAACAAGTTCTCTGACCGTTGAGAGATCGAGCAAGCCGCCCTGCAGTGCCGATGAGCCACAGGGTCCTAGATACTGTTATGGGGGATATACTTCCTCAAATCATAATATAGAAACTAGAAACCCTACATTAATTATACTATATAGGTACTTTGGACCCTTTGGGCACGTGCGACTGAGACTCTGATCTGTTCATTCACGATCATACCGAGAAAAACACCCTACCAACAGTAGCCTTGAGCAGCTGCCGCCAGGGAGGTTGCGTGAGACAGGATGCAGCAAGATATCTTAGAAGCTGCCCCCACCCTGTAATAGTGGTATAATTGGAATATAATAGGGCCCTAGTATAATCCTTATAGTCACTATTACAGGGTGGGGGCAGCTCCTAAAAGATATCGCATGTTTGCTGCACCATCTTGGCACGACTACCCCCCGAGACTCACTTAGACTCTGCGAGGACTGGGTTACTACTTGGATGCCTTGGACGACAGTTTTGAGCAACCCGGTCGGATGTTTTGGGGGGAGGGCGGGGAGGATTCTGCTTTTGACGGTTGGTGTTCATGAATTCGCGGCTTTGAGCTGGGCTCCTCCATGGTACCCTTTTGTTGGTTAGCTTTGTTATTGTAGGATCCTAACCATCAAAGAAGTAAGGGTCTAGGTACAACGTTGAACCCTTTTCTTCTTCACCCTCCGGGGACCGGAAAGCAAAGAACAAGTCCTAGTTCCAGGATCCCAAAGGGTGGTTCAAGCGGGGCTGGTACAAGGGATCGTTGCGGAACTCTAGGGAAGTACTTGATATAGGAATTACGTGGCATCTACACCCCCTGGACTCCACCCCCTCAATGATACTATTGGCTCGGAGCTGTGCCGTCCGTCCAGCTGGGACCACCACCGGGCTATGACCGCAGTTCCTAACTAACCGTATAAAAGTGCATTGCAGACACACTTATAGAAACAAAAACCGCAAAGCAAGGCTTCTACAACCCTAGAAACACAAGCTCGCCCCGAGCCCCAAACCGTTTAGACCCTCCTAAAACCACCCTAAACCCGTAAACCCCAAACCCCTAGACCCTAAACCCTAAACCCCTAAACCCCTAAGCCCCTAAACCCCTAAACCCTAAACCTGTCGACCCAGGCAGACCTTCCGGCAGAGCAAGCAGGAAACCTCCTACTTGTTCGAGCTTGCCCCTGGGATCACGACCTTAGGGTTTAGGGTTTAGGGTCGAAGCTCTGGATATTGACATCGTTGCCGGGGTGTGGATTCTGTGGCCCTGAGTTTGCGATGCTCCGCTTTGCAAGTGTTGTGGTTCTTAACTCTGGTAACGCTTTACCAAGTGGCAGTTTGTTTTCTCAAGATCCTCTGTGGTCCTAGCATGGCCCAGTCACGAAGAGCTCGAGGAGTCTTGGGGTGGACTACGCTACCGGAGAAGGTTCCATTTCCCTGGTGGGCGGGGGAGGAAGTTCGGGAATGGGGTTATCATCCTTCGTGTAGCGTGTGGGTCTCGACCTTTGCAACGTTCCAGAAGAGAAGACAAGGGGTATACAACGACAAGCATCAGGCCTTACTGAATGTAGCCTGTTTTAGGCTGTGGGGACACCAATGTGCTCCAAAGTGCATAAATTATCCCATCAGCCTGCGTAGAACAACCTTCCCAGATTATTACTGAAGTATCTAGGACGTTTTGTGGGTAGCGGTTTGGGGGTTTAGGCTTTAGGATTTAGGGTGGTCTCCGTCGTATGATAGTGCCGCCCTGCAAACCGCCTCATGACATTTTCAAGACCCTCACCGAAACTAGCATGGAGACGAACTGAGTTTGAGTCCATCAGGCGGGAGGTTCCCTCCTACGTTCATGGTGACCACAAAGCCGTACTTGGAGGATCATGGGACTGAGTAAGTAAGGTTATAAGCACCTTACTTGAGGTTATAAGGATAGTTACCTTACATATAACCCTGGTTACTAAGTCCCATGATCCTCTAAGTACCCTCCAACACCCAAATATAGAACCCTTAATATAGATCCCTTAAAGGATCCCTTTACGGAACCCTAGTTACGTAGTCCCATGATCCTTTAAGTAGTCATAAGCCCTCAACCCTGAGCCCGACATCGGCCCTCGACCTATCTCCATTCTACCCTTTACCCCAAGGGTCCAAGTACCCAATAATCATATACTCTCCAAAATCCTAACCCACATAACTATTATCCTAAAACCGAGTACCTAATTATTGGGTCCTTTGGACCCTTGGGGTTATCGCTAATGAACCAGTTTTAAGGATTGTAAGGGTAGGATATTGAAACATACAAAATTAAGGGTTAACCAAAAAAGAGAACAACAATGGAGACTCTAGTCCCTAAGCTGCAAACCGCAAACCCCTAAACCCTGAAACCCTTAAACCCTAAACTCCCTAAACCTTCAACCCTAAACCCTAAAACCCCACACCCCATAAACCCTAAACTCCCTAAACCCTAAAACCCCCTAAAAGGATCCCTATTTGTGTTCTTGCCCGCCTTCTTTCTGCCACCCAGGCCGAACGAGGTCAATTCGACCGTTTGAGGTCACTGCTGGAAGACTTCCCTCATTTTTGGCAGGCCTGTTCAGTGTTTGGGGCTTTGGGTTTTCTTTTTTGACTCAGAGAGGGGCCTTAGGCTTTTCCCGAAGGGTCCATTTACCCAGACAGTATGTACTTTTTGGCCCCGAAGTGTCTAGGTAAAGTATTGGCCCAGCACCTTTACAAGGCTTTATTCTGCATGCTTTTGGGGGCCAGGACCTTACAGTTACACAGAGCCTCCAAAACCCCTTCATTTAAGGAATATACCTTAGATCACAGTAGGATCCCTAATATAGTTTAAGGTATATTCCTTCATTAAGGGGTTGTGGAGGCTCTGGGTACACACTGATTCCTCAACCGTAATCTGCTTGCACAAAGGAACTCGAAGTCCTGAGAAGTCCTTTTGAGATTGACCTAGAGCAACGCATTGTGTCGTCATGTCAACACAGGGATATGAACCTAAATACTTGGTGCACTTACCTTTCTTAAGGCAGTTTGGTTATGGCTTGGGTGAAGCGGTTCGCAATTAAGCGAGTCACAGCTTTTGCGATGTGCAGTTCTTTTTCGGCAGCCGTGTTTATAACGTGTGAGGTTTGCTGAAGGGCTTGGGGTGGGGTTGCAGGCTCGCTCCCCTCCCAACCCGCAGCCCCTGTTGGGTCCGGTGCCTTGCATGATGGGGTTGCACCACTGCAGCTACGGCCGTGAATTTTCGGCCAGAGTTTTGGCAGCGAAGACCGGACCGACAGCATGGAGGAGCATTGGGATTGTCGGACTGCGCTGCTATCCGACACTAAAGCAGTTCTTACAGAGTGCTGTGTGCTGATGTCACACTAAGGGAGTTTGCGAGCGCTTGCGATTTGATCTGCCATTCAATTCGTCGGACCCTGACCTGGATATGTCCTGACGCCGGCTTCTCCCGAGCTTTATCCCGAGCCCACCTCTGACTTGCGACGTCTCATCCCAGTATTCCTAGGAAGTACGAAGGAGACTGCTTGAAGGGGACCCTCCTTAATTAACCCTACTGTACTTCTGGTTTTCGCCGAGAGAGTCTATGTATATATATATATATATACACACACAGAGAGATTTATATGTTTCTCCCCAAGGGTCCCCCTAATTCATCGTGACTCTTGGGTCTAATATGCCCTAACGCCGAAGCCCGGAGCCCTGGCTAAGGGCATCCTTAACCCGGAGCCTTAGAACATCTTAGAGCATTGTGCCTTACCCTATGCTTCCAAGGACCTGATAGTTAGGGCCTTAGACCCCTTAAGGACCCAATAATAAGGTCCCTGGAAGCCTTGGGTTATACAGCAGAAGCCCAAAAGTTGGAAACCCCGTAGCCTCAATCCCTAAAGTATAGGGAATCCCAGCATTATTTGGCCTTCAGCCGGTTTTCAACTTTATTGGGTTTACTGTAAATCAAACCCATATAACCTTTACCCGAAGCCTCGAGCCCTTAACTACAACACCTTCAGTCCCATGTACTCCCAGATTCTGAACGATACAGCCCTAATGAGGCCCCAATGTCCTGGTATCTGCATTGCAAACCCATCCTAAACCATTCCTTAATCCTAAACCCTTTACATGACCTAAACTCTACACTACATGCGAAATACGCCCATCTATGCCCTAAGCCAAATACCCTGTGCTTCCAAGGACCTGATAGTTAGGGCCTTAGACCCCTTAAGGACCCAATAATAAGGTCCCTGGAAGCCTTGGGATAGGCGGTCGAAGACGATGGAACCACGCTGCTGCACTGGGCAGCCGTTCGGGATGATGTGCGGTCCTTGTCGTGGAGAGCTTGCGCAAGAATCGTTACCTATAGTCTCCATTTTGGTTCCTTTATTTGGTTACCTAAAATTTGTATTATAGGATCCTAACCTTCAAATTGGAGGACCAAAAAAAGGGACTACAATGGAGACTAATTATAAGTGCGGATCGCAGGGCTTTAGCGCTCAGGGTGCACTTTCTACATTGGAGGACTCTGCACTGGCACAGAAATACGATCTTACACAGGCCGTAGAGTTGGTGAACAGTTGGAGCCTTACAGGTGGTAAAAAGTTTGGAAGTAATTATGCACTGTCTTGGGGGGTGGTTGGATACGAGGAGTGTCCATCACAAGAAAGGCCATCAAAGATACTCCGACCTACATGTGCCTGGGTTGTAGGAGTAGGGGCCCTAGCCGAGACAAATAACAAATAACCCTGAGCCCTAAGACGAGCTTCCATGACCCTTACTAGTAGTATATGGTTGGGGGCTCCATTGTTAAAGGTCCCGCAGCAGTCCTGCAATGTCGAACAAGCAAGGGAGACGGGGTTTTAGGATTTCAGGTCGAGCGAGCTCCCTTTCAGGTTCCTTTCAGCATCCTATCTTTATGCATATACATATAGATTATATATATATATCAATCTACACACACATACATATACACACATACTTACTTATGTACACACATGGTCTTTCTGGGGTGGAGGGCTGATGGCTCTGGGTCTAGTACACCTTGCCCTCGCTCCTCGCACGTGCGAGTGGATGCTTCGATCCTTGCAACAGCTCCAGCCACAGATAAAGCGTCACTGGCTGGAGACAAGAGGGAGGGCCGGTGGCGAGGTAAGGACCCGGCCAAAGTGGCATGGACCATTGCATCAAAACCCTAAACCCTGCGTCGAGCACAGATCAAAGGGACCCCTAAACCCTGAACCCCAACCCTATAAACCCTGAACCCCAAACCCTAAACCCTAAACCCTAAAATTATAGTAGACCCTAAACCCTAAGCCCCTGCAGTACCCTTATAGGTCCCTTCAGGGGACCCTTAGACCATACTCAGCCCCAAGTCTCAGAATAAAATCCTTAGAGATCCCTGGTTTAGGGTTTAGGGTTTAGGGCTTTAGGGTTTAGGGTTTAGGGGTTAAGGATCCCTTTAAGGAACCCTCTAAGGAGCCTCAAGCATACTACCTGTAGTCTCTATTGTAGTTCCTTTTTTGGTTGACCAAAATCTCTATTTAAGGATCCTACCCATAAAACTGGTTAACCAAAACCTTAAGGGTCCATGTACCCATTAAGGATATACATTGGCCCCAAATGTACCTATATAGGGGCGACTTTAAGGCCAATGTATATACAATTTAGGTACATGGACCCTGAGGGGAAAACGGAACTACGATGGAGACTATAGGTAAGTCCCAAGTATCGCTACGGAACCTGGGTCCCTTTAAGGAACCTTTGAAGGAGCCCAAACCATACTAAGTCCCAAGTATCGTTACGGAACCTCTAAGCAGCCTAAACGATCCCTGTAAGGGTCCCTTTAAGGAACTTTTTGAGGAGTCTAAACCATACTAGGTAAGTCCCAACCCTAAACTCTAAGCCCTAAACCCTAAACTGTAAGGAGCCCTCTAAGGAGCCTAAACCATACTAAGGCCCAAGTTGATTATCCTAACCCTTCTATGGTAAATTATAGGGTATCCTACCATGAAACCATATTCCAACTTTCTGGAGTTCCCTGTAGGGTACTAAGTCCCAAGTGTATCGACTCCCAGGCTAAGTTCGTCTCCCAAGCCTTGGCAGTGAAGATCGCGGTTGACGTGCCGGGCCCGCGCAATCAGACGCCGCTCGGGCCGGAGTTAAATTTGCCAAGTTTTTGGGCTAAGGAATGTAATATATGTTGTTTATGTAATATATCTATACATATATATATATATATATATATATTGCTGTTTTGGTTCATGATATCTCTACATGGGTACCACCTGCATTCGTTATGTTGGCAACTCTAATCCTGATGCCCAGTCTGTGGACGTATGTGTTGCCGTGCCCAGTGCATCCCAACAGCTGTCTTGACGTAGCTTGCAGAGAGCCAACAGATATGTATTGGGTACTGCTTCCACTCAGTAGCAGTAGGATAATTTTCATAATATGGTGATATTAGGACCTCAATAGTAGCCGTATTATGGACTGTTACCGTAGGGGGCAGTACCCAAGATGTGTAGCTTACCGGTTGCGCAGCAAGATCTCCAGGGAGCATAGAAGATAAGCTAGATTCCGAAAACTGAAATCTAATCTAATCGGCTCTCTTCAGGCCATGAGTGTAAGTATCCTAAACCCTCAACATTAAACCCTAGAGCCCTAAGCCCTATAAACCCTAAACCCCCTAAGCCTTAAACCCTACCCCCCTAAACCCTAAACCTAGTAGCTATCTTAGGTAAATTCAACCTGACAGCAACCTTCCTGGGTTGTGAAATGCAACCTTTATCTAGCTTCCAATAATGGAATGTTAGGTTAGCTTGGTACACCCTGAAGGGTCCAAGTAGTTCTTATTTATGGCTTTTGGTACCGAAAGAGCCTTGAACATCTTGTAATGGTGAGTACTTGGACCCCTTGGGTGCAGTTTTTTGAGGCCCAGCGTTTCGGGTCAGTGCACCACCGAGCCATGAAGGTACCGGAGCTTTGCATGCTGCGGCTGCGGAAGGCTAATACATGGGTCAGCACAATTCCCGAAGGGTCCATGTACCCATATAGCATATACTTGAGCCCCGAAGTACCCAAATAGGGACAGCATCAAGGCCATTGTATATACTATATTATTAGAGTACATGGACCCCAAGGGATTCATCACAGTGTCCCCGTACTTTCCCTCATACTGTGCTCAGTATGGTTACTCAGGCTCCTGTATATACTAGCCTCCTTCTACGAAGCTAACTTCTGGGGTTCCTTTTCCAAGGCTCTTGTGTTAAAGAGGGTGTTTGGAGTCTGTGGGCACCGAACGACCACAATGCTGAAGGGCTTTGGGCTGCTTGAATCCTAAACCTCTAAGCACACCTTGAGCCCTGTGTAAACCTTTGAGCGCACCTTCACGACATCCGTTTAGAACCCAAGCCCAAAGAGCCTTTGGGCGCAAACTCACAGCAATGCGCAACCAAGGCCATTGATGTGGGCCACTTGTCTGCAGTCTCCTTGGGTCCTTAGGTTCCTCTAGGGATTCCTTTGAGAGTACCTAGGATTTTTTTTGGGAATATCTCCTGCTTAGACTCGCCTGTTTCACGGAACAGGATCAGGTTTTGTGCTCCCTTGCGAATTTCTGCAGTTCTAGTACCTCTAGCTGAAATTCACAGCGGATAGCCCTTCCCACAGAGTAGGCAAATATCGGCCCAACACCTGTGGAAGGCTGTCGTTCGGGGTCTTGTTCACCCAATGTTTAGCTATCAGCCCGACGCAAAAGCTAAATGGGAGTTTCCGAAAATAGGGGACCCTAATATGGTACCCGAAATAGTAGGATCCTTATTATAATGAGCCCCAAATAAGGTACCCCCCTAATTTTCGGAAACTCCCAAACACTAAGCCCTTAGCCTGAGCCCTTACTTGGAGGGTCGGGGGACTTAGTAAGTAGGTAGTAAGTAGACTTATAAGTACCCTAAAAGGGACCCTAATTGGGGCTATGGTACTTATAAGTCCCTAAAATAACCAGTTACTAAGTCCCCCGACCCTCCAAGTAGCCCTTTACCCTAAATTGCAGTGCAGGCAGTCGCATGGGGACTTAACGGGGCTGGGTTTTGGAGGGGCCTTTCTAGTGGCAGTTTGCAGTGTAGGGCGTAGGCTCTAGGACTGTATACCTGGACCCAAATACCCGAAAAAAGGGATCTCTGATTCCCCATCAAGAGGTAGGTTTGGGCTACAACTTTAGACGGAATGCGCAAGGGCCCTAAATGCGACCCGAGTCCCGTAAAGCACGCCCAGGCCGTGTGCTGAGGCAGCCAAAAGCACAGACAAGCATTGTTGGTTTTGTTCACAAGTTTTATAACCTGCGTTCTTGAATACCAGTCCTCTGACTCAAGCCTGCCAGCGGCAGGTGGTTCAGAAACTCGGCCTCCACCTATTGCCAGCAGAGGCAACCATGAGGTCGAAGGACATCCAGGAAACAACTCAAGACCCGCCTGGGCTCACTCATGACGCGTGCTTGAATGTGTAGGCACATGCCTGGCACCGTTGCGGTGGAGATGAGAAGGCCACGTCGTCAGAAGCGATGCAAAGCACTGACAGTGCGATGATGGACACCATCCTGCATGATCCATACTAAAAGCAACATCACATGTGAGATGAGTAACTCTGCCTGCAGGAGGCAGTGCTGTAATGCCCTAGAGCCCTACACCTCTGTGCCGGTTATACCACAACCCTGGACCTCTAAACCTAAAGCCCTTGAGCCCGATAGCTCCCACGATGGATTTGCAGCCACTTGATGTGCTTGAGGGCTGCACACCTTAAATCTATCCCCTGCCTGAACCCTAAACCCTATATAAGCTCGAAACCCTGAACCCCTAAACTCTACATCCCATAAACCCTCGATCCTAAACCCTATAAACCTTGCACCCAAATCCTGCACCTGGGGTGTGCTTTGGGATAACTGTTAATTTCCCTTGTTTCCTTATAAAGGGAGCCTATTCATAAATAACTTTCAAAGGGTGTGAAGCACAACCCCTAAACCCTAAACCCAAACCCAAAACCCTAAACCCTAAACCCTATGACCCTCCCGCCCAAACCCGGCACGCAACATGCTAGAAAGCTTCGCCCGAGGCAGCGGCCGGGGGAGCAGTGGCTTTTCGACAGCAAGTCTAAGTGGGAGGAGGTTGAGGGGTTTGGGGTTTTAGGGTTTTGGGGTTTAGGGGTTTAGGGGTTTACTAGGGTTGATTAGGGTGTATCAGGGGTTTAGGGTTGTTTTAGCTAGGGTTTACCTATAGTCTCCATTGTAGTTCCTTTTTTGGTTAACCAGTTTTATGGGCAGGATGCTATAATAGAGATTTTGGTCAACCAAAAAAGGAACTACAATGGAGACTACAGGTAGGGTTTAGGGATATGGTTGACAGTACATGGTTTAGGGCTTCAGGGTTCTGGGGTCTACCTACCTGTTTAAGGACTTAGAGAGAAGAATCATAATTTGGAACCCTAGACAGGTAGGTTCTTTGGGTGCTTTCAGGGTAGTCCTCATCGTGCCCATTGCGATATTTGTCATGCTTGCTGCCAGTGCGATGTCCTTCATTGCTGCTTCTGCGACGGATGTTGCCACGGGTATCCCGGAGAAGAGCTGTCGTCACTGGCATGGTTTGCCCACAAGAAACTGCCACTGCCCTTGTCTGCGCAGGAGGATTTCATGGGAGTCCCAATGTCCAATCTGCTCAGGCCGTAGTAGTATGGCAGTAGAAACAGGCGGAGCTGCATGAACGCAAGGTTAGGGTCTATCAACATGTAGTCCGACATTGGTAGGTATTTATGTATCTGTGCACCACCACAACCATTACGACCACCGCCACCGCCACAGCCACCGCCACCGCCACCGCCACCGCCACCGCCACCCACCACCACCCACCACCACCACCACCACCACCACCACCACCACCACCACCACCACCACCACCACCACCACCAAGACCGATAACAACAGCTTTGATGCTGGGTTCAGCCAGACCGAGCCTTAACGCCCCAAACACCCTGTGCCAACTGAGTCCGCGATGCATGCCCTCATCACTGCACAAGCGGATGTGAACGCCAAAGACGAGTCAGGCCATCACAGAGTGTAAAGAGTTTGCCGTAGTCTCCTTGCTGTGCAAAAGCTTGTCACCTTGCTGGTTTTACTGTAGGATCCTGACCAGACAGTTTTTGAAACTCGTTAACAAGATAGGGGCACTAGTGTTTCGGTTCTCGGATCGAAAGCTGCCTGTAGTCTCCATTGTAGTTCCTTTTTGTTGGTTGACAAAATCTCTATTGTAGGATCCTAACCATAAAACTGGCTAACCGAAAAAGGAACTACAATTATAGGATCCTAACCATAAAACTCGTGAACCAAAAAACGAACTACAATGGAGACTATAGGTGGGATGTCTGGCATCACAGCCTCAGAGTTGTCCTGCGGACGTAAAGAGCGAAAGATCAGCCAGAAGCAGGATGTTACGGGCAATGCAGCATGACAACGATGCATGATGCCGACGACGACAGTCATCATCAGCAACAACTATACCCTACTATAAGGACCAATACTATTCTGGGTGTTCCTCATTATAAATATAGTATAATGGGCCGCAAAACCCAAATGATTAAGGCCCCTATATTCAATCCGAAACATCAGCAACCACTAAAGTGCCTTAAAGTCTATACCCTAATTTCGAAACCTTAAAATCATAAACCCTAAGCTCTGTAAGCCCTAAATCCTTAACCCTAAACCGTGTACCCGCAGCCAGTACTGTTGATGACATAAATCCTGCAATATCTTTAAGAGTTCCTTTGAGGGTATTTTTAAGGGAGCTATAGTGTAATAGGGTTCAGGATTCGGGGTTATGATATAAGTCCTGCATTACCTTAAGGACCCTACACTATGGGAATTATGGTACAGTCTTCAGTATGGGTAATGCGAGATTTACATTATCAACCGTAGTTGCTTGGGTGACCGTGATGTTGACAAATGCAGAATGACGATCGTCTCTGTGACTTCAGGCAGGGAAGATACAGACGACCTTCAACAACAGACATCCGCTGAGGCAGTCTTCAAAAGAAGAGAAGCGCTGCCATCGTTTTCGTCCAAGTAGGAGGAGAAGGCCGAGGAGGCAAGTAGAAAGATGTCTCAGCCCTAGGCCATAAGCCATGAGCCCCATGCGACCATCAATGGGCATCGCGACTTCAAACAACGCTAGCCATGATTCCAGAGCTCCTGAATCCTAGACGACCGTTTAAACCATGAACCCACACCCGGCTCGTTTGCTGTCCTCTTGGGAGCTTGGAAGGTGCCACGCCGCTTCTGCATGCTGTGCAACACAAGCTCCTCGGTGCTTTGTGGAATGGGGTACAAGTGCAACTACTATTACTACCATTCTTCCATTCCCTACTAACCAAGGGTAAGTCAAGCCTCATGACTCTCGGCTCGTCGATGGTCAAGGTTCAAGGTGTGTTCACGACGAAAACAATACGCTTGGGGATGTTGGTACATCGGCAAGGTTTCTTTCTGTGCGAAGCAGTCCACGAGTCTTCGCTCTTCAGGTTCACGCTTTATAATATATATATATATATATATATATATGTATGTGTGTGTGCATGTATATATGTATGTATATATGTACGTGTGTATATACTTATATATATATATATATATATATATATACAAGTACGCCTGCACATGTTCATGCCGTATGTGTTTATGTAAGGTCGTTACGCGCAAGTGCATATTTACATGCATACAGACGAGCTACCTGCTTACCTACGTGTATACTATCAGTGTATACATACATACATACATACATGCATGCATACATACATACACACACATATATACATACATTTTGACAGGTACATGCATACATGCGTACATACATACTAACATACATGCATATTTACAGACATACCGACATGCAGGTCAACCCACGTTTGTATGTGTGTATATATGTACACACATACATACATACATACATACATACATACATACATGTGTTATGCATCTATTCTTTAGTTACACACATATACACACAAAGTATATGTGCACCCGTATATTATATATATATATATATATATAGATATACACATACTACATGCTTCTGTTTCTTCAACCCCTTGAACATCCAGTTATCCAGATCCCAGTACTATTTAACTAATGTAATTCGTTAGGCTAGAGGAATTCGAGTGGCATGTTGACCCAACGTGTTGACAGTAGAAGCTCAAAAGTTGGAAACCCCATAGCCTCAATCCTTAAGAGTAATCTATACAGGGAATCCCAGCACTATTTGGCCTTAAGCCGGTTTCCAACTTTATGGGGTTTACTGTATTCCTCACCGGATCACGGGCTTGACTAAAGAAAGCGTTGCAGTATGGAATGGCTTTTAACGTGATGTCAGTATGTTCCTTATCCTAAGGACAATCTAGACTTTCTGGGGAGTTCGAAGCAGCTGCATACTTCTGGGACCTAGAGTAGGCCCTTATTCCCTTTTAAGGGTTCAGGTTCCCTTATAAGCCCCTTTAAACCAAAAAGGGCACCCCTGTTATTCCTAGGTTACTCTTGGGTCCCAAAACCCTAAAGCCAAAACCCCTATAGATCCCTTAAAGGAGCCCTGATAGCACTGACTTCTAGTTCTAGAATCACAAGACCAAGAAAGGCCCGGCTCAGTGCGAACAGCCCGAGACTCCTCAGTCTTAGATGCCAAATCGCAAGCCCCCCTCCCCCCGATAAGACTTAGGGTTTAGGGTTTGGGGCCAATCCGCTGGGCATGCTGATTTCCGAGAGACTGCACACTTCCCGATGCTAGCTGTTAGCGTTAGCACGTTGAGACTGCACTCCGTGCATCGACCTGGGCAAGCTGGGATGTCTCGGTATAGTTCTCACTGGTGACGCGGTACTGTACAATTGCTTTCCAGGTTGAAGCCTCGGCCAGTCACGGCATTCAAAACAACAAACCTTGGCGGGGCGAGAAAAAGGGCTTTCTTTCTGACTATGGATGGAGCGGCTCTGCGCAGTCTTCCGCGAGGCACTCAATGAGAAACCGAGTCACTCTTCGAAACTTCCATCAAGAACCCCCATAAGCTGCCTGAAACTGTTAGACGTAAATGGCCCTTGAGCTGCAGAACACACACAAATGGATCTTGGGATGCCTAGTGTAGTCCTCATTCATGGAGGGTTTTTGGTGAATCAGTAGTCTACATTCTCCTAAGCAACGTTCCCTGAACTCCACCCGGACCGTTGCACTCTCAACACCCTCAACCCTGCTGCAATCAACGATCTTGGCCCTAGACTTTAATCTCTGTAGATCCCCTAGTGAGGAACCCTTTCAGGAATCCCTTATGCCCTAAGGCGCTTAAGAAGAAGCCTATACAACACCTCTATACTACCCTGTCAGAAGAGCATTACATAAACTGCCAGAGAACACTCATAGAAGCCTTAAAGGGATGATAGAGGCCCTGACAGCAAACTTTTATGGAGCCCTTATAGAACCGGAGTATAAACAAGAAATCCCTGAAAAGGAACCCTTTAAAGGTACCCCTATAAAGGAATCCTCCAGGCAGCACACGTCCCTGCTTCGCTTGGTGGCGGTGGCGGAAAATGAGACAGAGTTGCCGAGGTAAGAAACTCAGTCTCAGGGCTTGTTGAGTGCTCAGTCTTCCTGATAGGTAGTTGTCAAAATTACGGTCCCTTTTTGGGTACCCTAAATATTCGGTGCCTTATTAGAATAGGGACCCAAAAAGGGACCCTAATTTTGACAACCACCCTGGTGTAGGCTTTGAACCGCAGTTATAACTTATAATAGCCTATACGCGAGGACTTATCCACCCCACTTATAGCGAGAGCCTCCAAGTAATTTTTACCGGGGGAACCTAACACTGCAATTTCTTAGGTTAGTCCGGGTTAACCAAGGATCTTTGTTGAGAAAGCTAGGCTGACGCCAAAGTTTGGGAAGCTATACGCTTCGTCTTGGGTTACAGGCTTTTCCACGCTCTAAATTCGGGTTCTTCGGGGTGGGTATGGTTACGGTTTCCCTCGAGGACTTTCTTTGGGGAAACTACGGTTTTCTTCGGTGTTGGGGGTGTGTCGGGAATTCAGTCATTCAGCAGGTTGATTTGTGACTACGCTTTTGGTATGGGGGTCGACAGACGAGTCTTAGCGCAGTATGCCCTAAACCCTAAACCCTAATGCTTTTCCCCAGTTGTGATTGAACAACCCAGACAGTCATCTTTAGGTTCCCCAGATACACCCGGCTGTGGATCTCTATGTGGTAACTGCGCCCTAAACCTTATTCGTATACCCAGACCTTCCTGCATCCCTTAGTTAAGGAGTATACCTTTATATTAAGCAGGACCCCTAATATGCTTCCTTAAGCAAGGGATAGTGGCATGCCTAGTACATCACATTCTTGCTGAACTCAAAACCCTGAGCCACGCAGTCCCTGAAGGCTTGTGTCCGTCACTGACAACAAGGTGCGGTTGAGTGTTTCGGGCTTTACGAACAGGGCGTACGGGGTGCACAGGGTTTAGGGGTTTGGTGGGAAGGAAGGATCAGGGGACTTAATAAGAAGGTTCTAAGTACGGTTTACATTCCCTACCTGGGGATATTGCAACTGATTATATCCCTACTTATGAGACCTGGTTACTAAGTCCTTCAAGTAAGGAGCGGTAGTCCTACAAATTCGGTTCCCTTTTGGGGTCCTTCTTACAGAGCCGACAAGGTTTTGGAGGATACCTCTATACGCTCATACCCTACACCCTTTTGGGTTTCATAGTTAGGACCTGGTGTATGAAAAGATAGATACCCTAAATAGGGGTAGGCTTTGAGCCTACAAGTAGGGTGGAGGGAGTCGGCATGGTTCGGCATGACAGCTTTTAAACCCTAAGCTAGGATGCCCAGTAGTACCCTTATTCCCTGTTTGTAGTCCTAGGTGCCTTGTTAAGTTACCCAATACCAAAAAGTGAGCCCCTAGGTTACTGGGCATCCTAGATCCCTATACCGCCTATACCCTATAAACACCATATCACCCTACAAACCCTATAAGCCCCATATCACCCTATAAACCCTATAAACCCCATATCACCCTGTAAGCCCTACAAGTCCTATAAAACCCGGTGGAACCCGACGCGATGCCCGGGACCGCCCAACACCCTTGGCCCTACCTATGGGTAGTTGTCAAAATTATGGTCCCTTTTTGGGTACCCTAGATATTAGGTGCAGTATTATATTAGAGACCCGAAAAGGGGCCCTAATTCTGACAACCACCCCTATAGTCTCCATTGCAGTTCCTTTTTTTGGTTCACCAAATTCTTTGTTATAGGATCCTAACCATAAAACTGGTTAACCACAACATGGAAGTACAATGGAAACTATAGGATACTATAGGTACACCCTAACATTCCCCTCCCAGGGCAGAAATGGAGCGCATTGGGCTGCCTACCTCGGGGACCTTTCGTAGCTTTGCCGAACTGCGCAGAGAGTGTGGGCCGTGTTGGGCTCCTTCGAGTACCTTCGAGGGACGCGATCAGAAAGTTTGAGTTCTATGTGGGTCTGAGTACATAGCACCATTTGTCCTTGTGTATTTTGGGTTCTCCTTATTGAGAGAGAACAGTCACTCAGACGTTTGTATTCAGGAAAGTATGTATACCCTAAACCCCCAGACCCCTAAACCCCTAAACCTATACCTCTATCTTTCACCACCGAAGCCACTCGAATCGAAGCTTTGGAAAGGCTACGTCCCCCAACCGCAAGCCCTGATACAGACGCCTGGGCATTACCGGGATCTGGACCCTAAAGATTCTACCGTTTTAGGATTCGTTATTCTGATTTCCGCCTATAAATCCTGACAAGGTAGGGTTTGATAGAGGCAGAGGCAAGATTCGCAGACCTTCCAAAACCCTCTAACTAAGGAATCTACCGTTAGTTCTAGTAGGATCCCTAATATGATCTAACGCATATTTCTGATTTTCAGGGATTTTGCAAGGTCTGCGCTATTCCTTAGGCTAGTGACAATTGCACCGTACTACATCCCGCAACCCTATTCTAATTGTCAAGGCCCTTAGCTTACTTAAAGGCTCATGGGACTGAGTAAGCAAGGTTATAGGTAAGGTATAGTTAGGATAACCCATCTGGGGGACTTATACCCCTAGTTATGAGCTACCTAGTAAGTCACATGATCCTGAAAGTAGCCGCGGCTCGTGGTAAGGTCATTGAAGCTTCTTAGTCATTTCGGCGACAACCTCCATCACCTGGATGAGAAGAGGCAGCTGCATCGGAGGGGACGGGTTGAGGCTTAGAGGGTTTAGGGGTTTAGGGTTTAGGGGTTTAGGGGTTAGTGGAAGTGCCAGTGTAGCAGAAGTAGCGGTGTCGCCGGCGGCAGCTGCAGCAGAACTAATTACTAGGCAGTCGTCGAACCCGTCGGCCAGTGGAGGAACACCGCCTTGCATCAAGCCGTGGCTGGCTGCCGGCCAGGTGCAGAGTTTAGAGAGTTGCCCAACCTTGGGATTTGGGGTTTGTGGCGTGAAGCCTTCAAAACACATGTGTTCGAGTCTTGGGGGTTTAACACTCAGGCTCCAGTATTAGGGGTTTAAGGCATAGCATGCCGATGAGTTTCAAACGAACATAGTGATCAGGCTTCGGATAAGATACCCTAAGGGTCCATGTACCCAAATAGTATATACTTTGGCCTTAAAGTACTCCCTATTTAGGTACATTGGGCCCAAAGGAGGGGACCTTTAAGGGTAAATGGACCCTTAGGGATAGGGTTTGAATACGATGTCTATTATACGATGCCCCTACAGTTCCTGCATAAGTACCACCCTTCCGGAACCCTCTCCTGCCGCCCCCTTCCCGCCGAGCAACCACACTTTTGACATTACGCAGTCCCCAACTCTAAACCAAAAAAACGTGCCAATCCTGTCAATACACTGTCATCATCATGAAGGGCCCCAGCGCAGACTGTTTCGGGCTGAAGTTCTGACCTACAGAGTTGATTTTGGCGGAGAGGTAACTTTTCCTGGGTTTGGAGTACCATACTTTAATAAAGGAGCCATTATGAAATACAAGTCTACACTGTTCTCCCTAGTTACTTCAAAGTCCAGTTTTCCGTTTGACGGCTCTAGAAGAACAGGGCTCAGCATGGGGTGAAGGCTCGGGACTGGCGGTTGGAGCTGGATCAAGAAACCACCTTCTGTAGAGCACAAACATTCCCAATCATGGGAAATAACAAAGAGTTTACCGCGAGCCCCAGTATACTATCTTAAGCCTCCACTGTGAGAATATGGTTGAAGATCCTATTCTAACCTTTCAAACTTGAAGAAATCCCGTGCTAATGATTGGAACCTCCATAGATGAAAGCTTGCGGAGGCGTGCTGGACTTCCTCGTGAACCGTGGCGTCGATCCTGAGCTCCATAATGCCGATGGCGCCGGCCTCACAAGACTAGGATGCCCAGTAGTACCCTTATTCCTTTTTTGTAGTCCTAGGTTCCTTATAAAGTTACCCAATACCAAAAAGAGAGGCCTTTTTATTCTTAGGTTACTGGGTATCCTAAATAAAGTAGAAGTTAGAAGGGGCCCCCACCCTGTAATAGTGGGATAATAGGAATATAATAGGGCCCTAATATCATCCTTATAGTAACTATTACAGGGTGGGGGCCCCTTCTATATACGGCTTACCTGCCCGATAACTTTGGTGTTGGGCCGTTATGTTACCGACGTTTGGGGTTTTATGGGTGAGGTCTTCTTCAGTGAAGTGACATTCTTGCTCTATTTGGAGAACTACCCATATCAGTCGTTGGGTGGGTCCAAGAGACTGCCACGGTCAGAGATATTGTTCACCGGCTGGGCTTCATGTGTTGTTACTGGACCTTTGACGGAGCAGCGTTTGATGAGCAACGGCCGTCTTGGGAGATGTTCCGAGTGGAGTTGGACGTTGGAAAGCATGGGGCAGGCCACTCACAAACCATTGGTTTCCATTGAACACCAGCTGACTAGTCCGTGGTTTGTGTAAGCATGCCATAGCTGCATCGCAGTGGCCGGCTGACGTGGTCTTTGCCCCACAACTGTCACGGAAAGTCAAAGGCCGCTTCAGAGGCTCAGCTTGATGCGCCCAAAACCTGCAGCCCCATCTCCCTACTACTGTAGTCTCCATTGTAGTTGTAGATTCCCTTTTTCGGTCAACCAGCCCTATAGTTAGGATTAGGGTCCTATAAGTTAAGGTAACCACCCAGAAAAGGAACCACGATGGAGACCGTACCTGTAGTCTCCAGTGTAGTTCCTTTTTTTGGTTGACCGAAATCTCTATTGTAGGATCCTAACCACAAAACTGGTTAACCAAAAAAGGAACTACAATGGAGACTATAGGTAGGTATATTCCCGAGCTCCCAAGTTGCTTTGTTGCTTATACTTGTAGGGTCTTTGCGTCAGGGCTTCAGGCTTTCGGGTCTTGGGCCTTAGGGGTCCAGGTCTTTGTAGGGTTGTAGGGTTTCCGGTTTAGGGTTTAGGGCTTAGGGTTTAGGGTAGGGTTTCAGGGCTTAGCCCTTTAGTGAAGGGTTTCAGGGTTTGAGATGTTCAAGCTCGGCCGACTCCCACTCCGAAAGTCTTGCATCCCACTCCCTAAGGGTCCATGTACCCAAATAGTATACCCCTGGTCCAGATGTACTTATAGAGGGAGTACTTTACGGCCAAAGTAGACCCTTAGGGACTCAGACTCGGAAGGCTGTTTTCAAGGAAAATGTAGGGGCCGGAATAGTGAGGAAGGTTAGTACTTCGGCTTCCTGACTACCATAAGCCCCTAAACACCACGACCCTGCCCTAATCAGTACGGCGTCATTTTCGGGACTTTCAGCCCTCAGCCAACCGTGTACATGTCGGCATGTGGTTACTTCTCCAAAGTGAGGGTCCCTTTCAGGGCCCTCTTAGAAGGCTGCCGCACTACTTTTGGGACCTACCAAGAGACTCTAACTTAGACAACTACCCAAGTGGTGGTAATCCGTATGATCCCTGGATGTAGCTTAGCATGTTTAATGAACGAGGTGCGTTGTTGCACACTGTTTTGTTTATTTATGCACCCTAAGTGCTCAACCTTAAAGACTAAACCCTCAACCCTAACCCCTAACCCCTAAACCCTATAATTCCTAAGTCCAAAAGCTTAGACCTGAACCCCAAACCCCTAATAAACCCCTAGTAACCCCTAAACCCAAGCCCCTAAAACCTGAAACAACCATACCATGTGGGGAGCTCCATAGAGTCACGCAGCTTCGTTGAGCACGGGGTAGGGACTTAGGGTTTAGGGTTTAGGGTTGGTGCCTAACAGCAACTACTCAAACGACCTCAACCAACGAGCTACCCTCCTATCAGGACCGTACCTCTAGTCTCCATTGTATTTCCTCTTCAGGTTAACCTTTTTTTATGGTTAGGATCCTATCAATATATAGATTTTGGTTCACCAAACTCAGGAACTACAACGGAGACTATAGGTAGGGGCTCTATCTCAGGGCTTTTAGCTTCCTGAGCCGAGCCTTCGAGCAATCCCTGCTCCCTTTCTTGAAGCGGAGGTGCCACCTGTGTAGACCTGGCGAGAGACAACAGCCACGCAGAGACCACCCGCGCCCCTGCTGTTAAAGATGGGGGGGGGGGGTAGCAAGGGAGATCCCTGCACTGAACCTTGAACCCTAAACCCTAAACCCTAAACCCTAAGCCCTAAGCAGGGCTTTTTTTGCCTTCAAGCTTCAGCTCGGAGGGGCTCGTGGAGTTTGTGGCTCCGGACTCTGGAGTCTAGCTTCAGACACCGTGGTAGGCAACTAAACCCTAAACCCTAAACCCTCGATGTGGATGCCCTTGATTTGGAGAGATTTTAGGGTTGAGGGCTGAGGTTGCTTTCCCAAACAGTCCAAAGATTGAGGGTTTGGGGTTTAGGGTTTACGGAATTAGGCACCAAAATCCAGTCCAGCCATGGTTTTGGCGGACCTATAATGCCATAAGAGTCGTATATTTGGTTTGACAAGGAACTACAGGCAACCCCAATGTAGGGGTAGTCGGTTGATCCTTGAATGCCGAGGCGCTTTGCAGCGGCTGTTGAAGCCGAAAGGCAACTACGCTGCAAGCTCTTAGGGTTTCGTTTTGGGCGTCAGGGTTTGCGGGGGTAGGGTTTACTTTCTCTCGCTCGACCGCTGCTGCTCTGTCTCTCTGTCTTCCTCCCCTTGTGGGCCCTTAGTGAGGCCGTAGTGTCTTTCGTGAGGCATCGACGTTCACGAGCTTGCGGAGTCCGGCGCCGCGCCCTTCAAGAAGAAGCAGGAATCTGGAAGCGCCAAGGACAGGGCTTAGGGCTTGAGGATGCTATCGGGGTGCTAGTAAAGTTCGAGAAGTGTTGCACTGTCGGAACTATGAGCTTGCTCCCCGCGATGCAATGCTCAGCTTCCCGATTGAAGCCCGATTTTTTTTCATTATCAACAGATGACAAATGGTTCAGGGCTAGTGGCTAGCAGTGTTGCATGGGGTATTCTCCACACACACACACACACTATACAAGGTACAGTACCACAAAACCCGTTTCTATTCATTAAAGCCGCCATGCTACAAAAGGGTCTTCCCTTAGATCCCCATTACCCAACCTTCAACTGTTTTTGGTTCTTATGGTTTAGTAGGACTCGAAAAGTTTGACCTTTTTTTTCTGTGGCTGATTGGGGGGAGGACGTTAAAGCCGCCATGCTAGAAAAGGGTCTTCCCGGTGGTGTCTCCTTCCACAGGATCCCATGCAGCTGCTGAAGCAGTATGGGTTCGGAGTTTTCTGGCTGATGCGCTCTCCTTAGCATTTTGCTGTGTGTGTGTGTGCAGCGGGACTAACAGTAAAGCTTGCGATGGCTCGGGTCGACTTCACCATCTACTTGGCAAGCACGGTCAACACGGGAAACACAATAATTTGTCAAACTGATTCCCATTCTTCTACATCATCGGCAGCATCCAGATCCTTCTCACCGCTTCACCACCAGCACCACCACCAACAACAACAACAACCCAGAGAATCCAATATCCCTTAACTAAGGATAATCCTTAAATCATATTAGGGATCCTACTATAATTTAAGGTATATTCCTTAATTAATTAAGGCATATGGGAGTCTTAGGCAACACGACCACCAGGACTGATGTCGCGAGCCTCTGTGGCTTAGGTGCGTCTCCATCACTGTTTTCGAGTATATCCTGGACTCTCAAATCCTGGCGGAGCAGTATTGTCCGGTCACTTGTCACCAACCCTCCGGCATTGTCTTAGGGTTCAGGAATGTTTCAGAGGAGCACTATTGAACCCTAAACCTCCGTCATCTTAGGGGTTCAGGGCTTGTGGATTCGAGGAGCTTCGGATTCTTAAGTCTTTGGGGACTATGAGATCTTGACCTGTCTGCTGTTCTCAGAAGTGGCGGCAGGCTGCAGAATCACCATGGTGATAACTCTACGCCATTGTTAGTCATGGTTATGCCTTGGTTATGTCATCGTTGTCTACGCTGTTGACTCTATTGTTGAATTGAATCTTTGTTGCTCGAAACTACATAAGGCATTAGGGTTGTATCGCCATGACGAGGTTCCATTGTCACCACTATAGAGGCCTGAACCATTGGCAGTGTCCTCTTATGATAGTCTCGGTCTAGTTCTAGTGTTTTCATTCTTGATTCGATATACCCCTAAACCCTAACCGTCTTGAGGCCCGGACGTTTCACAAGGTTCATGATGTCCATGGCACTTCGTCACTTGTTTACAATTGTCTGGCGGATGACCCAGGCTCTAGTGAACCGACATGGGAGAACCTTAGCTGTAGAGGGGTTTGCATTTACAAGGGTGTGGGTGCATGGGATTCGGTCTTGAAGGGAGCAACATCGGCATGTGGCGCTCACTGCGAGGTCTAGGTAATATAACCCCAAAGGTCCATGTATACATCTAGTGCAACATACGTTAGCCTTATAGAGTAGTCCTTATTTCGGTACTTTAGGGCCAACGTATATACATGCACCATTAGGGTAAGGCATTTTTTTCGGGTGTGATGTCATAAACGCTGAATACTATATAGATCGCTATAAGCAGAAATCCCGTCATCCCGGCACCTGGGGCTTGCTGTAATGTAGGAACCTGATGAAGAAACCTTGGGTCTTTATTAGGGTTCCTTATTATGAAGCCTACTATTTTTGGGGTGGTAGGCCCAGGGTTTCTTAATCAGGTTCCTACATTAACCTACGTTGTGATTCGGGGCTTAGGGCGTAGAGTTTGGGAACCCCTGACTTTAGCCTATGTTGGGTATGCCTACAGTCTCCGCTGCAGTTCCTTTATCTATAGTCTCCTTAGGAATTACTTGTTATTCGTGTTCATTTAAAACCCAAGAGAACGGTAAACATAATATTTTTATTATGGTTCTAAGGGGGTGGTATATTTTTTTGTGTTGGCACTTAGGATCTTGGAATATGACATAGCTTAAACCAAGCAAAGGAACTACTTACAATGGAGACCATCGCGCCCTAAAGACCCCTGAAGCCCACGACCCTGACCCCCCACCCCCCCTCCCTCTCCAAAACAAACACCTGAAGCCCCTAAAGCCCTCTGCCAATCCTGACCCCCCCCCTCTCCCTCCCCCCAACAAAAAAACGAAAGCTCTCAAACCCTAAACCCCAAGCCCCCAGGACCACCAAAACACAACAACAACTTAAACCCTAAAGCTTCGTCTTAAGCCCTTAAACCCTACAATCCGAGGACCAACAAACCCTAATCCCTAAACACTAAACCCTCAAGCCCTATCCCCCCGTAAGCCCTATAAACCCCTAGGACCCTGATCTTGAACCGGTCCAAGGTTTTGGCCATGATGTTCGAGTGTGGTGTGTTCGCCTCTTGGCTGCAGCTTCTAGGACCCAGAGTAGGCCCTTATTCCCTTTTTTGAGGCTTAGGTTCCCTTATAAACCCCTCTAAACCCCTAAACCCTAAACCCTAAACCCTAACCCCTAAACCCTAAACCCTAAACCCCTAAACCCCTTTAAACCAAAAAGGGCACCCTTTTTATTCCTAGGTTACTCTTAGGTTCAGAGCTTGGGGTTTCGGTGGGGTTCGGGATTGAGGGGCTTAGGGTTTAGGGTTTAGGGTTTAGGGTTTAGGGTTTAGGGTTTAGGGTTTAGGGTTTTAGGGTTTTAGGGTTTAGGGTTTAGGGGTTTAGGGTTTAGGGTTCAGGAGTTTTGGGATGAACCCTAATCCCTAAAACTCTTGGGGTTCAGACTTCAAGCCATGTTGGGTTGCGGGTTCAGGAGTTGTAGTTCAGCTTCGCCTTTGTGGGCTAGTTGTTAAGTTCTTTGGCAGGAGATCAGTATGTAAACTACCGTTACATAGAGAAGTATAAAGGCCCCTTTACGAATCCCTGCTTGCCTCTGGAGCTTCTTAGATCTCGAATGAGAGAAGGCAGAACAGAAAAGGTCTTATGCGCCAGCGAAGTCGCATGCCCCCATTTAGTCTGTTCCCTTACGGACTCCTTTAGGGGTTTATTAAGGCTTCCCTCAAGGGGTTCCTTCAGTAAGGTTTGCTTAAAGCAATGAACCCTGAAAGGCGCTTAAGCCTACACTCTACTATGTAGGTGCTTCGCACCCTTTTGGGATTGTGTTTCAGCTTGAACTTCTGTAACAAAAACCACGCATCATGTCAAACTGCACGGCCGCATGACATATGACCTGCTGCCGCATCGCATCCTCTCGAGGTTTTCTGTACTGCAACATAAACCCTACCCCGCTCAACCCGAGTCTTACAATAAAGAAGCCCCTGTACAGAAGCCAAGCGTATAGAACACTGCAACGCCGCATCAAGAAGCAATAGAATCCGACAAAAGCCTATACAAAGCAATGAGCAATAGTCACGAAAACCTCAAAAGGAGCTCCCACAAATCCTAAACCGCAAACCCTAAACCATCAAGCCACAACAGAGCCTAGGTTTCACTGGTGCTTTTCTTCAGCATCGTCCTGGGAGATCCAGGAAAGGCGGGGACGGTGGCACAAGGTAACACACCTAAAGGATCATGGGACTTAGTAACTAGGGTTATAAGTAAGGTAGCTATACTTATAACCCCAATTAAGGTACTTATAACCTTACTTACTAAGTCCCATGATCCTCGAAGCAAGAGCTTAGATCAGGATCAGGATTCTGAAAGGGTTTAGGGTTTAGGCTTATAGGGATTCGGGTTCGGAACACCTAAACCCCCCCCAAAAAAGGGTGAATCAGATCAACACCATCAAATCCCAAGCCCTAAGCCCCACAATTTTGAACCCCACAAGCCCCAAAGCCGTAAACCTAAGCCCTCCAAGCCTCAAGCCCTAATCCACAAACCCCACAGCACACCTGCATCGCACCCGGCCCTCGTCCCGTAGCCCTTAACCACACATCCCATACAACCCCATGTAATCCCCGGAACAACTGCCTATACACAACCCTACCCTTCTCCTACACCCCTAACCCGTAAACCCTAGTAATTAGTCAAAACACGAACCAAACGCCTGAATCCCTGATTAAGGCCTAAACTCTTAAACCCTAATCCCTAAACTCAAATCCCCTGAACCCTCAGAAACCCTCAACCTTCCTGGAAAAGGTCACCGCGAAGATCGGCACTCGGCCCAATGGTCTCGATGCCTACCTTCGCCCCTGGGCCCCGGAAGAAGCTGACTATAGTCTCCTTAGGAATTATGTTTTGTTTTTGATCATGTAGAACCCAAGAGAATATTAAACTATCTTCGCCCCGGGGCCCGGAAGAATCTGAAGGGTCAAGGCTGATTGGGGTTCAAGGGTTTAAGCTTTATGTAGGGTTTGCTATTTGGGGTTTAGGGGTTTAAGCTTTATAGGGCTTGGGGTTTGCTATTTAGGGCTTAGAGGTTTAGGGTTGAGGGTTGCGGGTTTGGCTTTTTACGGTGTTCATTGGCTTAAGACTTTTAAGTGGTCTTGACTAGGACCCAGAGTAGGCCTTTATTCCCTTTTTTGAGGCTTAGGTTCCCTTAAAAACCCCTTTAAACCAAAAAGGGCACCCTTTTTATTCCTAGGTTACTCTTAGGTCTAGTTGAGGTTCGGGGTTTTCAGCGGTCTCGGGGTTTGGGTTAACATGGATTTGTAAAACGGAGTTCGGGGTTGTGTTTAGGGTTTAGGGTTTAGGGTTCGGGGTTGTGTGATTTGGCGTTTAGGGGTTTTAGGGCTTCAGGACTTGACATGGGGGAGCGGGGCTGGACGGGTTTGTAGGAGTCAGGTGTGGGGTTCAGGGTTCGGTTTCGACAGACTCCGAAGTTTAGAGGACGGTGGCGATGTGTGCGTGACTACGGATATTATTCGGCTTTGGAAAGAGGGTTTAGGCAGCTGGTGTGTTCTGAACAGCGGTCTGGTGAGGTAGCGGTCTAAAAAAACCCTAAACCCACTAACCCTACCCCCAAGAGTCCAAGTACCCAATAATCATATACTCTCCAAAATCCTAACTTACAGAACTCTTATCCTAAAACCGAGTATTTAATTATTGGGTCCTTTGGACCCTTGGGGTACCTAAACACCTCAATCCTTTTCCCGACAAAGCTCCTGAAGCAACCCTCCGAAGGACCGAGCCAACTGGGTCCATAATATATACTACGAGTGAAGGAGTTACGTAACCCGTAACCATGATTAGAAGGGTCTGTCTTGGCGTAAATAAATCCATACATAAGCGATATATATATATATATATATATATATATATATATATATCCTGCGGTTGATGATATAAATCCTGCGTTACTTACTGACGCTAGAGTATGAAACTGCGGCAATGCAGGATTTAAATCATCAGCCGCAGTTTGTATGGACCGTCTGGGTAACGAAGGTTACAGCCTAGCAAAGACTGTATTCTTTGAGGTCTCCTCCGAGAGGGAGTTCCGGTTGAGGCCGCCGCCACTGGTTTTCGTTCGGGATGGGACGGTTTCGGGGTTTAGAGCTTCGGGGTTTTGGGGTTTCACGGTTTAGGGCTTCGGGTTTTAGGGTTTTAGATTTCAGGGGTTTCAGATTTTAGGCTTAGGGCCCTATAGGGGTTTAGGGTTTGGGTTTTAGGGTTTAGGGATTCGGGGTTTAGGGCTTTGGGTTTAGGCGATTTGGGGGTTTTAGGGCTCTACCTGGACCCGTTGCCGCACCCCGTAAACCTAACAAGAGGCTGTCTCGTGTAAAAAGATATAAAAACACACAGCACAAACATGATAGGTGCATCGATCCCTTTCAGCTTCGCACAATGCTTTCAATTCGGGACGCGGATAAACCTGCCAGTGGTGGCTTTCCCCCCATCTGCTGTAAGCTCCTTCATGGAAGTTCACCAGCAGGTCGTAGCCCCAAGCCTTCTTGAACCCCGAAGCTTTACAACGAAACTCTGCAACCCGAAGTTGAAAGCGGGCCGAGCCTAAACCCAAGCCTTCCACCCACATGGGCTGACTCCCACCTCCATTTACCGTACGAGTAGCCAGGTTTCTCGACCAGTTTTGGAGAAACTTCAAAACCCTGAAGCCTTCGATCCCTAACCCTAAGGGCCCAAAGGTCAGGTACTTGGGTTTTGGACAGCCGCTATGTAGGTCAGTTTCTGGGCGTGCATATGGTTCTTAGGTACCTGGACCCTTAGGGTAAGCCGTAAAGGCACATCTAACCCTACCGTCAACACCCCCTCATCTAGGTCTCCCAGTGCGGAGGCCGGAGATCTCTGAACCTCACAATCCGCCCTTTTCCACGTTGTGAGTCTTAGGTTTCCTTATACTTGATGGTATTGGTCTAGTATACTATGCCGGAGCTCTTTTTTTTCCTAGGTGGCTGAGGTTCCTAGTAATCCTAGTAGTCGAGTAGGTAACCTTTAACCTTTTTGGAGTAGTATAGCCACTATATGATCCCTATATATTACCCAAAAAGGTTAAGCTTAAGTTCCCCATGATCCCCGACAAGTAGGTAATGCCCTAAGCTCTAAGGCCTTAGAGCCCCAATACACCTATCTTTAAACTTGTGGGGTTCTTGGGGGATTTAGGGTTCAGGGGTTTAGGGAGTAGGGTTTAGAACTGACGGTTCAGGGACTTAGATCCCCAATACCCGACCTTTAAACTTTTCGGGTTCTTGTAGTTTAGTAGGACGAGTCGGAATGCTTAACCTCTTGTTCCTGGGGCTTATTGGGGTAGTAAGAGACTCTAAGTTTAAGGCCAAAGCTCTGAACCGTGTACAGTAGAAGCGCAGAAGTTGGAAACCCCATAGCCTCATTCCTCAAGAGTCATGTATAGGGAATTCCAGCACTATTTGGCCGTACTCCGGTTTCCAACTTTATGGGGTTTACTGTAAGAGTTGGCCGCGAAAGGCGACTCGACTGTGCACGACAACCTGGCTTCTCAAGGAGCGGCGGTTTGGGATTTAGGGTTTAGGCGTTTAGGGTGTATAGGGTTTACGAGTTTGGGGTTTATAGGGTTGAGGTGTTTAGGGTTTGAAGAGGGTGAAGAGTTTAAATGATGAGAGGGGGAGGAGAGGGTCTTGGGTAAAGGGCATTGAGCTGAGAGTTTGTGTGCTTGAAGCTGTTCGGTTGGGGGTTGCGGTCTTGGCTGTAATTTTATATGCTATGCAAGATCACAGAAAAACCCTCTTCTACTGACTATCGCACCTACGTTACTAAGCCCTGCTTTGAAACAGATCGCATATGGGAACCCTTTAACGTTTGATTTGTTCGGAGCCCTATTCCTAGGATGCCCAGTAGTATCCTTATTACGTTTTTGTAGTCCTAGGTTCCTTATAAAGCCACCCAATGCCACAAAGGGAGCCCTTTTTCGTCCTAGGTTACTGGGCATCCTGGATCCCTAAATCACCCTATAAACCCCATATCACCCCATAAGCCCTATAAGCCCTATAAAACCCTAAGCTTAGGTTTGGGCATCCTAAACCCCTTAACCCCTCGACCCCGAAACCCTAAACCCCTAAACCCCAACCCCTAAACCCCTAAACCCTAAACCCTAAACCCCTAAACCCTAAACCCTAAACCCCAAACCCCTAAACCCCCAATCCCTTAAAGGAAACCCTAAACCTATAGAAACCCTAGAAGACCCCATAGATCCCTAATTGCTCAGGCCCGTTTTTTTGGATGAACAGGGAGGCGAGAAGTTTAGAGAGGCGAGCTGTCGGTCCGAAGGGCCTCCTTTAAGGGTTCCTTTTCAGGGAAGTATAAGGGTCCCCATAAGAGATCTTCTAGGACCCAGAGTAGGCCCTTATTCCCTTTTTTAAGGGTTTAGGTTCCCTTATAACCCCTTTATCCCAAAAAGGGCATCCTTTTTATTCCTAGGTTACTCTTAGGTCTAGTCTTTAATGGATCCTGTAAGGATCCCTGGGTTTAGGTTTTTTGGGTTTAGGGTCTAGGGTCCCTTTAACTTACATCCCCAATACCCAACCATTTAAACTTTTGGGTTTTTTGTAATTTGGTAGGAATCGGAAAGTTTAGTTTAGCATTTTATTGCTGTGGCTCATTGGGGGAGTAAGTTTAGGGTTCAGGGTTTTGGAATTTGGGATAATTTAAGTTTTTGGGGCTTTAGGTTTTTTTTAGGGCCCTATATGGTTTAGCTTGTAGGAATGTTGCGAGCTTGTTCGGTGATGGTTTTCCTGGCTGGATCTGTGTGCGGGGTGCTTGCATTACAGGCAAGGGCGTTCTAAGTAACCTGGGGCCAAGCAGGTGGACCATGATTAGGCTTTGGTGGGGATTACACGACGAACATAGAATCAGGGAGCCCCGAAAGTAATAGGTCTAATACTATCAAATCATCCACTCTCCCATGTACACGCCGAAGGACCTGCGCACCAAGTACGATATTTGGACTCTTGGCTCTGGCATTTGAGTTTCAGCAGGCGTATGCTCTGGCAGGGCTTTGGGCTTGATCCTGTTTCATGTCTAGAGTTTGGGTCTCTGGAGAACACTACTATGTCAACTAGGGTGTTAAGGGCTACTATGGTGTTGGGCTTGGGCTACCGGAATTTTATGGGATATATGGCAAGCCCTAAAACCTAGCACAGGAGGTCAGGAGGTTTCAGGATATGGGGTTTAGCTAGTAAGGACTTTCCTAAACCATCCTTCGTGGTTATTTCCTTTGACCGGTGTCCTTCCCGTCTTTAAGTTACCTGGGTTACCCGAAGCCCCAAGCTATGGGCCCTGCAAGCCCCGAGAAATAACTCACAAACATGTAACGCCTAAGCCTAAAGCTTAGACACTCAACCCCAATCAGATTTCGGGACGAATGAAGAAGCTGCCACCGTGAGATGCCAGGAGAAACTTGAAGAATCAGGGAACTTACGGTTGATGGTATAATTCCTGCATTACCCATAATAAGGAATATACCATGGTTCCGATAGTCCCGGGTCATAAAGGTAAAGTAGGATCTATATCATCAACCGCATCAAGGAACTCATGCCTTTTGGGGAGTGGCTGTAGCTAAAAGTTTAGTGTATGCATGTGTATGGGATTTTCCGAAACTACGGGGTGCCTTAGTTTGGGGTCCTTACAAGAGAGATCCCGATACTTTCAGAAGGGGACGCCGTGGACGCTTGTTTCTTCCTTACGGGGTTGTGCTCCCAGCCGGGGCCCCCCGACTGAATGACTCCTCCCATGACTTTTGGGTACTATATTCCCAGACCCCCGGGAGGATCCAAAAAGTAGATTCCTTAATGGGGGTTCCTATAAAGTACCCTTAGTAGTATAGGGCCCCAAGTTAAGGGATCTACTTTCTAGATCCTCCCGGGGGTCTGGGTTAGGGTCCCCTATTTTCGGAAACTCCCATATTCAACTCAGGGAGCTGAGAGGGTTCAATAGGTTTACTGGAGATAGCTTGTTACGCTTTCGGGTTTAGGGGGCTCAGGGTTTTAAGGCTGCAAGCTGTAGGGTTTGGGGTTGTTGAAGGGTTCAGTGAGGGTTCCTTCGGGGCTCAGGCAGCTCAGCCACTAACTAAAGAGCAGCCCCAATACCCAACCGATAAACTGTTGGGTTCTTGTAGTTTAGTAGGAATCGTAAAGTTAAGCCTTTTGTTCCTGTGGCTTATTGGGGGAGTACGTAAAGAGCAGCCAGAGATCCAACCAAAGCCCAGCTCAGGAGTGGCGCCTGCATCCAGGAGTCCGGGACAGCACCCAAACCCTAAGCCCTAAACCTAAAGGACCTTGGCTTCATGTACATACCCAGAGAGTCCAAGTACTCCTCGTAGTGGGATTTAAGGGTCAAAAACCATAAATAAGGACTACTTGGACCCTTAGGGGTAGTACATGCCAAGCCGAGAATCTTAAACCCAGAGCCCTCAAAGCCCCCTGATGCGGGTGTCATCGGCGTTCTGCGTGCAGGCTTTTTCCGCGCGCTTGATATGTGGCTTCCCAAGAGACCTAGAGTAACCAAGCTACCTTGGTTACCTGGAGGGTCATACCCTACCCTTTTCTCGAGTATCTAGCTTTATGGTTAGGATCTCCTATAGAGTAAAGTAGGTACCTTACAAAAGGGGTAGGGTATGAGCCTATAGGTACTCTTAGGCCCAGGAAGGTAGGCCGAGAGCATGGGTTTATCGTCAGGAGTTCGATCATTTCTGCAACTTCACCGGCTGCGTCATAGGCCGGCCCAGAGCGGGAGGTTTGCAGGGCACGGGACGAGTCCAAGTACGTTCTCGGAGGTTTGAGCTTTTTGTATTTTGAAGACTATACTTAAGCCTGTAAGAACTTGTTTGGGGTACCTGTACTTGGGGTATGATAATGCCCGAGTACAGCATCACCCTCAGTATCATCATGGAGTCTATAAGTCTAAGCACACAGCAAGCATGCAAAGTTGTCCGTTTGGGGGAGGGGCTAGAATGTGCCATAGCACCCTCATGATTCATTCTTTTGCAGGGTTTCCGACCATGTACACGATAGACCCCCTAGACCTTAGACCCTCAACCCGAAACGCCACAGCTCCAAGACCCTGAACCATCAACGCCGTGCAAGTTTTCTAGGACCTAGAGTAAGCCCTTATTCCCTTTTTCAGGGTTCAGGTTCCCTTTTGGGCCCCTTTAAACCAAAAAGGGCACTTGTTTTTCCTAGGTTACTCTTAGGACCCTAAAAGATTCCCCTCCAGTACCCTTTAAAGGAACCCTAAAAGGGTCTAGTATTCCTAGGTTACTCGTAGGTCTAGACCATGAACGCCGTGGAAGATTCGGGTCGGCTCGGAGCCGAGGGTCATGCTGCTTCCCAGGGTTGATGATAGAAATCCTGCATTACCCATAATAAGGAATACATGGGAATTATGGTATGTTTCTTATTATGGGTCGTGCAGGATTTATATCATCAACAGCAGGTCTACTCCGCAGGCCCTTTAAACTCTAATCTTAATAGGGCTTTGGGGGTATATGTTAACAGCTTCAGCTGCAGACTTGGCTATAAGAGGACGATATTACTAGAGCATGTCATTTTGGGGATCATGACTAATTCAGTAAGCTTTTGATTTAATCATTCAGCTCACTAGGTTAGCATGTGCTTCCGAGTCATCGGGGGTAGTCCAGGGGGCTGGATGGCTTTGGTCGAGAGCCCTTGGTTGTAGGGTACTACCTATAGTTTCCATTGTAGTTCCTTTTTGTGTTAATCAAAACCTTTGTTATAGGATCCTAACCATAAAACTGGTTAACCAAACAGGAACTACAACGGAAACTATAGGTAGTTTTGGAGAGCTTCATGGTTGGAGGTGAAGGCGGTTTTGGGTCAGTCTATGGGTACGGTAGATCTAATGTAGGGGCCTAAAGAATTACCAATACTATTTCGCGAGTTCCTGCTTATAGCTATAGCATAGCCTACCCCCAAAACCATATTCTATTTAGTCAGGCCTTTGATGTTATCGCAGCATCACCATTTCTTGAGCCCCTTGATATGTTCGGCCCGGTAGTTGGATGATCTCGATTCCCGTGCAAAATGCCTTGACGGCTGAAGCTTTGGGAGCCTTCTCAATCTCTCCGGACTCTCTGGGACGAGCGCTGTTGGACAGAGTGAGTTCGCAGTGTGCCCTTACCAAGCAGCAGGAGGTCAAAATGCTTCTTGGCGTTCTTCTGGTTGGCTCTTTAGACTTTAACTTGTTGGGTTTCTATATGATTATAATAAGGAGGCTAAAAGTTTAGCTTTTAGGAGGGGTTCAGAAGTCAGCCAAGGCTTGTCTTGAACAAAGGGCCTTTACTTCTCCAGAGGAGCTTAGAGAGTCAAGGCATCGTGGAAGGCACGGTGGTGACTTTTGCAGTTCCTTAGGGGTACTTAGAAACAATTTTTGATTTTTGGTTATTCTAATCCCTAAGAAACAGCTGAAATTATAACTTTTGCTAGGGTTCTAAGTTCTAAGTTCAGTATAGGTTCGCCAGAAGAAGGATGCGGCTGAGATCCAGAAGGATCGGATACGTATCTCGGGATGCTTGTCTGGCGATGGCAGCTATCGTGATCTCGTCCGGAAGTTGACCTCTCATCAGGTGGAGGAGGTCGCTGGATCTGTGTCTTCCGCCGAAATTTGTCTACGCCAGTTGCTGTTTGTCGCAGACGACTCACAGCGATGGAAGTTGCTTGAACTCGCGAGTAGGCGAGGGATCCTGGACACAAGTGACTGGGCTCTTGTTAGGGAATGTAGTTCAAGCTTCCATAATAAAGACACCATTCTGTTTGCTATAGATCCCTATTATGGTAACTGTAATTTGAGTGCTGCAATGAGAGAACCCAGGTGAGGGCATCCTTGGTGTCAAGGAGCTCATGGATTCTAACGTTGATGTCACCGCGGACTGCAACCAGGGGGCATTGCAGGTGGCTTTGCAATGGGCACGTCCGCAGGTTGCAACGGCTTTGTTGGAAGCCGGATGCACTGCGAAGCAAACAGATGCTTCTGGAGACACGCCACTTTTGACCGCGGTCATGGCCATGTCACAGTCACTTCACACACAGCTTTCTGTTTGCAGTGTGGGTGACCTAACCAACGACGCGATGCTCGAGGTTGTTGAGCTCATGCTAAATCGTATGTCCAATTCTTGGAAGAATCACATGAATCGTGCAGGAGAGACAGCGCTGATTCGCGCATGTTCAGAAAACATGCCCAAGCTCTCAAAACTCCTAATTGCCAGTGGGTGTCATGTAAATGCAACGGACTCCAAGGGACGTGCAGCTTTGCACCATGCTGCAGTGAAGCCAGCATGCAGTGGTGTTTGTGCTCTTCTGATCGATGCAAAAGCCATCGTGGATCTATCTGACTATTCTACGAGGACGTCCCTGATGGTTGCAGTCGACAAGGCAAACGCGGAATGTGTAAAGTTGCTGATCAGCGCAAGGGCATCTGTGAGAGGCGCATGCGCAGCAGAGACCGTATTCATGGCTGCTGTAACCAAATGCATCGAATCCGGCAATGGTGAGAGGCAGCGGAAGGTTCTGAAATGTTTGATGGAAGCAGACTTTGAATTCTTCCAATCGTGTCAAGAGGAACTGCAGGAGCGCGCCGCTGAGGAGGCAGATGCTGACATGTACGAGTTTCTCAGCTCTCGGAAGCGACCTCGGCGTCAAGACCCAGATGGAAAACATTGCCCAAGCTTCAACACGATGCTGTTGCTGATGATGACGGTTTTGATGATAGTGGCGATTGTGATGACGATGGTGGTGAGGATGGTGATGACGATGACTGTGAAGTTAATGTTCTGAGAATGTTGATGCTCATGACGATGCTAATGGTGGCGATGATAATGACCATGATTTCTGAAGGTTATCCAGTCTATTCACCAGCTTTTCAATGGGGCATGACGGCGCTGCTTGTTGCTCCCGAACAGCATTACCACGTAGATTCACCAAAACGCCGAATGCTGAAGCTTGAATCCTGAAGCTCAAGTATACGCCTTAATCTTGAAAAGATGCATGTTTGGGCGGAGTCAGAAGCCTTTCCACGAAATATCTTGCCTTTTCAATCGGGTTGCTTTGGCAAGTCTGCTGCCAGCCAGTCATCTTTGCCAAGCAAGGTTCGGGTTTAGCTGAGCATGCCAGTTGCGACCCGCAAGCAATTGTCAATCTAAGACCCTGAGAAAGACTGCACGCATTTGTCCATTTCAGCTCTTCTTCGTGGTCATCTATGGTTCCAAGTGTTTTTGGGATATACAACGATGGGTGTCTGCCGTACCGAAGCCCCAGACCTGCTAGAGCTTGACTTGAAGTTTTGGGCTTCGACCTTGGAATTTCGCTCTCCAGGGCGGAACAACCATCGGCGCTTCATATTTCTGGCGGCGATAGAGCCGCTCACGCAGCTGTGCTACATCGGCATCAGCGTCGCCTGGCTGTGGGAAGGGGATTTTGGAAGTCGGTTTAAAGGTTCCTGTATGGTTTCTGTAAGATGTGCTTTTCTGGAACTACGGTAAAGCCCGAACTCCTTCAGGTGTATATTATAGTACGGGCATGGTTCTACTAGGTTTTCTATGGTTGCGAGTTCGGATACTTGGTGCTCTATGTCGGCGACATTGTTTCGCGCGATGTGCTTGCGAGCAGGTTAAACCATTAGCATGTACTCATGACCAAGCAGTCAGCGTCTACACGACACGTTATTCTTTTTGCAGCTTTTTGCCGCAAACCTCAGCTGTATACCTGTATACGGCATGCGAGTAGTTCAACTCTGAATCCGGGTCCTCAAAATTTTGGCATGTTTCAGTGGTTCAAAATCAATAAGGAAGCCCAAGCGGGACTCTTCAGGCCTCAGTGTAGACTATAGTCTCCATATTAACTTATTTCCTATTTTTTGTTCATATAAACCCAAGAGAACATTGTCGTTTTTTATGTTTAGTATGGTTCTAAGGGGGGTATAGTAGAGAAGCCCCACATGCAGTTGCTTGCCTATCCCAGCCCCAGGCCGTTGTGGCGTACAGGCCCGGGGTTCCTTGTTTCCGCCGTAGTTTTATGGTTTAAGGTTTTAGGGTTCAGGCTTTTCGTGTTTAGTCTGAGGGTCATTGAAGAAAGAATCCAGCTCAGGCTTTGTAGTGAGTGTCAACATGGCTACAGCGATACGTGCCAGCATTGATGATAATGCTTACCAGAATCATCATCACGGCTTGGCGATGATGCAGCTGTTCATGCTTTCAAAAATTGGGGTTGTGTCACCATGATGATGATAATGATGATAATGATGATGGTAATGATTTGATTGTGTTTGTGACGACCTATAGATGAAACTACCCAAAGGCCCCAAAGTAGTTCCTTTTTGGGGTTCATATACAGAATCCTATAAGGTAATCCCAAAAAGGAACTACCTTTGGGCCTACGGGTACTAACGACAAGCACTGCGCTACGGATCTTCATGATGACCATGACTGCAGACATCGCAGTGACCATGGACGCACAGTGCATTGCGAGCATTGACACGGTTTAGGGTTTAGCAACGGTCGCACATAAGCAGAGCTATCGCAATCTAACTCAGGACGAAAAAAAAACAGCTGAGATCCTTTTAGCTCTGCTGCTATCGTTGGTTTGTGGCAATTGCTACTCTTCGTGATGTGCTGTCTTGGTTCTGGCATGGGAATCTCGGACGCAGTTTGCAAACCCAATATGTGGCAAATGGGGTTTAGGGTTTCGGATTAATATGTGGGGGCTGGGTAGGCTAAAGCCTCGTGCGTTGCGCAGGGCTTTCCGCCGTCGCAGAGCTTCGCCGTCAGCAGCATGCAGCAACATTCTCACGCCTCCCCCTCTTTAACTTCGAGACCCTAGACTCAATTTTTGCTGGTGACTACCTACGGGACGGGCATGTCGCGCTTCGGGATTGAAACGAAGGAAGGCTCGATTGAAACGATGGCCAGCGCACGTTTCTCACATCCCCCGTCTTGTTAATCACGGTTGTAAGGTTGGCATAATTTCAGAGTAGCATGGTGTTTGGCAAAGAAAGGGTGAATCGCCCAGGTAGTATCTTTCCGTAGAATCCGTCCGTGAACCCTAATTTTTACACTTCACCCTAAATCTCAAACCCTTGAACTTGCGCAGGGACATCGGCTTCCCACATGACCTCGACGACATCTTCTGGCTGCCCTACAACATGGCCACTCTGGCGAGTTGAGGTCGTCGGGTATAAAGTCTCCTGACCTTGAGGATTACGGTGAACCGTGCGCGTGTACACTCCACCCCGCATATGTTTTCATGTGTTAGCTCCATTTGCATGGTATGTGCATACACGTGTCTACGTGTAGGTGTGTATCTTTATTCTTAGAGAACGGCTCGTTCGTATGCACTAATACATGTGTGTATATATATATATAATATGCATACACACATATTTGCATCTATGATTATGCGCACATGTATGTGTACACAAACAGCATGTGCCACACAAAGATAGCCAGGCCGTGATGTTCCCGACAGCTGTGATGACGTATCCGTTGATGACTGTGGCCGCGTGCTCAGCATGAGAGGCTAGCTTCAACCTACACGGCTCATAGGGTTGGTCGAGGAGTTTTTTTTGGGTTCAGGGTTTAGGATTTAGCGTTTTAAGGGTTTAAATAAGACTTTAGTCGTTTTATGGGGCTATTGAGGTGTTTCGGTCGAGGGCTTTCGGCTAGAAGCCGTGAGTACAACCCTCTTCTCGGCATAGTCTCCCGGATGAGCGATAACGAGGTAAGGTTTGGGTAGACCAGTGTGGTTGAGATTCTCCACACGCTTACTTGTCTAAGCCCTTCTCAGCCCTGAACCTATATAACAATGTCAACAACAACTTTGCCGTTCATGTCTACCTAACAAGGTTGGTGGGAGCGCCAGCAGTCACCAAAAAAGGCCTTCAAACACACAAAAACAGCAAGGTGACTTTGGTGAACATGGGCACTTCGGCCATGGTGTTCCAACTGCTGGCACAGCAGGCAACCCTGATCAGCAACCTGGTCTGCAAGGATTGTGACTTCAGATTCTGAGCCACTCTAAGACCACTCTTTGTATAGGCTTTTGGTGCCCTTCAGGAATTAGAGGCTTGAACACCCCGTAGATACGGAATATACCTTAAATCATACAGCGGGTACTTCTACAGCTTCTGAATGAGTTTGTTTTTGTTTCAGTCTCTGAGGGGGGGGGGGGGGGGGTAGCGAGTCACGGATTAGGGTTTAGGGTTAGGGTTTAGGGTTTTAGATTTAAGGTTTATAAGGTTTAGGGTTTAGCTTTGGCAGTTAGTTGATATTTCGTGTGGGGGTGATTGACTCTGGTCAGCTTCGAGAAGTTAAGGAATCTCGTGGTAATGGGCTTGAGGTTTCGTGGGTAGATCTAGGAGTCAGGGTGAAGATTCTGATCTTGTCTTCCACCCAGGTCTCAACTGGACGGTGAATGAGCCAGGACCTCATCCATGTGAAGGTATTTTGTCTTTTTTCGGCGGTCGGTGTGCTCTCTTTAATCGGTAGTGAGGATTGCTGGAGCAGGCCAGGCGTCCTGACCCCGCATCACTAAATCTTGAAGCACACAGTAAAGCGTCAAGCTGTCGGAAATGTTCACAGCTAAACAGCTAAACCCTAAACCCTCAAGACAAAGCCTCAACTTTCACGGGCCCCTCTGAGGAATCCAAACATACCTCTACTCAGTTGTGCTACGGATTCAAGGTTGAGCATAACTCATAACTGAGGTGTCAGTGAAATCCTATGGCAAGTTTCGCGCTTCGCCCCTGTAGATTCTACAAGTTGTTTGTAGTAGCTTGTTGATGCATAAAATCACGTACTCAATCCTGGTACATGTTTGGAAATTTTCAGCTTTTACAGGCAGCTCCTATAGTTATGGGGATTTGTGCGACCCTAAGGGTCCAAGTAGTGCTTATTTATGGATTTTGAGATACCTAACAAGGCCAAGTCTTATAATAAAGAGCGCTTGGACCCTCTGGGCAAGGAAACAAGTCCAGCTAAATGGTCTACCTGTGAGGGTCCAGGTAAAGGCTCCGGAATTTGATTGACACTGTTGCCTGTCCCTAAGTTTCCATGTGCTCATATAGTAGATTGGGTTCCTTTAAAGGGGTCTGGAAGGGCTACTACAAGGCATTAAGGGCTCTTATTAGGATTCAGTATAGGGGCCTTAACAATTATCTATACAATGGAGACTATAGGTAGTGCTTCACGGAAAGCTCATCAGCACCGAAGGCCATTCCTAACTTCACACATAGCCCGAAGTGCTCCAATACCCAACCTTTAAGCTTCTTGCGCTCTTGTAGTTTAGTAGGAATCGGAAAGTTTAATGTTTTCTTCCTGTGGCTCATTATTGGGGGAGTATGTAGCCCGAAGTGCACAACTGCTACTCTTCGTCTGTAGGCCGATAGGTAGGCAGTGTTTCCATTCATGGAGTGGTTGAGGCTTTCCCGATTCGGCTGATTAGGTTTTATCAGAGCGTGCGGCTGCTTTTTCATCAGGACTTGGATGTTGAAGGCGTATGGGGTTGCAGAATGTCACATTTCATATTGGCATGGATTTTCTCAAGTAAGATGAACATACTACCGTTATCGAAGACTCGTTGAAAGGAAGCAACAGTTGGAATTCAGAGCTGTCAGATATGAGTAGTCGATACATGGTCTCAGCTACAACGAAACTAAATGGTATACAGTCTGTGTTTATGTGTGTGTGTATATATATATATATGTATGTATCTGTCTGTGCCTAGTGATAGGTGGGTAACCTGTTATGTTTTTGGGGGTATTATAACCCCTTAATATAACAAGTAGGTGTATACTTTATACATATATATATATATATTTATTTATTTATAAGATGGATACGGAAGCTTTCAAGATAAATATTCGGCTCCTCGATTGCGCTCCAGTGGCTGCTGAAACCCTAACACCAAACCATCCCAAACCGTGGGCCCTAGACAGCTAAACCCTAATAAGTTTCAACCGCCTAAAGTTGCCAAGGACAATGAATGCCGATCGGTACAGCCACATGTGGGTGAAAGATGCATGCGGCACCAGGCACCCGGAATGGGTTTGGGGTTTTTAGGGTTCAGGGTCAGGGTCTAGCCCTAAGGGTCCATGTACCCAAATAACTACTATATACTTTGGCCCCAGTAGAGGGAGTACTTGAAGGCCAACGTATGTACTATTTGAGTGCATGGACCCTTCAACCCTACAGCCTTGTAGCGACCTTGTCGGAACGCTCTAAAGGAAGCCACAAAAGAAGCTTATTTGGATACATGGACCCTTAGGCTTAAGGTTTTACACGGCCAAAATCTGATGCCCTAAACTGAACCTCTAAGCCCCTAAACCCCCAAACCCTAAAAAACCCTGTATTTGCAGCACCGCGGGAGAGCCCAACTGCATCCCGGAAATGCCGTCGACGCCGCCGAAACGATTCGGAAGCTATGCCCTGAGGGCCGAACGGTTGATGATACAAATCCTAGGGTCCCCTTTAAGGGGATCTATAAGAACACCTTTAAGGGGTTCCTTTAAGGGATCTATAGCGGGTTTAGGGTTTAGGATAAAAATCCTGCATTACCTTAATGACCCTAAAGTATGGGAATTATGGTGTATATTCCTTATTATGGGTCATGCAGGATTTATATCATCAACCGAAGTACTCCGCCTTGCTTAGGTTTCGAAAACTATGAATAAGAGGAAGTTGGGGCTGTTTTTGGTATCGAAAACCATGAATAAAAGGATTTGGTTAGAGCCTTTTTAGGTATCGAAAGCCATGAATAAGAGGATTTTGGTGCATATTTTTGTATCAAAAGCCATAGCTAAGGACTCCTTGAACCCTTCGGAATGGCAGACACCTCACGCTCGTAAACCATGCCAGGTAACCCTTGCCGAAGGGAACGCCGGGCAGAGGTGTTTCTGCAGCTTTTGCACGCTTGCCCATGTCAAGTCCAGCATACTGAAAACTCACAGTGCCTGCCCGCAATTCACGCGAAAACCCTATAAATTCCCCTCAATACGAGCACATACATGCAACATGGCAGTCAAGTCTATGGTCAATGCTGCCAAAATGCTGGAACATCCAAAGATTTGGTTGTCCTCGACAACAAAGAATTTTTTCAAAAAACAATATTTTCCTTAAACGAGGAGTTGTGGAATCTGCTGGTGTTCCCTGTGTTTTGGAGTGTTGGCTGTACGGTCATTCTTGCGTGTATTTGCAGCACCTTGGGGGTGCACAACGGCCTCCCAGCAAATACCGGACTGTGGATGGAGTCTTGCACCAAGTTGCATAAGCGTCTTTTTCCTATAGTCTCCATTGTAGTTCCCTTTTTTTGGTTAACCAAAATCTCTATTATAGGGTCCTTGCCATAAAGCTGGTTAACCTAAAAAAGGAACTACAATGGAGACTATAGGTATTGATCGAACAACACCAAGCCCTAATCCCTAATCACAAACCCTTCCCTATCTATAACTGGCTTTTCTGAGGAGTTTTATCTTCATGATTGCTACAACATAAACCCGAAGAAAGAGTGAGTTGTTGAAGATTTCATCATGGGTCTCAGGGGCTTGTCATACACCCTAATTCATAGGTACCCTTACAGGGGTACGGGAGGGGGGTAGGGGACTACTTCCTCAAATTGGCCCTACTAGGTCCTTATCATAGGTATTTCCCTACCCCCGAAGGGTTCTTATTATATATATCGGGTTTAGGGGTTTAAGGTTGAGTCCCTATGATTAACCCCTGTCGAGATTTGATTTTGTTGCGGATCCCCGGCCGCTGGGATGCCTCAAAGCTTACACCCTAAACCCTTGAAGCCCTACCTGAACCTACCAAACCCTACTTTTTTGTAGGTTCTTATTGGAACGCCTAATATGGAATCTATAAGGATCCTACAAAAAGTAGGCTGTGGTAGGTTAAGGTAGACTCCTAATTAAACCTCTCTAAGCTACGGCTTAAACGGCCTAAACCCTTAAACCCCAAACTCCTGATTAAACCTCTAAGCTGCGGCTGTACGGCCTCAACGCCTAAGCCCGAAACTCTCTAAGCGCTGAACCCCTAAACCCCCAAACCGATGCGGCTTCCTAGAGGGTCCATATATACTACCATTATGAAATTATACGTCCCCAAAGCCATGATAGGGATGGTCTTCTGGGACCTAGTTCCATAATGTTGGTATACTAGGATGCCCAGCAGTACCCTTACTCCCTTTTTCTAGTCCTAGGTTCCTTATTATAAAAGTTACCCAATACAGAAAAGGGAGCCCTTGTCATTCCTAGGTTACTGGGCATCCTATATATGGAATCTGGGACTATATAATCCCTACATACCCAAAAAGGCTAAACTTTAGTTCCCCATGATACCCGACAAGTAGGTATTTGTGGACCCTCTGGGGTTCCAGGTCCAAAAAGAGCCCCTTCAACAAGGGCGATGTGTTGGATAACTGGAAGGACTGCGGATTTGCTTCAGAAGCCTAGGGTTTAGGGCTTAGGGTTTGCAGGGTTTCGAGTTTAGGGTTTAGGGTTTAGGGTTTCTCTGGTTTAGGGGTTTCGGGTTTGGGGGTTTGGGTTTAGGCGTTTTGGGGTGTAGGGGCTTAGGGTTTAGGGCCTGGGGGGCGTATGGGGCTTGAGGGTTTAGGGCTTTCGGACCATAGGATTTTATGGTTTCGGGCGTAGGGTTAAGCGGGTTAAGCTTCCAAGTATACAAATAGTACCTACTTGGAGGGGGGGTCTAAAGTCCAGAAATAACAAATAATACCAGCTTTGGGCTATTTGTGTTGAGGGAAACATCTCACACTTATCAGTGTTAATATTGTTAATATCATGTATATGCTACAAACGATTATGGGTACAGGTATGTGGGTTTATTGCTATCAGCTTTGTCCTTTGCTTCTGTTGTTCGCACCACGTACTGCTAAATTAGAGTAATGTTATTGTCTGGTTTATGGCGACTCTATGTTTTGCTACTGTCCCGTCAATGTTGTCGTTCTTATGATCACTGTTAACACGGTTGTTGCATGTAGCAGTTGGTCCTCCCGCTTATGGCCTCGAACATTTGGTCTCTCGGTCGAAAGGTTCAGCGCGGAAGATTTTGGGCATGGAGAGTCATAAGTTGGCGCCCCCCCCCGGTTGGGCCCCACCACCTAATAATATAGACCCCAACACCAAGCGACAGCATTAATTAGAGTATATACATTGACCAAGAATTAGCAGGATCCCTAATCTGAATTACGGTAGATGCCCTTTGCAAGGCCTGGGTCATTTCAAACACAGGACAATCAGGACTGTACTATTTTTCTTGTTTCAATACCAACAAGGGTCCATGTACCCAATAGTATAACTTGACGTAGGCCCCAAAGTACCTATACTTGGAGGATCATGGGACTTAGTAAGTAAGGTTATAAGTACTTTAATTGGGGTTATAAGTATAGTTGCCTTTTTATACGTATAACCCTAGTTACTAAGTCCCATGATCCTTCAAGTATAGGGACTACTTTAAGGCCAAAGTATGCACCAATTGGGCACATGGACGGTTAGGGTAGCTGTTGGGTTCCAGGGTTTGCTTGAAGGATTCACGGGTTCGGTGTAAGGGTGCACTACTTCGCGATCGTCTCCTTACGAATTGTGGTTCGTTTTTTCATATAAGAACCTAAGAGAGTATTAAGCATGTTATTTTTTTTATGGTTCTGGGGGGGGGGGGGACTTCTTCGAGGCCGAGAGAAGTGCTCTGTTAAGGGGTTCTATGCCGGCAGCAGGGTTCGGTTTAGGGGTTAGGGGTTAGGGCTTGGGCAGGGCTCTGTGATGCCATGGAATGGTTGTGAGTTTCGGTGTATTCCCTGAACTCCCTAGCCCAGACATACTCCTTTACTTCAAGAGGCATCTCATCTCTAGGCTAGATGAAGATCCTTTTAAGGTGAACCCTATACACCCTAAACCGATCGCGATCCATTTAAGGTGCAGTTTTTTATTTCTGTTGATTTCGAGTCTCTGGGTCTGTCAGGACTTCTGGTGGGGCCGCCAGCGAGCGGACGTCGGGCCCAACTGCTCCTCACTGAGAGATTTAATTCCCAAAAGGAATATAGTAGAATGTAGGGTTTCTATAAGTAGAATTACGATTATGATTTGGGGAAGTATTCCCAATAACAATACCTCGGACCCTTTGGTTTTTTTGCTGGAGGGATTAGGCTTTAGAGTTAAGGTGCTTAGGGTTTAGGGTTAAGGGTCCAGGGAGGGTGGTTCAAGGAGCAGAGTACCAGGGAATCTTAGGAGCACTAGGGGGAGTAACGGGCTGTGGAGTTATATTCAGCCCCTTTCGGCCCCATTCTCAAAGGGGAAAGGGAGGGACCCTTAATGTGGACCCCTACCCTATAATGGGCTATATAAGGGGTATATAAGAGCTATATTAAGGGTATATACCTAGGGGTCCTCATTAAGGGTCCCTCCTTTTCCCCCATGACATTCAGGATCCCAGAATTCAAGCACCAGACAGTTCAACTAGGGCGGAGGGACTCGGGTCTATGTTTGGGGTTTGGGGTTTACGGTTACTTTAAGGGCTCCCGCAAGGGTTATACATGGGATCTTTAGGGGTCTTCGGGTTTAGGTTTAGGGTTATTGCATGAGAGTTGGGCTGGTGGCGCGAACCGCATAGGCAGAGTCCTTTGACTCCTACTTATGTTTAGGGCTGCTTCCGGCTCCTAGCCTCTTTAACCTGTGTGCAGCTCGCGTTGCAGCATCTTGCTCATCCGGAGAGTCCAAGTATACTCCCTATTCTCGGACTTCAGGGCCCTTTCGGGTATCAACTACCGTAAATAAGGACCACTTGGACCCTTAGGGTCAGTTTTTCGCGTAAGTCTGAAAGCCCTCACTCGCAACCCCACGGAGGCTAGAGACTTCTTGCAGTCGTCGGTGTTCCTTTGCGGGTTTTGGGTACGTGGACAAAAATATGTCATGTTGTCTTGCGACATTTTGCGGCTTCTTTTGTTGTGCGGATCTCCAATTCTGTTCCCTGCTTCCCAAGGCCTTGCTTGCAATGCAAGGTGCCGTAGTACCTGTAGGCTCATACCCTACCCCTTTTTATATGTACCTACTTCTTCAGTTAAGATCTGTTATTTAGAAAAGTACGTAATCAAAAAAAGGGATAGGGTGTGAGCCTCTAGGTAGTTTCTAGGGTTTAGGGTCCTCCTTTCTGGGTTCAGCCACGGCTCACGACCTGCGGGCTAACCCTGGCATGCGATGTGTCCGAAATGGATTTTCAACTTCACTCGGGCCCCGGCTCTTTCCGTAAGGGTCCATGTACCCAAGTAGTATATACTTTGGGCCCAATGTGCCTATGTAGGGAGTCAGGGAGTACTTTAAGGCCAAAATATATACTATTTGGGTACATGGACCCTTAGGTTTGGATTTCATTCAGCAGTCACGAAGGCCGACATACTCCCCGAGAAACTCTAACAAGATCCATCGCGGTGTGGATGGGGCTGGTAACATACGAGTATCCATACGTGCAGTTGTTATCGACGGAACAATGTTTTTCTGCCCGTCCAGACCGTCCAATATCTGCTGAATACGGAAGATACCCGATGCTTATTAAATCAGACTTAGTAGGATGCCCGATAAAATTCAAGGCATGATGCTTAATTGAGTGATTTTGGACAGTTTGGGTGCACATTCGAACACACATTTCCTGATTCGAAAGTTTTCGGGTTAAAGTTAGGCATGTCCTTGAAGCCATAAGCCTGAACACTCAACAGCCTAAACCTTACAAGCCCTAGGCTAGACCCTAAACCCCAAACCCCAGGACCCTAAAAGCCTAACCCCCAAGCCCTGAAAACAACATAAGCACCACTTAGTCTCCTTAGCAATTAGTTTTCCATTGTCTAAAATAAAACCCGGACAATTTGAAAAACAAGCTATTATTTTGATTATGGTTCTGAGGGCGGGTATAGTCCCTAAACCCTAAAAGCGAAACCCAAACAACTAAACCCTAAACCATGAAAACTAGACCCTAAACCTTAAACAACTAAACTCTAAAACCATAAAACCCTGAACCGGGGCCATGCTGCGCCAAAGTCTACTCAGGTCCCGAGCACATTCGCCAGCTCGCGACGGCCTTGAAGAAGGCCATAGGGACGGGTTTAGGGTTTAGGGTTTAGGTTATAGGGTTTAGGGTTTACGCTTTCAGTCTCCATTGCAGCTCCCTTTGTTGGTGTAACCAAATAGTTTTTGTGTATATATATATATATATAAATATGTGTAGGTTCCTTCAAGGTAACTCCGAAAAGGAACTACAATGGATACTGTAGGCATACTTGGTTTAGAAAAGGTTGATGAAACTCGGTTTTCGGAGGGGTTTAGAAGGTTGCTTCGGCTTGATATGTGGGGTTCTGCATGGTCTGAGGGGGCTCAAACCAAAGGTTACCACGATGTACTCCGCTCTTTATTTGGATTGGTGTTTGTGTTAGTGTTGGGGATATGTTGCCCTGAGAGGCCATGTACCCAAATAGTATATACGTTGGCCTTAAAGTATTCCCTCTACAAGCCAAAGTATATACAATCAAAATTACGTACTATTTGGGCACATGGACCCTTAGGGTGGTTGAGGGTTGCCTGTGGGAATTTGTCGTCTCTGCGGGAGTTGGCAGACCAGCAGAGGACTTTCAAACCTACGGGCTGCCTCACTGGGCTGCTTCAGGGTTTAGGGTTTAGAAATGGTTGTCAAACTTTGGCTACTATAATCCCCAAGAAACAGCTAGAATCACACTTTTTGCTAAGGGTTCGCTAAGTACTGCATAGCTGCAATGTTCGCGTTAAACCACAATCCAAAAATTGTTCATAAGGACCCTTAGGAGGGTAGGGGGCGGGCGTGCCGGACTATACTTCCTTAAATTGGCCCTATTATGTCCTTCTTATACTTATTAATGCCCCCTACCCCCCTTCCCCTTAACCCCCCTAAGGGTCCTTGTGAAGTATATTTCCATTTTTCCTCCCAGAGGCCGGTGCGGTGTAGCTGCCGTTTACTGCTCCTGATCTGCACTGGACTTTTGGGTTTAGGGTTGAGGGTTTAGGGGTTTAGGGTTTAGGGGTTTAGGGTTTAGGGCTGAGGGTTTGGGCGAGGTGTGGGTTGTGTGGCCGGAGCAAGGCATCCCATTACTAGCAACAGCAGCAGCACCAGGAGCAGTATGGTGGAAGCAGCAGTGGGGTCGCCGTCGTCGTCCTCGTTGCCGTCTTCCGCGTCGTAGTCGAAGTCGTACTTCGCAGTGGCAGTAGCACAACTCAGTAGCAGACAGAGAAGAAGACAGTTTCTAAACGCAACAGAATGCATCAGTCCCTACAAGAAGGCTTGGTTTGCTTTGCTGCGCAAAAACACAGCATCAACACACGTATTTGTGTTTTTTTGTCTTACTTCTGCTGCTGGTTGTCATGGGTTCGACTGAGTGATGTTCAGGGCTTCAGTTCCTCCAGTTTAGAAACCCTGAACGCCGTAAGCCTGATGCCTGCTTTTCCAATTCCTAAAGTGTTGGCTGCCAGCGAAATCTCGGTGGTCCTGAGGTGCACGCAACCGCGAGCGTCGTCCATTTCAAGCGGGGAGTTGTTCCGTTTCTTGGGTGTGTTGCATGGTCCAACCCTTCCAAAAACTATCCGGGTTCCGCACAGGCAAAAGTCTACTTTCGAACGACTCCAGGTTAAGTTTTCAGCATGTGCACCCTTGAAGCAGGGATGCTGCCAGCTGCTGGATTTCGTTTGGTCGGGGTCTCGGGTTTAGGGTTCATTAGGTCGCTTGAGACCAATAATATTCCTGAGTTGAGGCCCCGGCAGTATCGAATCTAGCCAAGAAGTACCCTCACAACTTCAACACTGTCCCTAAACCCTAAACCGCAAAGGAACATCAGGCTGAGCAGTAACGAGCATATCCAAAAAGATGGTAGGTTATTGGAGCTGCAAGAAACCAAACCTTCAACCAATCCTTGAAACCCTAGGCATCTAAGGACTCATATATTAAGGCTTTTGGGCCCAAAGACCATACTATACAAGGCTTTTGGGTTATTTTGATGCCCAGGGAAAGATCCCAAACTTTTGTAGGGCCCTCGCTGTGATCCTTTTATGGTAGGGGGTTGCCAATAGAGGGGTCTACATATATGATGGATACTCGTGTTCAAGCCCCATTCTGTAAGATTTTCGCCTGGGTGTGGCTATATATAGTTAATTATTTAATTTAACAAGTATTAATAGCTATATACATATAAACATGCATATATGTTTCTGAACATTTGGCCGCCGTGGTCCTGTCTCTGCAGCTGCAGCCGACATGGGCTGCCCTGTCTCCAGATGCGAGGTAAATTCAGTTTCCTTCTTTGCCGTACCGACTGCTAGCAAGAGGACCTGGCAAGTGATGGTCGCAGAAGTAATGATAAAGAAGACTCGGTGCCAGCGATACGGGCAACAACACGAAAATCAAGTGCTTTGAAGAGCAGGAGCGACATTCTTAGCGAGGCTGGCGTTTGCAACAACACCGCATGGCTATACTACGCCTGCTTACAAAGCATTGCAATAATGTCGTTCGTAGCAATATCCAGCAACGAAATCTCTGCACATTAACAGCTCACTGAGATCTCTGCACATTAACAGCTCACTGAAATGAACCCTAAACCTTAAACCCCTAAACCTAAACCACTGAAACCTAGTATCGAGGCACCGGGCGGTTCGGCGCCCTGACGTAAATATTCCATATGCACTACCATAATGACTAGCTCCCAAAAGACCATTCCCTGTATGGTTTTGGGGGGCCAAATTCCATAAAGGTAGGGTATATGGACCTTACCCACGAAGACAGCCGGGTGCCAAGCAAGGCTCTCAAAATAGTTCTCTTGATGGGTCTCAGTAACTTAGCATCCTTAACGGAAACAGCGTTTCTCGGTCCTCTTGCGAGCCCGGCGAAGTCACGACGAACAACCGCTATCCCCAAGGGCCCTGCAGAAGGCAGAGTGCTTGCAGGGGCAGGGAAGTCGCTCATATTGGAGTAGAGGATCATAATCCGATAGATAAGGTTTAGGGTTCAGGTCCCTTTAAGGGATCTGAAAGGGTACTATAAGACTTGTAGAGTTTAACAGGTTTTAGGGTCCAGAGTTTAGGGTTGCGGGGGGGCGGTGCTTACAGGGCCATTAATTAGGAATGAGGATTTGGGGGTTTGTCCGGGGTCTAGGCCCCCGGAGTAACCAACGCTACTGCTGGGTTTAGGGTCTAGGGTTCTTGGGATGATGGGATGTGTTTCTGTTCCTTGCACCGAAACCCTGTTCTACCTATCTTCGCCACTGGGCGAGGCGAAGAAATCTTTGGGCAACTTCCTGCGGCTTCTGCATGGAAATATGCGAGAGCAGGATTCCCTTCGTAAGACATTTATTTTCAGAAGGTTTCGAAGGAGGCTTTCGATGTAAAGAAGTAATTTTTTGGCATCAGTAAGTACCCCCTTGTTCATGTCTGACATCCGGCATGGGTTCCAGATCATTACGGTTCCCCCTACTTTCGCAAACTCCTACACCACTGCTACACAAGACTCCTCCGGTGATTTCCAAGCCGGCCGATGTGTCTGCAGAGCATCAAAACAGTCGCGCGCAGATGTGATCAGAGGTCATCGGCGGCACGAGCAGAGCACATGCGGGGCCTCTATGATTTAAGGGCTGCGTCAAAGACATGCTGAAGCCAGTGAGTCCTGAGCTCCAAGCCCCTGCATAATATAGAAGCGTAATTCATTACCTACTTTATTTTGGGTCCTCAATATTTGTAATTACAGTAGAGCGCTCCCCAAAACCCTATTCAATCTCTACTGTAACCACCGAAAACCTGACTGTTTAGAGGATCCCCAAGAATAAAATTGGTAGTTAGCTAGGCCTCTACATCACGTGGAGCCAACCCTAAACCCTAAACTCTTATTCCCCTGTAGAACCCTTAAAGGAGCCCTTAAATGAACCCTTTTCAGACTATACCTTTATAGACCCCTTATAGATCCTTTAAAGGAACCCTTAAAGGAACCCTTTTCAGAAGCTAGAACCCGGGCCGAGGTCCATTGACACCTCCGCTGCTAAGGCTTTGCCGGGTGTCGTCCAGGTGGGACACACTCAGAGACTCCAACTAGGTAGGCCCTTGGGACATTTTATTTTTCCCTTTTGGGGGTTAAGAGGATCTTGTTTACGAATATTTTTCAGAGGCTTCGAGGGGCCAACCTAGCCAATATCCCTGAATGAAGGAATATTCCTTAAATCATATTGCGAATCCTACTATACTTTAAGGTATACTCCTCAGTTAAGGGATATTGGAGTCTTAGGGGACTCAGAATGAGACGGTTTCATAATATCGGGGCCTTAACAATCAGAACAGGGTTTTGGGGCCCGTTACACTTTAATTAGGGTTTAGGGTTTAGGGTTTAGGGTTAATTAGAATAAGGAACCCACCATGTATTGGTAATGGTAATTATGAAGGCCCCTATAATAGGGGTCTTCTAAGCAAACCTGCAGAATTCTAGGGGATGTTATAGGGCTTCAGGGTTCAGAGTTTCGGGTATAAGGTTCGGGGTTCGTGGATTAGGATCTATGGTCTAGAGCGTCGGCTTTCCTGGAGGTTGCGAAATTGGGGCTTAGTTTCGGGTTTAAGGTTTTATTTGTTGGATTGAGGGTGTGCCGAAAACCGCATCCTGAACAGGCCTACAGGGTTTGTTTCTTGCAAATCTGACTTCAGCTTACAACGGTTTAGGGTTCAGGGTTACAGGCTCCAACACACATACTTAGTTGGATAATGGGTAGACCCTAGTCCCTGAAAGATGCTGGGTTACTGCATACACTATTGTAAACCCGAGTGTTAGCCTTTAGTTCGACGGGTACTAGACAAGTAAGTACGCAACAGAATAGTTAGGACCAAAGCAGTGCAACACAGGGAAACTACAGAACGAATCATCATGAAGCGTAAAGGTAATATAGGGGCCTTAACACATAGAATAGGGTTTTGGGGCCCGCTATACTCTACATATCTTACAGTTCGGAACCTCCAAAAATACGATAGGTAATTAGTTTTAAGTCCCCCAAAGTACCTTCCTAGACCGGCTTTTCGAATCCTGGCCCAGCACATCTTTCAGGGTATGCTGCTCGGGTTTAGGGTTTGGGGTTTAGGGGTTTAGGGTAGGGTTTAGGGTTTAGGGCTTCAGTCCCTTGCCAAATCCGGTCGCGGAGGACATCATCCTGGTTAGGGGGGCCACCCAAAGAGAAAACATGCAGCCCTGCAGGCGTGTTCTTTCGCCTTTAGCCCTACATACCACCCTAAACCCTAAACCCTAAACCCTAAACTGTCACATAAACCCTAAACCCTAAACCCTTAACCGTCCTGATATCTTATCGAACTGTAGACCCCAAGCCGTAAGCCCTTACGTAAAGAAACCTGAAACACTAAGCCCGCTGAACGACACATTTACAACCCAACACCCTAACTGCAAGAACACTACGGTTGATGATAGAAATCCTGCATTACCATTATGACCCTAGACTATGGGAATTATATCAGGGTCATGCAGAATTTATATCATCAACCGTATTATCCCCTTGCAAAGCCCTTAAAGCCTCAAAGTGGTGTAGGAGCCCAGGAAAGACTCGATAAAATGCTTCTAGATAAACCCTAAACCCCTAAACCCTAAACCGCTAAACCCTAAATCCTATATCCTATAAACCCTCAACCCTGAAACCCCCCAAACCCTAAATCACCTTTGCTCGCAGGTCTTCACCGGCGCTGACGTGAGTCGAGACCCGAGGATGTGCGTCATAGTGCTTAGGGTTGAGGGTTTCGGGTTTGCCTAGACCCCCCCAACTACCCTTTAATATGCCCTAAATACCCACTCTTAAGGACCGTAAGGGCTCTATTAAGGGGTACTTGGGGGGTCCTGGTAAGGCTTAGGGTTCAGGAGATTTAGGAGATTTTGGGTTCAGGGTGTAGGAGATTTAGGTTCATTAACAAGGGTTCCTTCAAGGG